TTGCGATCACTTCCACCATAATGAACTTTTTGAAGAGTTTCAGTCTGGCTTTGGAGCTCATCATAGCACTGAAACAGCTCTGGTGAAAGTCACTAATGATATTCTCATGGCCTCAGATAATGGACTTGTATCTGTGCTCGTCCTGTTGGATCTTAGTGCTGCATTTGATACAGTTGACCATAATATTCTTTTAGAAAGACTTGAATATTTTGTTGGAATTAAAGGAACAGCACTAGACTGGTTTAAATCTTATCTATCTGATCGAATTCAGTTTGTTCATGTTAATGATAGATCTTCAACACGCTCAAAGGTTACCTGTGGAGTACCACAGGGATCAGTGCTAGGACCAATTCTCTTTACTTTATACATGCTCCCAATTGGTAGAATTATTAGACAGCATGGGATTAATTTCCACTGTTACGCTGATGATACCCAGCTATATCTGTCTATAAATCCAGATGAAGCTAACCCATTACATAGATTACAGGCATGTCTTGAAGACATAAAAACCTGGATGACTCTTAACTTTCTGCTCCTGCTCCTTAAATCCCATATCAAAGAGGTTTCTAGAATTTCCTTCTTTCATCTGAGGAACATTACAAAAATTAGAAATATCCTGTCCAGGGGTGATGCTGAGAAACCATTCCATGCATTTGTTACTTCAAGGCTGGACTATTGTAATTCTTTACTATCAGGAAGTCCACAAACTGTAGTTAAAAGCCTTCAGCTGATCCAAAATGCTGCAGCCAGAGTTCTAATGAAAATTAAAAAGAGAGATCATATCTCGCCTATCCTGGCTTCTCTTCATTGGCTTCCTGTTAAATCAAGAATAGAATTTAAAATCCTCCTTCTCACATATAAAGCCTTAAATGGCCAAGCTCCATCTTATATCAGAGATCTGATTGTTCCTTATGTTCCTAACAGAGCACTTCGCTCTCAATCTGCAGGTTTACTAGTGGTTCCTAGAATTTCTAAAAGTAGAATGGGAGGCAGATCTTTTAGTTATCAGGCTCCTCTCCTGTGGAACCAACTACCAGTTTTAGTCCGTGAGGCAGACACCCTGTCTACTTTTAAGGCTAGGCTTAAAACTTTCCTTTTTGATAAAGCTTATAGTTAGGGTGGCTCAGGTTATCCTGAGCTATCTCTATAGTTATGCTGCTATAGGCTTAGACTTTTGGAGGACATAGGGACCCCCATTTCATCATTCTGCTTCATTCTCTCTCTGTTCTCCTATTCTGCAGAATCTGTTAGTTCAATCGCTAACCTTCTGCTCTCTGCTTTTCCTCAGAGTAGCTTTGCCTCGTCTGTTCCTGTTTGGCTGTGACGTCATCCTGGAAAGAAACATCAGCTGTGCTGCTTCTATCAACACCCTTGTTTATAGATGTTGGAGATCGGCCTGTTTTCCAGTGTGGTCCTGTTTCTCTGACCGTGACTGAGTGGATGTGCTCTCTTCGTCCTCTGGCATGGGAGCTGCCTTGGAGCTCGTCTGCCTGGCTGCGTGTTTCCTGGACGGGGCCGCCTTTTACAGCTGCTTTTTGTATCTCTGCTTCTGTCTCCTTGAACCCCAGTCGGCCTCGGCAGATGGCCGCTCACACTGAGCCTGGTTCTGCTGGAGGTTTCTTCCTGTTAAAAGGGAGTTTTTCCTCTCCACTGTCGCTACAAGCATGCTTAGTGTGGGGGATTGTATTTGAGTCAATGAGTCAATGCAATCAACTGGTTTTCCTTAGATAGAAAACTTTGTATCAATTTGACTGTATGATCTGGTTGAACTGTAAAGTGCCTTGAGATGACATGTGTTGTGAATTTGGCGCTATATAAATAAACTGAATTGAATTGAATTGAATTGAATAGATTACATTTTTAATGGAGAAGAAGAGGACTTTTTGAGCTAATTTTCCAGTATTTGATTTCTAATAATCTTTAAATCTGTTAACAAGCTGTTGTTTTGTAATTTAGTTTTTGAAATTTAATTTAAACTGTGCCGACCAAAGATTAATCTCAAAAAATGTTCGTTTTGATCCTCCTGCTGACCTCCAGGGACCTTGATGCCAGAAGTCCTCACTCCCTTAACCTTCTAACGGGGTATTGAGGCTGGAAGACTGCTTCCTCCAGGTGGTACCTGACACTTCTGACAATCGCTGTCCTCAGAAAAAATAAGTCAAAGAAAATCCTGCTTTCACAACGTAAAAATTGTCGTGGGAAAAAAGTATTCAACTATTCATCCTAGTTAAATAAATGGAGATTGGTGGATTTCACTCAGTTGGCACATTTATTCATATCTTTGTAAAGAGAGAACAGTTCATCATACAGCCCTTATGGCACAGCATTCTGCCCTGTGATGCTAGAGCAGCATTTGTTCCCCCTTTCTTACAACAATGGAAAGTAGTTAGAGTCAAAACAAATTACACACACTTTGGTTAAACAGTAACATGTTATGAATAAACCTTGAGTAAGAATCTGGTTTGTTATGGGAAGAAGTTATGTCTGGTCTACAAACACCATCCTGCAGAGAATTGTATGGCCTTGAGAGAGAAACAGACTGCTAGAAAACTTTTATAGTGAGTAAATAGGATAATTAATATATAATAGAAGAGAGATAAAAATTTTCCGACAACAGCAGTCCACAGAGGTGTGAAAATTACACATCCCTATTGGAGATTTTTAGGCAGCGCATCAATAAGGAATGTTTTCAAATAGACTTATTATTTGAACCTGCTGCTTGATGTTTATTTATCTAAACAAAGTGGTCTTTTTAAAAAAAGAGAAATCAAAAAGGGGCTGTAACATATATTCTTCTTATTAAGAGAGAAAAATGTATTGTAAGAGAATAATAAGTTGACATGTTAAGATATCCTAAGATATATTTTTTGTTGGAAATCCTTATTGTTTTAAATCAAAGTTTATAACATTGATGTTTTATTTGTTTCCCATTTATTCAAATGTTTTTAATAAGTGAACAAAGTATATTTTGTTTATTTTTGAAAGTTGAAAATAGTATTTATAAAAAATATACAATAACTGAAAAACTATCGTTTTCATGTTGCTACTTAAGAAATCCTGATTGGATGGATCGAGGATTTACAGAATAGTGTCCGAATGTCTTTCCTAACAGTGATCGCCGTCGTGAGTTTTGAAACTGCAAAGCTTTGTCTTAAGCGGAAAATCAAACGTGCATCTACACAGCACAGCGTTCACAGACCAGTGTGATGCATTCACAAACGTCAGATAGCTTTGGTGCAATCAGGAGCATGTGACATTTCATACTTACAAGGAAAGAGACATAAACGGAAGAGTATTTTTTCAGAAACAGTGTGGGCTTTCTTACAATGCTGACTCCTCCATTATTGTATTTCTGTTAATTTTTTGATTATGCACATCTGCTAGCTTTTTATTCTAAAAATATTATAATATTACAGCAGCAGATTATCACAGTTTTTCAAAAGCCTGTTTAAAAGCTCCAAATGAGGCTTCAGATCAGATAGCGAAAATTGCGCTGTCATTGTTTTACAGGAAGAATTAGCATTTCCTGACCCTTGTCCTTTAACTACTGCTGGATATACAGGAATACAGTCATTCAAGATTTTTTTTTTTATCAATGTATAACATGAATGCATAAATACCTAATTTTAGGTGTGTTAAATTGTGTTCAAAGTAACAGAGCATTAAAATTGTCTCTGGACCTTTACTGGTTGATTATTTTCTTTATTCGTACCCCACTGATTTTTAATTGGTTAACTGTGGTTTAATGTTTCTAAATATTTATTTCACATCATGTGCACATCAATACAGGTTCTTGGCACCATCCATCCATCCACATCTAGTGAAATCTAGTGTAATTGGATGAGTCATAGAAAGCAAACACTCATTGGTTAGCTAAAGGAAATCATCAGAAGCAAGCAGGTGTTCTTCAAACTGCAAACATGAATTGTCTATGCCATGCTACAAAGATAGGGGCGGGGGGTGTTGTACTTCATATGGGGCCCACCCAGATAATGTTGCTCACGGGCCTATTGTTGTGTCGTTACTCCATTGAGAGTGAACCAGTGGGCTGGTCTGTATGTCAATTTTTTGGATTGACAAAAGTACAGCCCAGAACAAAACAAGGCACCATCCCCGAATTTAAATCAACTAGGTGCTTCTTCTGAATTCCCCCCTTTTATGGTGGTAGTTTAGAATTGTGAGACATGCAGAGAAAGGAGGTGTCACTGGGGATGCCTTACACCCACTGAAATATCGTTATTCATCTATGACAATGTAAAATCAGTTTTGCATTCCCCCTTTAAGAAACGGGTGCAATACAGTTGGAGTTGCCGAGTGGAGTTGCCATATGTTGATGTCATTAGAAGGGGCAGGGCCCCGACCAAAACTGACCAACCGAGCAGATCTGGTACCGACAGATCTTGTCAGGATCCTGTAGTCTGGCTCTGTCTTGTGGCCAACAGGTGTTTTCTGGAGCAGGTTAGTGCAGGTGTTTCTAATTCAGACTCGTTAACAGAAAGGCTTATAAGATGCTCACTGCCAGCATGTCAACATCAAAGTTTTAACCCTCATGATAGGACTCATCCATCCTATGGTCTCCTGCGTTTTTTGTCTGAAACACAGCTAATTATTTCTCTGTCCCAGTCTCCTAGGTTGTTTCCAAGTTAGTATATTCCTGAGACTTCCATGGTCCTTCACTCAGAGCCTTTGATCTTCCATTGTGGTACCTGCTCAAATTTAACTGAGCTCAATCTCCTCCACCCAGGATGCTTAGCTTAAGGAAACCTGAATCACTCCTGCAGAAAGGATGTTTTGCTACTAGCTATCAGGCACCTGTCTAGTCCTGTTAGCAGCTGTGTATGCAGATGTTGTCCAGCAGGGGGAGCTGGCAGCTGTAGAAGCGGCAGACTTTCTGCTCTTAGACCAAAGGCACAATATCCACTTATCCCCCCCCCACCACACACACACATACACACTCCGGTCAGAGGGAGGAGATAATGACAGGCTGGAGGAGCTGGAGCTCCACTGCTCTCAGTCAGTCTAGATCAGTCCGTCTCACAGGACGTCCCTCTGCCCTCTGGTCTGTCTCCATCTGTCCCAGCATGGACCACCCTGGTTCTAGGTTCCTGGGCCTCGTGTTCCTGCTGCAGATCAGCTGTTCTCTCTCTGTTTACATCAGCAAGCACTCAGGTGAGCTGAAGTCTCCTCCTCTTCTGTGATGATGAAGTCCTCCAGCCTCTGACCTCTGCAGCTCAGATAATGTGATCCACAGAGGTCAGATTTCATCATGTCCTCCAGCCGGTGTGTGTTTGTGTATGTGTGTGCTTCATATCAGCCACTGAGAACGCACGCATCCATCTGTCTAAACTTCTAAAGACGGAAACTCGCTAAACTCACTGAGCCTGCTCCAGAGCAGAAACCCAGGGCCCGGCAGGAGTCAGAGGGATCCTGGTGATCCTCTGAAATATGCTCCACTGCCATGAAGATCATCCAGCAAAAAAACAAAGGACCAGGGAAGGGCAGAAAGCTGCAGGGAAACAGGTAAGAACCGCAGAAAATAATCCAAACCACATGGACCGGACCAGGACCAGATGACCTTAAATAAAAGACAAACATAGAAAAACAGTCAGAACCTAGAGATGAAAAATGAAAATGAAAAAAGAGACAATCTGGGCTAAAAACCATAGAAGTATATTAACTTCAAACTAGACAAAATCAAACCTTTTAAAGGACTAAAAAATTATATACTGGAAACCAAGGGCGTAGGTTTGATTTGAACTTTGGTAGGGACACTATTGGTCTGGTGTCATTGGTGCTATGCAATATGCATGCCCTTTTTTATGCTCGATGTGAGCATCCGTACTGATAAGAGGAATTCATTGTTAAAAGAGAAAAGCAATATTTTGCTCCATTAATAAAAATGTTATAAGCTCTACACTCATTAGATGCTGTTTATCAATGTTTGAAGTATCAGCGGCTCTGATCAATGTGGAATTAGGACTGTTTTCCACTTTGAAAACGGTTTAATTTGATCGACTAAGAGAGAAGGTAAATACAGTATTTTCTTTTGAAGATATAGAATTGTGCAGAGTTAAACCCCACTCTTATATTTGTACCTACTATTCTCTCTCTGTATCAAGCAAAATAATACATTCATTAAGATATTAACTTCACTATAAAAGTTGAACATCTGGGCTGTAGTTACTCTGTGTAGCCCATTTCATGTATTTTATCTGGGACTGAAAAAATGAATCGTATTAATTGATTATTTCAATAATCGTCAACTAATTTAGTAAGTGATTCATCATTAACTGGAGTATAGAGACTTTAAAACATACAGTAATATAAATGTAAAATGTGCCTTTCCCCACAGAGCAACCCACTTAGATCAATTATTATATCAAAATTGTAAAAATAAAAACAAAAAAATGAAAACAGTAATATCAACTAAATATCGGTAAAAAGGAAACCCTCACATTTTCTTTCTTAATTGGCTGTTGCTAAGAATCAGAAATGTTGATGCTTACAGCCTTTATTTGCCCATTTTTCCAGCAGTCTTCAGAACTCCTGGCTGACTCAGAATATTTCGTTTTATAAAAGAAAAAAAAAGGTTTTTGTTTTTTAGTGTACATGTTATTAATTTTTTTTATTGGGACTAGTTTTGTAGCCTAATATTAATTGTAGTAACCGCTGCATTCTAGTGTGAATAAATTTTCAATAGACTATAGAAATAGACTAGAAAACAGCCAATCAGAGAGAGAGAAGGCGGAACTTAAGGCAGAACAACCAATGAGAGTGGAGTTAAACAGCGCAGCACAGTTCCATGCGCTGCTACATGAAAGGGACAGGAGAGACCAGGCAGAGGAGCTGCGAGAGGAAAAGAAGCCACTGCTGCTATACAGTAACTACTGCTGTAAATTATAAACATTGTTGCTCACATCCAATTATTGGTAGGGACAATTAGGTCGGTTCAAAATTTTGGTAGGGACATGTCCCTATGGTCCCTATGCAAACCTACGCCCATGCTGGAAACTAAAGATCCAGTACCCTCCCTGAGAAACCCAGAATGTCTTTCTCTGAATCCAGAACAATTTCCACCATTCCAAGCAGGAGTCATCGTTTTACCAGCAATGTTTGGAGGTTGAAAAAAAAATCAAATAATTATTCTGAGTAAATTCAATCAGACCCAGTTCAGTTTAAATTCTGCATAGAAGTTACTCAGAGAGAGATTGGCTAAATGGATCCAACTAAAGGGATCCAGATCAACCGGAAACAGCACCTAGACCTGAACCTGAGGAGAAACCTGGACCTGAGCAGCACCTGGCCCTGAACCGTAGTGGCACCTGGACCTGGACCTGAGCTGAAACCTGGAAATGGAGCTGAGCAGCACCTGCACATGTACCTTAGCTGTAATTAGACCTAAACCTTAGCAGCACATGGACCTGGTCTTGAGCAGCACCTACACCTGAAACTGAGCAGCACCTGGACCTGAGGAGCAGCTGGTGTCTTCGGAGAACATGCATGTAGAGGAGAGCATGCTAACTTCTTGCCAAAAGACCAAGGCCAGAACTGGAACACAGGACAGTGATTATGTCACAACCCAAAATTGAGGCAGACAGACAGAAGTGATTTATTATAACCATTGTTGACTGCTTGACAAATCTGCGACTCAGCAGCTAGGAACCTCTGTAGAGGGAAAAACACAGGTTAGTGACCACATAAGTCTTACAGTTATGTCGTAAGCAGACAGAATACAGCAGGAGTTTGAAGAAAGGTCGGGAAAACAGATTAGAACAGGGGAAGACAGGCTCAGAAATTCAAGGGCAGAAACTAGTCAGGATCAGGTTATCAGAACAACAAACTGGGTATGCTACAGAACTCTCAACTACGGCTCGAATAATCTGGCACAGATGGCTGGGAGCAAACAGTTTAAATAGCTGAACTAAAAGCTGGACCAGAGTGGTAATGAGAAACTGTGCGGAGCTAGGTAGGTGGATGGAATGAACCATTAATCCAGTCATCAGTGCCAAGATCATTACAGATTATGGATTTTAGAACCAAACACCGTTATTGATTCAGTTTCATAACAAAAAATGGATGCAAAAGAAATAGCCTGTAGAACATCATGAGCTTCTTGCAGGGTTCCGGACTGATCTGTGATGATGAGCTTTAATTGGACAGAAGGCCTCCTGACCCTCGCCATAATCAGTTTGCCGCACAGATTCTCAGGTCCGGACTCTGGTTTCATCACTCCAGAACATGAATATTCCAGCCAGAACATGATGGTAGATTTAAAAGTTGACTTTGTGTAAGTCTTAGGGTGACACCGGCAGTGAGGCTTATTGGTATCAATGCAATTATACAGACCTATGGATCCTCTATGAGGTAGAAATCGAAGGGGATCAGAACAAATTCATGGATCCTACTTAGCATATTCTTTGGACATATTCTTTAGACATATTTTTTTTGGCAGCAAACCATTCATACATCCTTCATACAGCAGAGAGCACTGATGTTCTGATAGATGGAGCTCTGCACAGACCTGGATGAACATCTGCTCAGATGGATACTAGGTCTCTGAGTTGGGATTGGTGAGTTACCATTTCTCTAGATATGGACCAGTAAGCGACTATTTTGCTAGATGGAGAGCGACCAAGTCTCCGAGTTGGGATAGGTGAGCGAACAGCTCTTTGGATCGGGACCCGTGAGCAACCATGTCTTAAGATGGGGACCAGTGAGTGACCACATGTATAGATGGGAACCGATAAGCGACCAAGTCTCTTAGTTGGGATTGGTGAATCTCTGGATCGGGATCCGTGACCAACCATGTCTCTGGACTGGGACCAGTGAGCGATAAGCCTCTGGATGGGGACCAGTGTGAGCAAGTGTCCGAGGTGAGATTGGTGAGCGACTACATCATTAGGTAGAGACCAATGAAAACTACGTCTCTGGTTGTGGACTGGGAAGCCTCCAAGCCTCTTTTCAGTGGCCAAGTCTCTGTTTGGGAGCCATTGAGCAACCAAGCCTCTGAGTTGGTATTGGTGAGCGACCATTGTTGAGAGACCAATGATGTATCTTGTCTCTGGGTCTGTGCCTATGAGCAACCATTTCTCTAGTTGAAGGCTATTGAACAAACACATATCTGGTTGGGGACTGTTGAGCGACTGAGTCTGAGTGGCATCTTTCACACTTCAAGGTTGCTGTAGGGAGAAGCTCACCCATTGCCCTCTCCAAGCAGTATTTTTTTCCAAGGAACTTGTCTTGTGGAAGCCCAAAATTATGTTATTATTAAATTAGTTATTTGGCCTAACGGACCTTGTAGAAGTGTAAAGCATAAACTGAGCTTTAAACAGCGTAGCCCTTTCAAATGAAAAACTTTGACATTAGACCATTGGCTCATTGGTTTAATACAGAGCTGAACACTGTGAAGCTAAATGCTAGGAAACTGTAGAGAAAAGCAAGACCAGCATATTTTTACTCATTAATAAAGGATAATAAGAATAATCCTGGATTTCTTTTTAATCCAGTTGCCAATCTCACCCAGAGCTGTATATGGTTAACCGTCCATTCTGCCTGCTCTTAACAGTAATTATTTTATGAGATTCTTTATAGATAAGATTTATTCTATTTAAAATAAGATAATTTTAACCCCTCTAATTATGATTGGTGTATATCTGATAGGTGAGGCAGCATTTGAGGTAAATATAGAATCTGAACCAGGTTTAGACAGTTTTTAAGTTTGTAAAACTATTATCTTCATCTAAGCCTTCAACTTGTATATTAGACCCATTCCCGACCATGTATTTTAAGGAGTATTCAATCTAATTTCCTTCTCCATTTTAGATATAATTAACCTATTCCTGTTACAGAAATATGTACCTCAGGCTTTTCAGGTAGCTGTAATTAAACATTTTTTTACAAGAGAAACCGTCTCTTCACCCAGATGACTTGGTCAATTACAGACCTATATCTAATCTTTCTTTCTGATCTAAAATTCTTGATGAAGTAGTTAGGAAACCAATTTGTGAACACTGAGATCATAATGAACTTTTTGTAGAGTTTCAATCTGTCAGGCTCAGAACAATAGGATCCAGTATTCGAGGCGGACAACCAGATTTCTCAAAACGTTTATTGGAAACAAAACCGAAGTGAGCAGTGTAGGCAGGAACCTCTGCAGAAGGAGACAACAGGTTAGTGACCAAGTCTTGGATGATAATGAACATGTGGTTCACTAGCCTGTTCTTATAGTTCAGTCCAAGCCCAGAGAGTGAGGTTGGTTCCACCCGGTGAGCTGCCAACGTGATGCAGCGGGTGCCGCACAGAGAGTCCCTGACCGTGATGTATCAGTAGGTAGAGGACAGGGAGGAGATCAGAACCGAGCTCATGAAGGTAGGCAGGATAATCCATAGAGCAAAGCCAAATCCAATTTCTGTGACCTGTTCAGTTGTCAGAGCCAGGATGTCAGAGATCTAAGGAGGTGCCAAGAGAGAATCCAGAACAGAGTTGGGTAACAGTTCCAGGTTTGGTACAAAGGCCGACAGATATCCAGCAGGAGTTAGAAGACAGGTAAGGCAAAAAGATCAGATGGGGCCAGGCAGGCTCAGATGTGGAGAGGCAGAACAGGTCTGGATCAGGCAATCAGAATACAGGAACCCTAAAATACTTCTGACCAATGGCTTAAAAATTATTTTGTATATTATTTTAGAAATACTTGAATATTTTATAGGATTTAAATGAACAGCACTAGGTTGGTTTTAATCTGATTTATGGGACAGGTTTCAGTTTGTTCACGTTAATGATATATCTTCATGGGGTCCAGGATTACCTGTGGAGTACCATATAGATCGGTCATCATGGGATTAATTTCCATTGTTATGCTGAGGATACTCAGCTGTATCTTTATGTCTTGAAGACATAAAACCTGGATGACTCTAAACTTCTCTGAATTCAGACAAAACTGAAGTTATTGTCTATGGACTACAGTCTGTGAAAAAGAGGCTTAATAGCTGGTTTAGAAGCTGGTTACTCATTTGGTGTCCCTTATTTTTCATCAGTACCTGTCGTTTAAATCCCATGTCAAAGAGGTTTCTAGAATATCCATTTATTACTTCAAGGGTGGACTATTGTAATTCTTTACTATCAGAAAGTCCATAAACTGTGGTTAAAAGGCTTCAGCTGCTCCAAAATGCTGCAGCCAGAGTTCTGATGAAAATTTAAAAACATAGATCATATTCCTCATATTCTAGCTTCTCTTCATTGTCTTCCTGTTAAATCCGAATAGATTTTGAATTTCTCCTTCTCACATATAAAGCCTAAATAACCAAGCTTCAGCTGATATCAGAGATCTAATAGAGATCTTCTTTTATGAGCAGAGAACTTTGTTCTCAGTCTGCAGCTTTATTAGTGGTCCCTAGAATTTCTGAATGTAGAATGGGAGGCAGATCTTTAAGTTATCAGGCTCCTCTCCTGCCAAACCAACTAGTGAATCCTAGGTTCACGTTCACCCTGCCCCTTCCCATCTACATACCTAGATACATCAACAAATCATTATTCCAGGTTTTTTCTTATTGTCATTCCACTGTCACAAGTACAGAGCAACGAAATTAACACTCTGCATTTAACCCATCCCCTTGAGGAGCAGTGGGCTGCCATTGTGTGGCGCCCGGGGAGCAGTGTGGGGTTCAGGGTCTTTTTGCTCTGGGACTCAGAGTGGCAGTCTGTGCGAGTAGGGCTCGAACTCAGAACCTCTGCAATGATTTAAAAATCAGTGGAGAATGAATTGATTGAACATAGAAGGGAATGAATGAATGCATGAGTGAATGAATGGATGAACTATTAAATGGTACATTGTAGCAGACAGCGGGGTCTCAGTTTGCCGAACCAGGACAGTGCTCTTAAAGATTGCTCTTGGATCCCCATGCTGATATATTTCTGGGATTTAATGAAGGTTTTGTTGAAGATGTTGTTGGGCCTATTAAAGATTAACCATTAATGTCTTGATGAGTCGTTGCACTTTCACAGATGTTGTTCTAATGATGAAGAGTAACGGAAATGTTCCTTTACTGTCTGTCAGGTTCTCTTCATCAGGTTCTGTCAGAGTTCAGCATCATTCGCCCAATCAGAACTGACTCAGAGGGACGGTTCTGGTCAGCATCAGTCTCTGCCAACCAACAGCACCGCAGCAAGCGACACGCCCCCTCTATTATAGACACACCCCTGGGAGAACAAGACCCCCCGATCTCGCCTTTATCATTCAGCCATTCACGGAGAGGGAGGAGTCCCAAGGAGGAGGTAGAGCTCTTCTACAATGTAACGGTGTTTGGTCAGGATCTCCAGCTGAGGCTGCGTCCAAACTCCCGACTCATCGCCCCCGAAGCAAGGATAGAGTGGGAGGAGTCAGGACACCTGCACTCAGAGCAAATAAGAGAAGACAGCTGCTTTTATACAGGAACAGTGTCAAACATCGAGGACACATCTGTGGCCATCAGCAGCTGTGATGGACTGGTAGGTTACACCTCCCATGAAATAATCTGATCTGCTACCAGAGCCGGCAGACCCAAACATCCAGACTATAAACATACTATCAACACTTCTACTTTTTGTTCTAATTATTTATCTTATGTTTTTCTTATTGTTATTCTATGTTTCTTCATTATATTTTATTGTTAGTAAATGTGATGGGATGGTGGTCAGTGACAAACAAATTTCGCCATCTAAAGGAAACACCCAGGATACAATCATAAACACCCGGGATAGAATGAATCGATGTGTTAAAGAGACAAGGTCGAGAAGTTTTAGAAGATAGTAGATATTTGGAGCACAGATGGTAAGGACAATCTGGATGAATGATGAATTTAGACATTTGATACTCCTGGTCTTAATACCTGCGGCAGTATAGCATCAGAAGGTTTTAGTGTTACAGGACGCCCCTCCCTGGAAATGACTGATAATGAGTGAAAGGTTACAGAAGGTGGTCAGAATGTGAGCAGTTAGAAAGATGATCCATTTACTGTTGGGTTTGTGTTCCTCATAGGAACGAGGGTGAATCACCACTAGAGCTCCACCTCTAATGGATTTCCACTGAGTGAATCCAGATGTGCAGGAACAATAAGAAGATATTAAAATAGATTTAAGTAGCATTTAGGATCTCCTTATCAATCGGAGAAGTACAGCTTGAGGTCCGCAGCAGGAATATCTAGGTCAGTGGGTGTTTGTGGTTACTCTGAGGACCATCTGCATCTCAAGGAGCTGTTTCCTGCAGAGAGATTGTCCTGATAGATGCTCCATCTCTACGATGAGCCACTCAGACGTCCTGCTGATGTAATCAGAAAATGAAACTAGGTGGGGTCCACTAGATCCAGATGTTTTATTGTAGGACGGAGCACTGACAGGAAGACAGTGAAGGTCCACTAGATCCAGAACAGATTTACAGCAGGTTTCTGCTCTCTTATCTCCAGGCTGGGATGATCTGGACCAGAGAAGATGAGTTCTTTATTGAACCTTTGGATCAGTGGAGATCAGGGGAACACGGTGAGGAAGAGGAGGAGGAAGGTGAACAAAGGCACATCGTTTATCGCTCCTCAGCCATCATCAAGAAACCATCAGTTTCTAATAGAACCAAAGAGGACTACATGAGAGGTGAGCTCAGTGAACACCTTCCCACGAGCAATTACTTCCAAACATTGACTTAACAACGCACCATGAACCTCACTTAAAGTACCTAGATATGGTTACTAATTACCTCCCCTACCAGTAGCTAAAAAACTAAGGGGATTACTGAGCTGTCAGAGTAACTAGATACCAGGCAAACTAAGGAGTAACCTTAATGATTTCAATTGTTGATAAATTAGTTTCTGTCTTATACATACCTGTAAGTCCCCATAACGTAGAATGTTTTACCAAACACTTCCCCACATTATAGGTAAAACAAGACCACACATACATCTAGTTTAGGAGCTACTGCTTTAAAAAAGTGTTTTGATGTGCAATGGGTCGAGAATATGCAAAAGAAATGGTTTGTTTACATATAAGAAATATGATAAGGCAGAATTGCCGTGAGGGAGTATGAAGAAGAGTTGACATCAGTCGGAAGTCTCTGCTTTTTGAATCATAAGAAGGATTTTAGGTGAAGGGTGAACGGACCTGTGCACTTCAATATGTCTGCTGGGATAGAGCAGAGAGTGGTCATCCTCTGAGCTGCCTGGTAGCATGATAACAAACAGATGCAGAGAGACTCTGAGAGCAGAGCAGAGCTGCAGCTTCTTCCACACACTTCACACCAGCAGCTGCTGTTCTTGCAGAAGGAAAGAGTAAAAAAAACAAAACGGTGGCGTAGATCCAGGAAAGTTGGCTGAGCTTATGAAGCTTCAAACTCCGAGACACAGAGAAAAAAACTGCAACGAAACATTAAAAACATACAAAAGACACTAAAACTATTATTCAGCAGATTTGAAAACCCAAAAAACCCAATCTGAGAGCCAGAAAGTCCCTGATAATACTTTAACACAGACACTGAACCCAGCAGCCACATGGCAGCCCAGACCCCTCTGCTCCACAGGAACTGTGCTCAGAGTTCAGAAGCATTCATCTCCTAAACTAGACACATGACCATCATGATGATGGTGTCCAACAGATTTATCAGCTAGTTACATCATCAGCAGGGTTTTTAACAGTTCAACATTCTTATCGCAGAGCGGAAAAAGCTGCTGCAGGTCCTGCATTGAATTCTGCAAAGCCTTTCTCCACAGGGCAGTCCATGGTGGGGGTCAGCAAATCTATTTGCTTGTGTCTGAGCCTTTGGATCAAAGTGTGGACAGTTTCAATCACTTTTTAGCAAAAGTATGCATCAGCGAAAGATGGGATTGAAGGTCATTGACTGACTGTGAGCGGGGGACCTGGGTTTGAATCACTTTAACATCAGGAAGGTCACCCAGCGTAAAAATATTGCCAAGTCTTAACTTGTTATGGGAGCAGCTAAAAGGACCCAGACAAGCCTACAGTGAACCTTTGAAGGAATGTGCAGAAATTTTAGGATGGATAATAGTGATCTATAATCTCTGTCACGGTGTTGCATCAAGAACCATTCCTCATCAGTAGCTGGGAGAACCTCCTGGACAAGCAATTGTTTCGGGAAACCTTGACGAGCTCTTCAAAGGAGAGTTCAATTTCACATTGGGTGAATCCTAGCAGGAGCACTTGAAGGTCACAGCGTGTACTTGTGTTGGGTTTGGATAATTACTAACTGGACTCACCTCTACACACAATTGGGGCTCCGGACATTCTCCAAGTTCTGAGCTGCCGAAACATTGATAAAGGTTTTTCTGCCTGGCACAACCTGGACCAATCATCACTTACTGGTTCTACACTGAGCTCCAGAAGTTGACTCTGAAGCTAAACCAGAAACTAAACCAGAACAAGATGGAAAATATGATCAGTCCTTGTTTAATGGAGCTGTTGTGAAACAAAATTTGGATGACTCAGGATTTTCATCTTGAGGGAATAAGAAGCAGCTGCTGGTGAACCAAAATGTTTGGACAGCTGTCAGAGTAGATTGAATCTCCTCATGGGAGCTATGGTCCCACCTGGGGAACCACATGGGCTAAGCTGGAATGGTCCACAGACACAGAACTTAGTACTGAATTATTAAAAGCTATAGCCATGGTTCATTTCTATCTTTCCAACATAATTACCAGTCAGATACATAAAACTGAAAGGAATCAAGAATCAATAACCCCTAATTCTTAGTTATTTAGGACCAAAAATAGCTATTTTTATTTTCAATGTTTCCATAAGACTTTACAGACATCAGCGTTTTTTTGGCTTCAGTCTCAAAGGTCAGAGGTCAGCTCTTGATTTCTTTGCTACAGGGTCCAAACATCTGTTTTTTTATGTCCCCTGTGTGAAGCAAGTTGGAGAATGTGGTGATAAAATTCACTGGACTTCATGCTGGTTTTAATAGAGTCTGTGATTCTTAAATTGGGATCAGCAGAGCACTTGGAAGTGAAAGATGAGAAAACGTTGGTCCACCAGAGACTGGCTGATGAGGTCACCAAGGTTATCGTTGGACCAAATGAAATCCAAATGTAGATCCAAAAAATTTACTTGATGTAACAAACTTCAAGGAGAACTAAAGCATCAGCAACTTTATGAACTGGTTCAGAACGTGGTGAGGAGATGAAGTCATGTCCAAACTGTGTGTTTCAGGTCCTCTCTTTGGGTCGATGAACTTGACCAAAACAGCAGCTTTATACAGGTCAGCCCGCCAGCGCCGTGACACCACAGACGAAATGTTTCACATCGAGGTACGTATGTACTGTTACTGAATTATACAACCAATTTAATGTTTGCAATCTAAAAACCATTAGACAGATAGATGGTATGGCTTCCAGCTTTTTCCATGAACAGAGGGCCAATTCAAGGCCTGACGTCCAGGACAGAGCAGCAGTGAAACCAGTCTAAATTAAGGAGTTCCACCATTCATGTATTGGGATTTTTCATCCAGTACAGATGCAGTGCATCTAATTTTCCTTCTAAACAAACCCTAGTTTCATTCCAACAAATTGTCACAGTTTATGGGCCTTAAATCCAGAAGCTTTGGCTTTGTTCAGCATCATATAATTGTGAGGTGTTTACTGCCATCCAGATTTAAACTCTGTTCAGACTTATAGAGGGATTATTTGTTTATCAACACGGCGGATGCGTGCGCATCTTGACTGCAAAAAGTGCCGGGTCCTTTAAAGCGTCTGGTCGAATGTTGTGATTATACGCGGTTATTTAGCAGTTGCGATCTGCTAACTAGCGATGTTGTCAGCGTTCTACAACAGTTTATCACCTAGTGATAAAATAAGTTATGCTGCTAAATTAACACTAGTTAATGGAATACGTCTTAATGACCCATACGCGTTACATGCCGGTGAGTGGATAAATGACGAGAAAAAATGGCCCAAAAATTCAGTGGCCGGACATTCATTCCCACCTGTGCAAAGTGCAATAGGCATTTCCATTACGAATGTGCAAAAGTAAAAAGAAAGGCTAAAGAATGGTATTGTGATCAGCGCAAAAAACAGAAAAACTAGAAAAAATGCACTCTGAAAAATAGAGTTGTAACTGTACCTGTGCTTACCATTCAAAGTATGCACTAAGGTTCTCAGTGTGCATCTTATGACAAGATTGTTTAATATTGTTATTTTTATTATTGGTTACATGCACAAGAATAAATATATTTCAATGTTTCCTTGACTCTTGAATACTTTATTAATATTTACACAGGGTGTACACAGGTATCAGCTGATTGAATTGTATTCTTTTCAATGGCAAAACACAAAGCAAAATATCTGCATATTTCATTTAAGATTTTGAAATATATCATACAACAGAGGAATGAGGAAAAATCTCAATATTCAAAAGCAAACTGGATACAACACACATTTTGAACCAAAACTGCTGCAAAATGTTTTAAACCACAGCTTTTGAATGTTCAATGAGCTTATGCAGTGAAAATACTTAGGCAATAATTTTTTTCAAAAAAAATAATATTCAATGACATTTAAACCTCAATTCATAGATGTTAACAACATTAAGGCCTTAATTTTGGCACAATTCAATTAAGGGCTTTTAATTTATTTTCTAGGGACTATGCATTTGCAAATGTTTGTCAATGCTGCACAAACAATTACAATGTCATCTAACAGGTCCGCCTGTGATAAAGGAATAACAGTAGTAAGAATTCGGAAAGTTTTCCATCTCCCTATTATTCTTTCAATGTGTATTCTAACATTGGACAAACGCCTCAATGTTTCCACCTCTTGAGCAGACAACTGCTTTTTACCTTTGGTAAAGTGAGGGATCCTCAGGGTAGCACCACGCAAGGCAAGCTCATCTCTAATGGTAAAACCACGATCTGCTAGTATCTCATCATTTACTTGTAGAAGGTCATAAAATCCAGACTCGGCTGAAAGTTGTTTATCAGAAACACGCCCACCCCAACCTGCAGACAGAAATGTAATTGCTCCTGCAGGTGACATGCCAACCAAATACTTAACCGTGTTATGGCTCTTATAATTTGAATATGTTTGGGCTCTGGCTGTTAAATTTGTTGGTCTGTTAATAAAAAATTTCTGTGCAGTCAATAATGCACCTGCAACGCTGGTATTTAGGTTTGAAACATTTTGGCATATTCTTTAAAATAGCATGCTTACTTGGCCACTTGATTAAAGGTTTCAAAATCTGAGACATAATAGGCAGCCAACTTCTTAAGATTTTAGAGAGGTCACATTCGTTAACATTAAATCTGAATGCAATATCCTTGTTGGTGAGTCCTAATCTGAGTTTCATGAGTACAGCCAAAAGATGATCCTCTAGGGTCAGAGAGCCACGGATGACCTCAACACTGTCCTTAATCGTCTGCAGGACCCAATTAAAGAGGGCACTGGTTAGACCTGTGAAAAACAGCACCTGTGCTGCTTTACACTGCAGTGACGCAAAAGAGAACTGTGCAGTCCCGAGCATTTCTTTTAATTGTTCATTCTCTGTTTTCAGTTTGTTGATGTCCTCACGCAGGTTATCACACTCTGTATGAAGTTGGCTGTACTTCAGCTGGAGGTCATCATGGACAGTCTTTTGGACCATACCTTCTGAAAAATAAATACAAATTTTACATTCTTATCTTTACAAAAAACAAATGGTTACATTCTGGGTGATAAGTCACACTGTGGGCAAATACCTGTTCGCAACAAATATGAACATTACTAACTGATTAATCCCACTAGTACGGAAGAGGATAAGGGCCACTGGAAAAAAAAAAAAAGTTAACTGTTTTTGTTCATTTTATTTCAGTATAGTATGGGAAAAAAGTCAGAATTCTGACTTTGTTCCCATGTTAAACTGAAATAAAATTTTAAAATCAGTTTACTTTTTTTTTTTTTTTCAGTGGCCCTAAACCTCTTCCGTACACTAGTGACCTTTCTATTCTGCAATAATTAATATGTTAACATTTAGGAACACACAGATCTACGTCCCTTTATAAAAATCCAAATGAGTTTGCAGGCCGTCTTGGTCAGGTTAGTAATAAGGTTTCATACCATTATATAGATCAGCACCAGCCTCTATTCCACACTCAGTTGGAGAGATGGAAGAGGGTGTACACTGATGTCCATCTTCTGGACACCTGCTGGGGGTTGCATCCCTTCTTCTTTTTCTCTTATATCTGAAACACACAGGAGAGAACAATCTCCTGAATTCAAGTCCATACAAATCACATGCTCAGTCATCCCAACTCTCCATATGAGATGTCTAATAAAAACTACATGCTCTGACCTTTAACCCGGGTAACCTATATAGCTACAATATATCAATATTTTTTCTTTGCACTTCCAGTCATACTATGTGGAGTCATGCTTGTAATCAGACAACAATCAAGCACACAGATGTGATACTTACCGCTCCAGTTTTGCAACACCGTCTTTGCCGGGCTGGATTGAGTATGGAAAGATAGACGGGACAAAGTCTGGGATGTCGTCTGATGCCTCTCCTGTACAAATAATGAATTGAAGCAATCATCATCATCATCAACCTTTATTACAGACATTAGTCAATCAATTGAAAAGACAGCACACACAGAGAAGTTTAGACCAGACAACGTGATGATGTTAATGATAAAACTTATGGCTGACTCGATGAGTTGCAACTTGATAAGACTGAATCAAGGTACATTAGCTTGTATGCTAGTTATGCTCCAATGTGTTTTGTACGATTCATTAACCCCGTTTATATATGTAATACTTAATAATTGTATGTAAAACCATTGTTTGTAAAACCAGCGATGCCGTTTAGCTTTTTTATAGATAAGACTTACCTGATATAAAGTGATCGCTGCAGATTGATGCATTTTTAATCATCTGCTCGTTCCAATCGCTTCTTCTGATGGCTTGCAACCAAAGACGTCTCTTGTTTGCCTTGAAAGGGGTGCAAGTTGATGGGATTCGGTAAAACTTGCGCGTTTTATTGTTTTTATCAAAACGGTTCGTGCAACCGACAGCACAACAAGACATGTTAGCGGCTCTTTCTGCAGGCGACATGCGCATTGGTGCCGGAAGTGACGTAGAGTGACGTTGCATGATAATCCCTCTATAGCCCCTTCCTCCATTATAACTTTAAATGTGTTGTTCACGTTCTCCTTGGCTCCAGTTTCGTCCTCAGAGCCTGTTCTCCGTGCAGAGAAAGCCCTTTAGGTCCAGAGTCTTTCTGGGACTTAGATCACATCTTCTTGGCATAAATTGGGGAGGTGTAGTGAAGAATGATTTGACAGTCATCGCCTTGCTTTAATGGTCCTAATTGGGTCACAAATGTTTCAGCAAATGTTTTGCAAAGCTACTTGGCCTTTCTTCAGATGGTGCTGGTATCCAGTGAGATGTTATTAGTTATCAGTCACAAATCAAAGCCTGTCCTCTCTGACCACTTTTTAGTAAACCTCAACATTATCCCTCCCCCTAAATAAGGTTTCAATTTAGCAGATCATTATCAGGTAATGCAATTATACATTTTAAAGAGTCTGTTCCACTTTCTATGTACTCTGTATCACTGAATAATACTGCAGAGGGCAAACATTTTATTCCTCTTCATTGGCTGATAATTTTGTTGATGGGGTTGCTAGTTCTCTGCCTACTGCCTTAGACAATGCAGCCCCTTTGAAAAAGAAAAACTGTAAAAATAGAAAGCTGGCTCCCTGGTTTAATGCAGAGCTGCTCACTTTGAAGCAATATGTTAGGAAACTGGAGAGAAAATGGCACTCTACATGCCTGTGGCAATCCTACCTAGCCTGGAAAAAAAGTTTACTGCTTTATAAAATGACCCTTCGTAAAGCAAGAGCAGCATATTTCTCTCCATTAATAGAGGAGAATCAGAATAATGCTAGATTTTCTTTTTTAATCAACTTGCAAGACTCACCCACAGCCATAGTTCTCTTGAACCACCCATTAATTCATGGGATTCTTTAAAATAGAATTATTATTTTAAATATTATTAAAAACAAGATCATTGTTGTCATACTGTACTCCTGAAAAATTCTCCATCCAGTACGTGGGACATTGGCTAAATTTGACCGGATATGGAGTCCCTTCTTGGACATTCTAACCGGATTGGACCTGAGAGACTGATGAACATTGATCTTTACTGTGTTTCAACTATTCTAATATTTTTGTTGTGCTCTTTTCTCTTAATTCTGACCTTTAAAAAATATAGTTAATACTTAATATAATACTACAACAGTGCACATGTCTTGTTACATGGAGAGAGTGGGTGGGGTGGGTGGGTTTGTTTTTGTTGTCCACTAAATCCACAAAATACTATAAACTACAAATACTCAAAAGAAGGGCAAAGAAATGATGACAAACTAGCAAACAGTGACTGAAAAGGAGGTGTATATATAGGAGACAGAAACAAGGACCAGGAAAATCAGCAGATTGGGAGCAGGTGTGAACAAAGGAATCTAGAAGGGAGCTATGGAAAAGTAGACTGACAATAGAGGGCAACAGAACAAGAAATACTTAAGAACTCAAATGCAATCAAAAATAACCAGAAAAACACATAATGAAAATAAAACCAATGAAAACTGTGCTTAAAACGTAAGCAGAACCAAAACCATGACAATCATAGCACTAAAACAGCTCTGTTGAAAGTCACTAATAATATTTTCATGGCCTCAGACAATGGACTTGTATCTGTAGTGTTCCTATTAGATCTTAGTGCTGCAATTAATCCAGTTGATGTCCTTTTAGAAATACTTTTTTTTTTTTTTTTTTTGGTAGAAATTAATGGAACAGGATTAGGCTGGTTTAAATCGGATTTATCTGACTGATTTCAGTTTGTTCACATTAATGATTAATCTTCATGCTCTAGGGTTACCTGTGGTGTATCACATGGTTTAGTGCTAGGGCCTGTTCCCCTTTCATGGGATTAATTACCACTGTTATGCTGATTATACTCAGCTATATCTATTATAGTCTTTAGACCAGAGTCTTTTAAGTCGAAGCTGATTAGTCAGTCACTTCATTTGGATGGGATTAAATTGAGCTCAGACAATAAAGTGAAACATTTTGGTGTTATTTTTGAACAGGTCCTTCTCTCATCTTTGGGAACATTGCAACAATTTGAAATATTATTTCCAGGGGTGATGCTAAGAAACTAGTCCATGGATTTGTTACTTCAAGGCTTGACTATTGTAATTCTTTAATATCAGGAGGTCCACAATCTAGTAGTTGCGGTTCTTACTGACTGGTTTGACATAGCAGTCAACTCAAAATCCATTTTTCAAGACAGTTAACACAGAGTCCTAAACAGTGGCACCAATGGTCAAAATGGCACATTTATTTTGCAAAAGGCTCTAACGTGACAAGATCATGTAAAATATCGACCAAAAGCACATTTTACCCTCAACAGCAAACAGTGCTTCAAAATCATTCACTACACAAGCGGCAGCAAAAGGCGAAATACTGCACTCAATGATAATCATTGCGGCATTGCTGGTTATTTTAGCAAATGACTGTACGCAGTTTACATGTTAGCGTCATTTGTAGTCAAATGTGCCTTTTTACAAAAAATATCAGATATGCTGTGATACAAATTTTATTGATCGTTCTTATTTGTTCAGATTTCAGCTAACAAATGAAATTCCAACAGAAAATACTAGGGCTGTCAAACAACAACAATTTTTAATGGCGTGAATACCATGACATGGGGAGTTAAAAAGTCTCTCCCTCCTCTTTCTTTCTCTCGCACTCAATATTTTCCCTCATGATGCACCAAGGGAACATTTTCTACCGACCATCCTTGACATGCCTCTGCATCTGTATCTTGGGCAGCAGCAGTCATTGCATTGAGCAAAGGCATCTGCTCATATCGACCATGATCATTTACCATGCACTGAAGAATTCCTCTATAGGATGGAGAGCATGGAGGAAGAAGTTGCACAATCATCCTAGGGTGCATCACAGACCATTTGTTCACTACACGAGAGTGTTGGAATATAATCCCAGATTATCATAGTGATAATGCCAGGCCTCAACAGCCCTATTTCTTAGGCGGGAAAGCCTGTCAGGCATGGTGTTAAGGAATTGCAATGAGGCTCTCCGTACTCTCTGTCATATTCCAATCGCTGGAATATGTCAGAGGACGCCATCATTGGAAATAGCAGCAGCCTCTGTCCCAGAACTGTTATAGTGGCCATATGCCCATGGTTATATCAGGTAGGTCTCATCCAGCGTTTATCACCAACTATAGTGTGTTCTGCTAAGCTCATAGAATGAGCTAATGAGAGGCCGGTTTTAAACGCCACAAGCACACCGCTATGCAAGCCCACATCTGCTGGGTTGGTTGCAACTTTCAAGTTGTCCAGATGTGCGTCAACTCAGCCTAATTAAGTCCACTATTTGACAAGTTGACTTTTTAGTTAATGCCCTAGTATGTATTTTGTTGCAACATTAACTGTTACTCAGTTGAAAAACTCTAACAATAAATGCAACTCAGTTTCTATTGAGAACAGCTTGGACTCTTTGTCCAGCCTCTCTAAGTGAAAGTTCATGATTTACCTCTTGATCAATCATAGTTGCCCAAATTCCATCTGTAACTTGAGCCCTTCCAGCTACAGTTACACCTCGCACACAAACTCCTATTCACAACATGGCACCTTTTATGGCCTGCAGACTGATTGCAAATTGAAAAGTTGTTTAAAGCAGTGTCAAACTGGTGCTTAAGTGATTTCATAACAATCAAGAAGTTTCTAAGAGCTGGGAACATATGGTTTTTGTTTGGCTACTACAGCTAAGCAATGAAGTTTGGACTACTTGAATGATCAACATTAATGGCTTTACAAAAGGGATGAAATATTTCAAACCATTGAGAATGGGTTAACTCGGTTGCAAGAGGTGTCTTGCTCTGCTGAGAAAGTGATGATGAAGACTGAGAGGTCTTCATCATTAAAAACTGTTAAAGCCTCCAGCTGATCCAAAATGCTGCAGCCAGAGCTCTGACGAAAATTAATAACAGATATCATATTCCTCCTATCCTAGCTTCTCTTCACTGGTTTCGTTTTAAATCCAGAATAGAATTTAAAATCCTTCGTCTTACATATAAAGCCTTAAATGGCCGAGCTCCATCTGATATCAGAGATCTGATTGTTCCTTATGTTCCTAACAGAGCACTTCGCTCTCAATCTGCAGGTTTACTAGTGCTTCCTAGAATTTCTAAAAGTAGAATGGGAGGCAGATCTTTTAGTTATTAGGCTCCTCTCCTGTGAAACCAACTACCAGTTTTAGTCCGTCAAGCTTTCTATTTTTAAGGCAAGGCTTAAACCTTTCCTTTTTCTTAAAGGTTAGAGTCTCGGGTTATCCTGAGCTATCTCTATAGTTATGCTACTATAGGCTTAGACTGCTGGAGGACATAGGGACAGCTTTTTATCATTCTGCTTCATTTTATCTCTATTCTTCCATTCTGCAGTATTTGTTAGTTCAATCTCTAACATTATGCTCTCTTTGCTTTTTCTCATCATAGTAGCTTCATCTGGTCTGTTCCTGTTTGGCCGTGACACCATCCCTGAGAGAAATTTCTGCTGTGCTGCCTCCATTAACACCTTTGTATATAGATGTTGGAGCTTTGCCTGGTTTTCAGTTTTTTCCTGTTTCTCTTACTGTGACTAACTGTATGTGCTCTCTTTCATCCTCTGACATGGGATCTGTCTCGGAGCTCTTCTGCCTGGCTGTGTGTTTTCCCTGGAAGGGACACCTATGGAGCTGGTTGACAGATGTCTTTTGTATCTCTGTTTTTTTCTATATTCTACTTCTATGTCCTTAAACCCCAGACTGCCTCGACATATGCTTGCTCACACATAGCCTGGTTGTGCTGGAGGCTTCTTTCTGTAGAGAGGGAATTTTCCTCTCCACTGTTGCTACAAGCGTACTTGGTGTGAGGGATTACATCTCCTTGCATGTTCTCTGCATCCACAGCACCTCCTTTTCAACTTTCAGCTGGTATTTGTGGAAGTTGTTGTTGTATTATTTCAGCCGATGTTGATTAGCTGCTCTTGGGTGAAAAAATTCAACTTGCTGTGGTTACGCAACATAACAAGTATCCAAAGAGAAAAAAATATTAGTTAAAATCCTTCCATTTTCACAACATTCAAGATCAGAGGCAAGAAAAATCAGAAAAAATAAACCCTGATTCACTGTGGAGCTAAAGTACTCTATTCTAGAATCAGCTCAATCAAACAGAACCTCAGAACCGTGCCAGCATCGGTTAAGGCTCTTTTAATAAGGTGCTTTAAATGCTTCTGGTTTTAGTTTGTCAGAGTTTAGTTACAATGCTATTCGGTTCTGGAACCAACAGAACCTGGACTGGGAACATTTCTGTTATCCGATGCTGACCTTTAAGGATGAGATGAGTTTGTTAATTCTATTCTAAATTGTTCCTTTGCTCTTCCTAAAGCATTTTAATAACCAGCTGTCTGACTGGACAGGCAAGGATCAACTCTCCTGACCTCTTTCTCATTCAGGTTCTGTTGGCTGTGGATTATTCTCTGGTTCTGTTCCATGGCCGAGACCACATTCTGAAGTATCTCCTGACCCTGATGAACATTGTAAGTAATAAAAGATAAATCCTTCATTCATAAACTGATAAATGTGTCTTAGGGGCTTTTGGCGGATGAATACTAAAGACATCAGTTGCTGGGTCTGTGTTAACAGAACATAAGGAAAGAAATTTGGATCAAATCTTTCTGATTTCAGGTCAACCTGATCTTTCTGTTCCTTTAGTTTTTAGGAGCACTCTGCTACTGTTGGATCTTTTGTTGTTATCAAAGTCTGAATTATTTAGTTTGGAAGTTTTGAGTCAAAGAAAATAATTTGTCAGGAAGTGACCAGGCTTCTCTGAAGCATGTTTCTGTGCCAATGAGCTGAAGGTCAGAAGGTCTTATGCTACTATCACCTCATTGTTTTCTAAAGATCCATACTGGGTGGTTTGTCTCTTTCAGGTTAATGAGATCTACCAGGACCACACCCTGGGGGCCAACATCAACATTGTTGTGGCCAGAATCATCATGCTCTCTGCATCCAAGGTCTGTTTTTCCTTTTATGTAGCAGATGCTAACAGGAAGTTGATTCTATCTACAGCAGTAAAAACCCATTAGGGATTAGGTGCAGATTTCCCCGTGGTCAATCCTGGTTTTAGTGACTGTATTCCTCTCCCTAACTTTTGGTCATTTTTCCACAGTCAGTAAAACTTTTTTTGCTAGACCTCTGACTGATAAACCTCTCAGGCAGGAAGAACTGAACTCAAAGTAGAGAAACCTGCCAAACATTGAGCTTTTTTTTTTCTTCTTTCCAACAGTCCCAGGAGCTGATCTCAGTTGGGAACCCTCAGAAGAGCCTGGAGAACGTTTGTGGATGGTCATATCTCCAGCAGAGGGAGCAGAGTCATGCTGAGCACCATGACCACACCATCTATCTGACCAGGCAGGAGTTTGGCCCCACAGGCATGCAGGGTAAAGTACCACCTACTGTACTACCGCTGTACTGTACCACCTACTGTACTACCGATACTAGGAAAAACCCTTCTAACAAACTACATGGTAACCAGAACTATAAACAGGATCGGAACCAGAACATTGATGCTCTTCACAGGAGCATCAGAGCAGACTTTACCTGCTGGGAGGAAAGAGGTCTGTTGGACTGCACTATAGCATCTTTTATGGTGGGATGTTGCAGGAGCAGCTGAGAGGAAGAGGAGGGAGAAGATCATCAGGAGGATCAGCTCTGTCCAAGGATGTCCCGTGGACCTGTGTCCAATGGACATCCTGAGACATTTAATTATAAACTGTTGCTCCTCATAGGCACAAAAAGGGCCTTGGTAGACCCTTCCTCCCAGCTGCTGTTAGACCTCATGCTCTCTGCTCCCATCAACCAGAGTGTGCTGTCATAACATTCTGTAGCCATTCTATTTTGTTCTATTCTATTCTACTCTGTTCAATTCAGTTTATTTATATAGCCCCGATTCACAACACATGTCATCTAAAGGCGCTTTAAAATTGACCAGATCATACTGTCAAATTGATTCAAAGTTTTCTGTCTAAGGAAAACCACTTAATTGCATCGACTCATTGACTCAAATGCAATCCCTCACACTAAGCATGCTTGTAGCGACAGTTGAGAGGAAAAACTCCCCTTTAACAGGAAGAAACCTCCAGCAGAACCAGACTCAGTGTGAGCGGCCATCTGCCCAGGCCGACTGGGGTTCAAGGAGACAGAAGCAAACATACAAAAAGAAGCAGAGATAAAAAGGCAATTATTCTGTTCTATTCTATTCTAGTCTGTTATATTCCCACTAGAGGTTTCTGATTTTACCTTCATCCATTCCTCTGGGCAAAGTGATGTTTTGCTGTTTTTATATCTACAGATGTACTGCCAATACTCATCAAGTAATTTTTTTTTTTTTTCATTTATGTAAATACTACCATAAGTACTTAATGTGGAGTTGCTTCTGAAGTAGCTAATCTCTGAGGTCTGTCTGTGTTGCAGGATATGCTCCAGTTACAGGAATGTGTCAGTTGCATCGGAGCTGTGTTCTGGTTCTGGAGGATGGCTTCTCCTCGGCTTTTGTGGCTGCACACGAGACGGGACATGTGTGAGTCCCTGAACACAACCTGATCCACGCTGGTGGATCTGGTACAGCGAACAACTTGTTCAGGGAAAAACTCTCATGGTGGGTCTTCCTGTGGGTCTCCAGGTTGGGTATGGAGCATGACGGTGAGATGAATGACTGCTTTGATGATGTCCCTCTGGGCAGCATAATGTCTCCAAGGGTCCAGGCATCTTTCTACCGTTACCACTGGTCTAGCTGCAGCTGGAGGGAGCTTCAGAGGTTCCTGCAGTAAGTAGCAGCACAGATGCATCCTCTCTGTGCTTATGGTAGAGTGATGCTCTTTAGCCATAGGTGGTTTGTTTGCCTGCAGCACCTACGACTGTCTACGAGATGATCCCTTTAACCATGAGTGGCCCACCCAGCCTCAGCTACCGGGCTTTCAGTACTCCATGGACCAACAGTGTCGCTTCGACTTTGGGCCGGGATTCAGCCTGTGTACTGCAGTAAGTCCTCCGTTTTTTCTGCAGAGGAAGTTCTGATACGGTATAAGGCCGATTGATCAGAAATGTTTGGCAGGGTTCACAGATTGATCAGACCCAGATCTAGGGCTGGGTACCGAACTTCGGTTCTTTTATGGTACCGACCGAAATGCTTTCGTTCTAAAGAGTATCGAAACACGCCTCGTCTTTCGGTACCAAGTTTCGGTGATTGGCTGTAACACTTAACGTGATTGCGTCATCTAGGAAAAATACACAGGTGGTCACGCCTACAGCCAGGGTTCATGTAACACTGATGCTAATAGTGCGCAATGCAATACATCGTGCACGGAAACAATTTAAGAGCGGAAAGTTGCTCGGTGTTTGACTGCAAGAAGAGCGGACCACAGCCAGCGCCACCATCCTCCTCTCAGCAGCCCGTGGGCAGAGCAAAGCCAGAGCGGAGTGAATAATGCTGCTTTCACACCAGACGCAGCAAAAGAAGCAAAATCACGTCTGCTGCTTCCTTTTTTGCTGCTTGTACCAGTTAGTTCTGATGCGCGGCTGAAGAAGCTTTGCTGCTCTGGCTGCGCGGTCGAAAAGTGGCTCTGACGCGCGTTGGGCGGAGCTACTCTATCCTTTATTTGCCTTGCAGCTATATTTGCTGTGATCAGTGGGAATAAAGTAGTTTTATTATGTTTTTAAGTGGGAAAATCCACCTGAAAACTTAATCAGTGCAGTCAGTTCATCCTGCCTTCCAATATTTCTGTCGGAGCCGCTCAGACCCCCACCTACCAGCGGAGCGCTGTCAATAGGATCCCATTCAACGGGCTTGTTTGTCAGACATGGTAATTTTTCTAAAGGAAAACTGCTAAGTAAAAAGGTCCTCACAATGTAACAGTGAATATTAGACACCGATTTTTTTTTTTTTTTTATGTAAGAGGAAAAATGTAAATGGAAAAATCAGAGCTTAAAATAAAACTCAAGATTTGTACTTTTTTATGTTGTGTAATTTTCTTTTTCTTCGAATTGATATTATAAAACTGGTATCGAAAAAAGTATCGTTCAGGAACCGGTATCGAAGTGAAGGTATCGGTATCGGTACCGGAACCGAAGATTTTTGAACAATACCCAGCCCTACCCAGATCTGATCCATTTGCACATATGTCACCAGAGGCTCAAAGGTCCTCACATATTTACTTTAAGTACAGATACTTGTATGAAAGAACAGTAGAAGTATCAGCTAAACTAATATACCGAAGTAAAAATATGAAGGTACTTGTACTACTGTGTACTTAATTTTTAAAAGTAGAAACTAAAAGGAATTATGGCCGTAAATGAAATAACTTTGAAAACTTAACTTGAAAGCATCAGTTCTATGCAGACAGAACAGGGTATTTCTCCTCTAGCCTGGCCACACACACTGTCCCACACAGGGCAAAATTCAGCCTTGTTCTGGTAGGGCACAGTACTCTCCGGTCTGCAGCGGAGCCCCATAATGCAAGAGTGCTTTTCTGTAACCATAACAGTCAGATTTCATCTGCAACAGAGCAATGTTTAAAGGATGCCCATTATTAAGTCCAGAAAGAGCTGATTATATCGTTAAAGTCTTATCAGCTGGCCACTGTCAGAGCTTTTCTTTTTTTACAAAGATAGTCTTGTGTTACATCTGTAGTTTTTAGATTGGTTCTGACCTGATCTTTGAAATTGGGCTCAACCTCTCAACCTCAACCGCATTGGTAGAAACTCATGGTGTATTGAGTGGGTCCAGTTTTGTCCTAAAATCACATATCAGAAATTGAGTCATGTTTTTGGACTGTGGGAGGAAGCTCAAGTACCCAGAGAGAACCCACTCATGCAGAAAGACCCTGGGCCAGGAATCGAACCCAGAACCTTCTACAGTACAGCTCAATACCTTAACCATTGATTATGTTATTTGGCAATTCAATATTTATTCCACTGAAAAATTAAATATTTAGGGGACAGAAATAGAGTCAGTTTGTTCTCTCTAAAGGAAATTGACCCAGAATACTTTTAGTGAGACACTAATGCCTGTTCTGTCAGAAAACATTTAAAACCCAAATTAACATTTGACCTGGCTTCCAGTGGAACATTTACACTACTAGTAATGAACAGAGTAAACAGAGTAATGAACAGAGTTATCAAATTTTTAGCATCAGCTCAGTCTATATGCTTAGAATGCTGTCATAGTAAACCTTTAGGTAGCATTACCATAGGTGTGAACAGGCTAACCTCACTGATAGTGACTGACAGCTTCACTGATAGCCTCACTGATAGCGACTGAAAGCCTGGCTGATAGCATCTGATAGTGACTGTTAGCTTCACTGATAGCAACTAATAGCCTCACTGATAGTGACGGATAGTCTAACTGATAGCGACTGTAAGCCAGGCTGGTAGCAATTGATAGTGACTGTTAGCTTCACTGATAGCAACTGATAGCCTCACTGATAGCAACTGATAGCCTAACTCAGGGGAGGATCTAGGATTCTTGGAGATCAGGGGCTTAGCCCCGATGGTGAAGATGAGCGTGTAGACTTTCTGCTAAATCCCGTTCTAATGTAAAATATGACAGATTACTGGATTAAAGAAATTTCTAGTATACTACATGCTATCACACATAACAATTCCAGCTCCATAACATGGGAAGAAATTAATTTACCTGCAAGTTTTTAAATGTGTTTATTTCTTTCTTCAACAACATGCTCTGTGGAGACATTTGATCATTATTTGCTAAAGTTATGAAGGGGAAATCATATATTTTAGCCACCTGATATAATCTGCTCCCCCATAACATGGGAAAAATTAAACAAATCCTGTGAATTTTGAAACTGTCATTATTTTTCTATATTATGTTTGAAACATTTATTATTTTATATTTTGAAATCTTAAATAGTTAATTAAAATATGTAAATTCTCAATTCAAAATGTCTGGAATAGCATTACTTCAGACATTTTGAATTGAGAAAGCTCTCTGGATGGAAAACAAAGTCCAGCTGTTTTGGTTTGAACTTTTCTTTTGAAATATATTTGTAAATTGTTAGATAAACATTTAAACAGAAAAGAAATTACATAAAGATCATCAAAGGGTAAATGGATTATATCAGGTGGCTAAAATATACGATTTCCCTCTCATAACTTTGGCAAATAATGATTTAATGTCACCAAATCCACAGGATTTGTTGTTGATGATGGGAGGAATAAACACAGTTAAAGATTTGTAGGTGAATTAATTCCTTCCCATGTTATGGAGGAGGATGGAATATTCCAGGCAGCTGAAATATCCATTATCTCCTCTCCTCCTCCCATATGTTTAGGAAATAAACAGCAACTGTTTCCAAATTCTCAAAAAATGTTATGTTTGAAATGTCTTTAATCCAGTAATGTGTCATATTTTACATTAGAACGGGATTTACCAGAAAGTCTACTCTCTAATCTTTTCTGGAAATCTTAATTTTTGTGTCCTGCTATCAGCCAGTTTCCGTCCTCTTATATCAGCAGTGAAAAATGATAAATACTTCTGACTTTTATTTCTGTCAGGCTTAACTGACAGAAGTTGGAAAAAGACAGATTCTCTTGGCGTTTAAAAATAACACAAAACAGCTTAAAAGGACCTCGTCTATTTATTTATTTTACAATTTTATAGACAACAGCTGCTGATTAAACTGGATGTTACAACATTGACATGAATGAAAATAGTCCCATCCGCCATGTTCGCCTCTCTGGCTTCAATGCGCGCTCCCGACACAAGGGGAACAGAATTTTATACAACTCCAGGACAAAGAACGTCTGGAAGTCAGTCAGAGCTTCACATACCTGGGACTAGAGTCTTGCAACGGGTCAGGTACCCGCGGTCACCCGCTAAAATGCTCTTTTGCGGGTGTAAAATACATAAATAAAAATAAACGGGTACGCGGGGTCGGGCGGATATTTTTTTAGTGCGGGCGGGTAGTTGGTGATTTTTTTTTGTTATGCGTGTGTGTTGTTATGGACATCAGAAATGTTATATTAATCAGGCACTGGGGTCACCCTTGTTGTAGCTTAAAGCCCTGCCGGCAGTGTGGGCTTCCCTCCAAAAAGGCCACAGTCAGTGCATTCACGTCTGCTGCAGTGTTAATGGCGCTGCTCTGCAGCGCAGCGTACTGTAGCCTATTACTTGATGTGTTAACGGGTCGGGTTGCGGGTTAAATATCAACGGGTCGGGTCGGGTTCGGTTTTGAATTGAAGATATCCGCGGGTGACGGGTCGGGTTCGGTAGTCATCCTAACGGGTTCGGGCGGGTGCGGGTTGGTAAAACTAGACCCTTTCAGGGCTCTATCTGGGACATCAGTCTGTTTAACAACAACTTGGGGACTTCTTCTGCACAAGAATGCTACAGGCTACTTTCCTGCACATGCTGCCACTCTCTGGTGAATTCCAGTACTGCACATTTTACTCTGATAAGCTCAGAAGTAGAGGTGGGCGATACCGGGATTTTTTAATCGATCCGATACCAAGTAAATACTGGGTCAGTATCGCCGATATCGATACCGATACCGATACTTTTTACATTTAAGCTCCACTTGCCTGTTGCTTTTTTTCTATAAAGTTCTCAATCGTGGAATAAATAAGAGATTATCTAATGTTAGCTTATTTTAGCTAACAATTTTTAATGGGATAAATGTACTGGGTTTTTTCAAGGTCTTAACTACACTTTCTGAGTAATATATGATGTATAATGAAGTGCTGCAGACGATGACCACTGTTATCTACCTGGATATTCTCTGGAGGACTGAAACGCTTGGGTCAAAGATGTCTGTCTGAGGCTGGAGGCGGGTCTTTGGTCTCTCTCTCCATCCAAGTCTGAGTGAGCACTCACCCAGCAACCGGCAGCGCGGTTGTCTGTGTGACGTAGTGCTGAGTGGGCAGGCCAAGCTAAGCCTGCGCGCTGATTGGCTGGCGCCGCTGAGCCATGTGACTGTAGGAGAGGGGAGGGGGAGCAAAGTGCTGTTACACATATGGGGAAACTGGTGACTCCGCAGCAGTCAGCGCGCGCGAGAGAGGATAAAAAGTATCGATCTTGTTAAACGAATATTGTTCAATATAAATACCAGCGTTGGTATCGATAGTATCGATCCTGGGATCGATCCGCCCACCTCTACTCAGAAGCGAGATCCGGGGCTCTTGGGGAAACATCTGGGGCTGCAGCCCAAGTAGCCACCCCCTAGATCCGCCACTGGCCTAACTGATTGTGACTGAAAGCCTGGCTGATAGCAACTGATAGTGACTGATAGCCTCGCTGATAGTGACTGTTAGCCTCACTGATAGCTGCTTATAGCTTCAATGATAGCGATTGATAGACTCACTGATAGCCTCACTGATAGCAACTGATAGTGACTGATAGCCTCACTGATAGCTTCACTGATAGCCTCACTGATAGCAACTGATAGTGACTGATAGCCTCGCTGATAGTGACTGTTAGCCTCACTGATAGCTGCTTATAGCTTCAATGATAGCGATTGATAGCCTCACTGATAGCAACTGATAGTGACTGATAGCCTCGCTGATAGTGACTGTTAGCCTCACTGATAGCTGCTTATAGCTTCAATGATAGCGATTGATAGCGACTGATAGCCTCACTGATAGTGACTGTTAGCCTCACTGATAGTGATTGATAGCCTCACTGATAGTGACTGATAGCCTCACTGATAGCTGCTTATAGCTTCAATGATAGCGATTGATAGCGACTGATAGCCTCACTGATAGCAACTGACAGTGACTGATAGCCTCACTGATAGCTGCTTATAGCTTCAATGAAAGCGATTGATAGCGACTGATAGCCTCACTGATAGCCTCACTGATAGCAACTGATAGTGACTGATAGCCTCAGTGATAGCCTCACTAATAGCAACTGATAGCCTCACTGATAGCTGCTTATAGCTTCAATGAAAGCGATTGATAGCGACTGATAGCCTCACTGATAGCAACTGATAGCCACGCTGATAGTGACTGTTAGCCTCACTGATATCTGCTTATAGCTTCAATGATAGCGATTGATAGCGACTGATAGCCTCACTGATAGTGACTGTTAGCCTCACTGATAATGACTGATAGCCTCACTGATAGTGACGTATAGCCTCACTGATAGCTGCTTATAGCTTCAATGATAGCGACTGATAGCCTCACTGATAGTGACTGTTAGCCTCACTGATAGTGACTGATAGCTTCACTGATAGCCTCACTGATAGCAACTGATAGTGACTGATAGCCTCGCTGATAGTGACTGTTAGCCTCACCGATAGCTGCTTATAGCTTCAATGATAGCGATTGATAGCGACTGATAGCCTCACTGATAGTGACTGTTAGCCTCACTGATAGTGACTGATAGCCTCACTGATAGTGACTGATAGCCTCACTGATAGTGACTGTTAGCCTCACTGATAGTGACTGATAGCCTCACTGATAGTGACTGATAGCCTCACGGATAGTGACTGTTAGCCTCACTGATAGTGACTGATAGCTTCACTGATAGCCTCACTGATAGCAACTGATAGTGACTGATAGCCTCGCTGATAGTGACTGTTAGCCTCACCGATAGCTGCTTATAGCTTCAATGATAGCGATTGATAGCGACTGATAGCCTCACTGATAGTGACTGTTAGCCTCACTGATAGTGACTGATAGCCTCACTGATAGTGACTGATAGCCTCACTGATAGTGACTGTTAGCCTCACTGATAGTGACTGATAGCCTCACTGATAGTGACTGATAGCCTCACGGATAGTGACTGATAGCCTCACTGATAGTGACTGTTAGCCTCACTGATAGTGACTGTTAGCCTCACTGATAGTGACTGATAGCCTCACTGATAGTGACTGTTAGCCTCACTGATAGTGACTGATAGCCTCACCGATAGCTGCTTATAGCTTCAATGATAGCGATTGATAGCGACTGATAGCCTCACTGATAGTGACTGTTAGCCTCACTGATAGTGACTGTTAGCCTCACTGATAGTGACTGATAGCCTCACTGATAGTGACTGATAGCCTCACTGATAGTGACTGTTAGCCTCACTGATAGTGACTGATAGCCTCACTGATAGTGACTGATAGCCTCACTGATAATGACTGATAGCCTCACTGATAGTGACTGTTAGCCTCACTGATAGTGACTGATAGCCTCACTGATAGTGACTGATAGCCTCACTGATAGTGACTGTTAGCCTCACTGATAGTGACTGATAGCCTCACTGATAGTGACTGATAGCCTCACTGATAATGACTGATAGCCTCACTGATAGTGACTGTTAGCCTCACTGATAGTGACTGATAGCCTCACTGATAGTGACTGATAGCCTCACTGATAGTGACTGTTAGCCCCCCTTATATCGACTAAAAGCTTGGCTGACAGCAATTGATAGTGACTGATAGCTTCACTTTTACAGTGTTCATCCATAACAAACAGGTTTTTAACAAGATAGCTTCTTGGTTTTCCTCCTATTTGCTGCTAACATTGTTATCAATATTTGTAGTTATTATTTTACATATATTTGTGTTCGAATGTGGTGAGTAAAAGTAGATTTTTTTTAGAAAAGTAAAATGCTGAGTACTGATAAATACAGATACCTGAAAATCTGAGTAAAAAAGTATTTATACTTCCTTACTGACTGACACTTCTGTATGCGACTCATATCTGAGTCGTATTCAGTGTGAAAGGCTAAAATCTGATACTTTTACCAAGAAATAAACAAAATTTGATCTAGGTTGGTTTTATCAAATAGGCTACACTTTTAGACATTAGAAGCTTGAATGTGGACTTGGATCTGAGCAAAACATCCTTCCATTCCTTTAACGTCAGAAACCCTGTATAATATTCCAGTTTCTAGCAGATTTAAAATGACTGGATATGTTAATGTACTGGCAATAGACATACACACTTCAGCAGTTTGAGGGATCTGTGGAAAAGGAGGCTCACTCGGACATCACTGAGTTGAAATGTGTTTTCAAATGTGAGTGAAACTCCAGGAAACCAAAGCCATGCAGAAAAGTCACAGATCGGTTCCTCTGCTCGGAGCTGCAAGCCGATCAGAGCTGATTAATCTGATTATTGAGGTGCGAATGTTGCTGCTTGATTTGATGAACATCTGGACTCATCCAAAAAAACATTAGGAAACTCATTGAAGTCGTGTTTCAGTTAATGTTTTCCACTTCGTGTTTATCTCCCCACATGTCTGGCTTTCATCAGTTTGCTTTTCTCATCCCATCTGGAAAGAGTTCTGCTTCGACCAGATTTAACAACACAAAAACGTTTAAATGTTCCAGTTCTCCTGTGACCGGATCAATAAATGTCCTTAGCCAAAGATTTCTTTCACTAAATGATCGTTGAATGTTTTTTTCTGACCCCAGTACATGACCCCTGACCCCTGCAAACAGCTGTGGTGCAGCGACTACTACAACCCGTTGTTCTGTAAGACCAAAAAGGGTCCGCCTCTGGATGGGACCAAGTGTGGACCGGGGAAGGTAAGACGGTGGTTCTTTACCTCAACTAATTTAATGTTTGAAGTCAAATTTTAGCATTAGGATCTAACAGAAACCCTTCATTTCTGACAATGAAAGTTGGTTTTCAGCCAGGAAGACTGTTAAGATAAAGAATGAATAAAGAGCCCAGTATGACCTAACTGGTCTGAAGGCTTAATGAGTGCAGCAGCAGAATGTGTTTCCAGAGTCTAACCACAGAGTTAGACTGGTCTGAACTGTGTTACCAAGGCAACTGTCTGTGGTTGCAGCACTGCTTCAAGGGTTTCTGCATCAAGCTGACCCCTAACCTGCTGAAGCAACATGGAAACTGGGGAAGATGGAGTCCATTCGGCAGCTGCTCCCGGACCTGCGGGGGTGGGGTCCGTTTCCGCACCAGACAGTGCGATAACCCGCCGTGAGTGAACTGCGGATCGGCAGTGATGTCACACATCAGCTGCACCAATCAGAAGCACTTACCTTTCCTGTTCTTAGTCCAGCCAACGGAGGGCGCACCTGCTACGGGAACAGCTATGAGTTCCAGCTGTGCAGCCAAGAGGACTGCCCCCCCCTGACTGACTTCAGGTCAGTAAATCTGCTGTCTGGTTCTGTCCTCTGGCTGACTTTGGGTCAGTAAATCTGATGTCTGGTTCTGTTTCAGGGAGGATCAGTGTAAAGCCTGGAATCCGTTTTTGGAACATGCAGGAATGAAGCATCACTGGCTTCCTTATGAGCATCCTGACCGTAAATACACACCAAGGCACACACTTCTCCAGACATCATGACAGTTAACATAGAAAGACTAAAACAAAGTCACTTCTGGCTGCTGAAGGCAGTGACTGAATCACAGACAGTATCCTTCTGGGTTTAGCTCTGAAAGGGAGGATGTATTTCTGAAGAGTAATCTGCTTTGATTTGTGGGGACGGTGCACAGATACTGTGGAACGCTGTGGACCTGGCCACACTAGGACGGGTTCAGGTTCATATGGTTTTGGTTTTATGTCCTTGGAATGCGTTATGTAACAGGAGGTCCTGGAAAAGCCCCAAAGACATCCTGTGTGTGTTTGTGGTTGCTCTGGCCTTTGCTACTGTGTGAGGCCAGTTTTTCAACATAAACCTATCTTGTGAGGACCGCAGGTCTGGGTCGGGGTTTGGCTGAGTTAAGGACTGGGTTCAGTCACAAAGATGAATGGAAAATGTGTGGAAGTCGATTCAAAGTCCTTGTAAAAATAGGAAAGTAATTGTGTCAGTGTGTGTGTGTGTGTGGTGGGGGCGTTCACATGTTAAAGTCATCAGGCAGGAATCTGTAGTTGGAAAGAAAGCTGGAGCCTTTCCTCCCTTTAACTCTTCATCATCTGAGAATAATTTAGTCCCCAAACCTTTTTATAGTCAAGTTTAAAAAATTCCACCTGAAATCTGTCTGAGCCCAGATGTCTCTCTGTCCCTCTCTGTCCCTCTCTCTCTGTCTCTGTGTCTTTCTCTGTGTGCAGAGGATGAGCGCTGTCGTCTCTACTGTCAGTCTAAGGAGACGGGCGCCGTGGTGTCCATGAACAGAATGGTGCATGATGGGACGCTGTGTTCCTATAACGACGCCTACAGCATCTGCGTCCGAGGAGAGTGTGAGGTCTTTATTGTACTTTGGTTTCCAAGTGTCACTAACATCCTGCAGTTTTGTTTGTAATTTAGCAAGTGATGATGAGGATGAGTCCCTTGGCTGCTTCCTCATCAAAGGCTACAGCAACTCGTTACGACTAGCTTACAGAAAGCATATTTTTAACACCAGTTGGCCCTTCCTGGCTGCAGGGAGGAAAATTAAGGAGGAAAATGTAGAAAGAAAATTGTGCTTTAATACATTGATATTAAGGATTCTGGGTTCTGGTTTCTTTATCAAAATTGGTTGTTTTTTCTGTGTGATTTAGTTCTTTTACTGACTTAAAGGTGAATCAGTTCAACTATGTAGATGTAAGGTCTTAGGTCCTGTACCAGTAATCTGTTCCCTTTTGTTCCTTTCCCTGCTCTCCCCCTCCTGTAGCATGTAGGATGTGACGGGCAGATCGCCTCTGAACAACGGGAGGACCAATGTGGAGTCTGTGGAGGAGATGACTCCAGCTGCAGGGTTGTGAAAGGGAACTTTACCCGAAGTACCAAGAGACCAGGTTCTACAGCTAAACCAAACTCACTTGTTTGCACATCCATCAGCCATAACATTAAGACCATTAGCAGACCTCCAGCTTCTTCATCTCTGCAGTTTAGAGTAAAATCCTCACTCGGCAGGGGGAAAGGACCTTTAAGAAGTGTCCACTAAAAAAATCCTACAGAGCTACAATCCAATGCGGTCTGGAAGCAGGAACAAGTTCAATAATCAGGTTTCCAGCAAGCAGTTTATCCGTGAGCTTTATATCAGCTCCTGAGTCGATAATAATGGACCCTGAGTGCTACAGTACACACCCCCCATTTGATAATTGCCTGAGTTCCAGAATCAGTGGGAAGGGATCAGTGTTGGACTGGCTGAAATCCAGACAAGAGAATCAGTAAAAGGAGGCACACGAACCGGTGCTGATCCGAGGTCCAGATTTTAGATATTCATGATTTGACAGAACGATATAGAAAGGAACAGAGGCAAACAGACTGTCAGGAGGTAAGGAAGGAGCTTGATGTCCATAGCTCAGACGCTAACAGGAGTATACAGCCGGACTGAGGCAGGCAGGAGAAAACAGGAACGAGATAGGTCAAGATCAGGAGGTCAAGATTAGCACTGCTGAATGCCTGAATCTCCCACAGGGGAGAATAACAACCAGATTTTTTAACCAGGCTGACAGCTCTTGCCTAGATACTGCAATTGCTGCACTGTAAGAAAAGAAAAAGTTAGTTCAACTCAAAATTTCAAGGCAACCGACTGCACAGAATTTTTGAGTTGAAGGCATCAACTTATTTTTTTAAGTTTTGTAGAACTACACTTATTAAGTTGTGTCAGCTAAGTTTTTCAAGTTCTGCCAACTAAGTTTTTTTAATTCAAGTTATTGGAACTTTCAAGTCTGTAAAAACTTATTATTTTAAGTTCAGATTATCTGTAAAAAGTTATTTTAAATTCAGATTACAATCCCCTGTAATAACTTATATTTTTGAGTTTAACCCCCCCCATTAAATCATCCACTGACAGTAAACCATCAATCCATTTTCTTACACGCTTGTGCCGAGTGGGGTCGCTCCAGCAGTCAATGGGCAAGGTACACACCCATGCACACACTCACACAATTTAGAGAAGCCAATCAACCTAACGGTCATGTTTTTGGACTGTGGGAGGAAGCTGGAGTACCCGAAGAGACATGCAAACATGCAAACTCCATGCAGAAAGACCCCAGGCCAGGAATTGAACCCAAAACCTTCTTGCTGCAAGGGAGCAGTGCTACCCACTGCGCCACTGAGCAGCCGTGACAGTAAACCAGTTAAATTTTGCATGTTTATTTGAACCACTTTTGCAAAAACAGGTTTACAATTCCACAATGTAAAAAAGCAATGTAAACAAGTAATCTTATGCTTAAAGCAAATCAGGTTTCAGCATATATTTTTTTACTTTCCAACTCCTGTTAAAACCTTACACATAATGCAATATTGCCAGAGATGACAGGAAACCAGTGCCCTAGTCTTCTCTTGGAAGAGTCCTCAGGGAAAGTTACCGCCAGCAGAGTGACCAGAAGGCTGATGCAAACTTTAGAAGGGAGCTCCTGGGAAAATCCATGGAAACCCTGTAGCAGCCGGTTGCCATGACAAATTTGAAATGAGCATGCGCAGATAAGTTGACCTCGCTCGGACTGGGTGTCAACTACAACTTCAAAGTAAACTCAACTTAATTTATAGAATAAGATTAACTTTTCATCACAAACTTATGAAAGTGAGTTCAACTGGCTCACAAAAGACAGTTCAAGTTCCAACTGGCAATTTTATTGTCAGTGAATGCAAAAATCTTAGTAAGGTGAACAATTTTGAGTTGTCGTTTTTACAGTGTGGGTATAGAATGCTGCCATGCGGTTCATCGTTGCTGTTGGGCAGAAAAACTTTGATCTGTAGAATTCAAATAAACTCTTTTTATGAATTTATGCCCTACAAAGAAAAATTGTATTACAAAAGTTGTGAAAATAGCAGATCTAGTTCAACACATCATATTGGTTAATATAGCAGACAGACAAGCGAAGACAATGTACAGTAAAAGAGTGTTTTTAGACATACAAGGTTTCCATTCAAAAGCAAACACTTCCTGATCTACTCTGAATTATGCATTACAAACAGATAAATAAAATCTTAATTGCTCAAAAAAAGCAAAGAACAAACCCCTTCTGGCTTTATTTCTGAGAATTTACCTCTTTGTTACCACTGCTCAGGGTACAAAGTAGATTTAAATTCACAGGGTATTGATATAAAAAACTACAGAGAGAACCTACATATTTGCCTTGTAATGCCATAGCAATCCAGACCTAAAATGAATTAATATGCTAACTAATATGTTGACATATTCAAAGAAAACATAGAAAATGTTTTAATGACAATACAAGGAAACATTTACATCACATTTAAATAGATAGAAACGAGAACTATGATAAAGAAATCCAAAGATCTATGCACCTTTTCACCTTGCTCTTTATCCAAAAATAAACAGTATGCAATGAAATATTTCCTTTGGGTATAATTTAGGGATTCCTTTTGGTAGAAATTGAAGAATGTTTAGTATCACCTCTTGTGAGCTGGAAGAAATTAAATCTTGATAGTTAGAAAAAAGGATTTTTTCTTACGCTTGACAGAGGATGATCCACCATATAGTTTATTAAGTTGCGAAAGCAGGAAGAGCCATACTGCTGAGAGTTAACTATTAGTGTGGAGCAGAATCTGAGATAATCCATGCAAAGTTTTGTATTTAGTCTCGTCTCGTTGACGAAAACTCAAACCCATGACTAGTCATGTTTTTGTCATCAAAGATCCACATTTAGCTCGTCAGTTTTCGTTATCGTGATGAAAAAAGGAGAATCAACCAAATAATCTTGTCATCGTTGACAAAAGCAACACTGGTTTGAACTATGTTCAAAGGAAATTGTTCTAGGGACTTTCTCGTTCATAAAGCTGTCTAAGCCTACCTAGTGATGGCCAAATGAGTATGCATGTCCACGTTGTTTCATTCTGGTCTCCAATGGGCTATTCTCTAGGTGGCAAAGGCCTGCCCCATGGCCAAGCAGTGTTTATTTTTAAATTCGTCATTTGTCAGATTGATCTGAAGGGTCTGTGAGGCGCAGATTCAAATGGATGAAGCAGATTAGCAAGATCAAAAGCAACAAGAAATGAGAGGAAAGTAAAGCAAGAGATTTTTTTTTATATAAAAAAAAATATGTCACAAAGCTTCCACTGTAAGGAAAATAAGCAGGTCAAGGAATTAGGACTGGAATTAACTGGCTTAAAAATCAGATTCAAGTGTAGTTTATTGAGCGTTATCCTTTTCTTCTGGTGGCCCCCTAGTGTTGATTCTAATGCTGCTAAGGGCTTGGGCTGCTGGAGGACAGAAGGACCTACACTATATTGCCAAAAGTATTTGCTCACCCATCCAAATTATTGGAATCAGGTGTTCCAATCACTTCCATGGCCACAGGTGTATAAATTCAAGCACCTAGGCATGCAGACTGTTTTTACAAACATTTGTGAAAGAATGGGTCGCTCTCAGGAGCTCAGTGAATTCCAGCGTGGAACTGTGATAGGATGCCACCTGTGCAACAAATCCAGTCGTGAAATTTCCTCGCTCCTAAATATTCCACAGTCAACTGTCAGCTGTATTATAAGAAAATGGAAGTGTTTGGGAACGACAGCAACTCAGCCACGAAGAGGTAGGCCACGTAAACTGACGGAGCGGGGTCAGCGGATGCTGACGCGCATAGTGCGAAGAGGTCGCCAACTTTCTGCAGAGTCAATCACTACAGACCTCCAAACTTCATGTGGCCTTCAGATTAGCTCAAGAACAGTGCGCAGAGAGCTTCATGGAATGGGTTTCCATGGGCGAGCAGCTTCATCCAAGCCATACATCACCAAGTGCAATGCAAAGCGTCGGATGCGGTGGTGTAAAGCACGCCGCCACTGGACTCTAGAGCAGTGGAGACGCGTTCTCTGGAGTGACGAATCGCGCTTCTCCATCTGGCAATCTGATGGACGGGTCTGGGTTTGGCGGTTGCCAGGAGAACGGTACTTGTCTGACTGCATTGTGCCAAGTGTAAAGTTTGGTGGAGGGGGGATTATGGTGTGAGGTTGTTTTTCAGGAGCTGGGCTTGGCCCCTTAGTTCCAGTGAAAGGAACTCTGAATGCTTCAGCATACCAAGACATTTTGGACAATTCCATGCTCCCAACTTTGTGGGAACAGTTTGGAGCTGGCCCCTTCCTCTTCCAACATGACTGTGCACCAGTGCACAAAGCAAGGTCCATAAAGACATGGATGACAGAGTCTGGTGTGGATGAACTTGACTGGCCTGCACAGAGTCCTGACCTCAACCCGATAGAACACCTTTGGGATGAATTAGAGCGGAGACTGAGAGCCAGGCCTTCTCGTCCAACATCAGTGTGCGACCTCACAAATGCGCTTCTGGAAGAATGGTCAAAAATTCCCATAAACACACTCCTAAACCTTGTGGACAGCCTTCCCAGAAGAGTTGAAGCTGTTCTAGCTGCAAAGGGTGGACCGACGTCATATTGAACCCTATGGATTAGGAACGGGATGTCACTTAAGCTCATATGTGAGTCAAGGCAGGTGAGCAAATGCTTTTGGCAATATAGTGTATTTTCCTCACTCTGCTTCATTCTACTTTTTTTCTCCATTTCTGCTTGAATTTTTAGTTCAGCTTCTAAGTTGAACCAGACAAGGCCTAAGTGTAAGTTATAAGCATTGTCTTAAAAGTAGAAAGGGTGTCTGCCTCACAGACTAAAACTGGTAGTTCATTCCACAGGAGAGGAGTCTGATAACTAAAAAGTCTGCCTCCAAATCTACTTTCAGAAATTCTAGGAACCACCAGTAAACCTGCGGATTGAAAGCAAAGTGCTCTGTTAGGAAAATAAGATCTCAATCAGATCTCTGATATCAGATGGAGCTTGGTTATTTAGGGCTTGTGAAGTAGCCTTGAAGTAACAAATGCATGGACTCATTTCTCAGCATCACCCCTGGACAAGATATTTCTAATTTTTGCAATATTCTGAAGATTACAAATGGAACTTGTAGAAACATTGAGAGCTTAAATCCAGTCAGTGGTCATAATGTTATGACGGAATCTTGGTTGGTTTCATGTCTGAATAATTGCTGATAACTGATCATCTGCTTTAGGTTACTTGAAAATGTTGGAGATTCCCAAAGGAGCCAGACATCTTGTGATCCAGGAGTTCAAAGGGACTCCTCATGTTCTTGGTGAGACGACTAAGGAAACTAAGATCTTGTCTCAATTGTTGCTTCCATAACAAACTAGACACAGAGTTTTATGTTGCAGCTGTAAAGAACCTGGAGACGGATAGTTTCTTCCTCAATGATGAACACGAGATTCCTGAAAGCCGGGTGGTGATTGAAAAGGGTGTGGTCTGGAAATACAATAAGACTGGTGAGCAGGAGACCCTCCAGACCACTGGGCCACTAAAGTATGGGGTCATACTAATGGTCAGTCACCAGGGGAGAAGACACAGTTTGTGAATTTCTCTGGATAGAAGGTCTGTAGCTAACCCTGTCCTCCCTTGTCAGGTACGTTCCCACCTAGACTCCAAGGTGACGGTGTCTTATAAGTACATCATTCAGGATCATATTCGTTCTTCTCTTGAGTCGAACCTGGTTCAAGAAGAAGGTCTTGTCTATGAATGGGCTCTGAAGAGGTGGTCCCACTGTTCCAAACCCTGTGGTGGAGGTACGTCCCAGCTAATTTTCTCTTTTCTCTAATTTTCTTCCTCTTCTGTTTAACTCGGCGTCAAACTGTGTTGCAGGGACCCAATATACCAGGTTTGGCTGCAGAAGGAAGGTTGATGGGAAAATGGTTGAGAGGATATTCTGCTCCCACATCAACAAACCTCGACCCATCAGCCGCAAGTGCAATACTGAAACCTGCAGATCTCCACGGTAACCAACACAGACTGCCATAGAGACCATCAGGATTACTCTAGAGTCACATTTCTTTACTGATCTGACTCTTTTCCAACCACCAGGTGGGTGACTGGAGAATGGGAAGCCTGCAGCGCCTCCTGTGGTCTGACTGGGTGGCAGCGGCGCTGGGTGAGCTGCCAGCAAGAGTCTAGCAGTGGGAAGCAGCAGAGCTCAGTGAACAGCAAACTGTGTGGTGACAACCGGCCAGAGTCCAAACAGACATGCAACAGGTTCCCCTGCCCTGCATCCTGGAGAACTGGACCCTGGACCCCTGTAAGAACATGGCTGCAGGCATCTGGGCATAAATGAGTGGTGCAACATGCCGGATCTGATTCTCTCCAGCTTCCTTCTTTCCTTCATAAGACTAAAGCATTTTTTTCCCACCCTTTACGGCCTCCATCTTCTCTCCTGTAGATCTGAACTCACTTTATCTTCAAGCTTATTTTCCATCACCTTTGTTTTGTATTTCAGGTCTAACAGAAAAGGCGGTGCTTTACTATAGGTTTGCCTGTAAAAAATACACGTGGAAACATTTTTAGTACAAAAAGCTTAACTACTACCTACAGTAGATGCAGCTATGGCACATCTGTGACAATAGACACAATAGCAGGAACAGTCGGGATATTTGCTTTCATGAATATAGGTAACATATGTTCATCATCAAAATGTGTAAAACACTGAGAGGAGAATATGTAAATAATAATGACTTATCAGCTACAATGGGATTTATCAAACCTACACCTGAAGATGATGTTCTTTCTGCATCATCTGGCACTGTGATGAGTAAGAAGCACAGATATGACATAGAGAGAGAGAACTCTCTGTGTGCATGCTAACACTTGGATTGTCAGAAATACCAGCAGACATATCTTCTATGCAGAGCATCATCCCCTTATGGCTCAACAGGGCTATGTCAGGATGACTGTGGAGGAGCGCTTCTAATACAGCCCAGCTAAGGACCTTTAACCTCAAACCTTGTTTGAGGTTAAAGAAATATACTAACACACTACAAAAACTTTCTTTGCTCATTTCTTACCTTTCCACGATTTGGAAAGGTAAGAAATGAGCAAAGAAAGACCAGTCATGATGTTGTCCTCCAAATTTCCACAGTATTTAATTTTATGTTGCTCATAAATATACAAGCTTGATACGGTAAGCATATACCATGGCAAACAGATAGAGTTTTTTACCTTCATTGTATCTTATTTTACTTTGATGATTCTTGGAAACCAGAGCGCTAACTGTTAATTTTAGGAATACAGCCGTCAGTAAAGGCCTGTGGTTTTACTTAAGTTCTGTAAAATTAAATATAATATTTATTATTATCGTTGTTACAATCTAATTAGTAATCATAAATACCTCCAACTACGTGGTGTAGAACCTCTTCCTTCTTTTATGGCCAGTCTTAAATTCCCTGTTGAACATGTTAGCTCTACGCCAGACACAGACGTCCATCCCCGTGAACGCTGGGACTTAAACTCAATAGTAATGAAGAATAAATTACTCTTATTTCTTATTTCAACCGTTGCGTATATTAGCTGCAACATATGAATCAAGATGCTATGACCAAAAAAATGTGATTGACAGATGACCGTTGATATATGATTGGCCGAATTTAGGTGTTCAGGAATTTTCTAAATTTTGGGACAATATCATCTGATAAAGAGTACATTTATATAAATTTTTAAGGATTTGACATTTAAATATGATTTCCCTACGACTTTAAGCTTGTTATTTGATATCCCCCAATTCCAATTGACGATTTCCTTAGACTATTTCTGGAGGTGTATTAGGTGTAGCCAGGTAGTCCATTCACAGTCTAATTATTCCATTTCTGTGTTCAGTGTTCAGTCTCTTGTGGAAACGGGACTCAAGAGCGTCAGGTTGCCTGTTTAAATCCTGAGGGATTAACTGGAAACTGCAGTGATTCTCAGCCAATAGAAACACGCTTTTGTCAGGCTCCGCCCTGCAGCGGTGGGTATCCACCAATGAGTACATTTATTTACAGGAGCCAGCGGGAAAGCTTTAACTCTGTCACCGTGTTTCTTTCACAGGAGATCAGAAGAGCGCCATCATCCTGTGGCTTTCTAGATCCAACCCAAACTTCCCGGCTCCACAGTTGTCTCCCAGTAAAACTTCCAGCTTCCTTCTTCTGTTTTATTTCTAAGAAAAAGTTCTGACCAGTTTTAACATTGCACTAATCTTACTGGCTCCATAAGCCAACAACAAAACCATTCAGATCCATTAAACAACCAATTGGACTTTTGAAGCATTTGAATATTAATTTTAGGAGTCAGAGTTTGGATCTGTCACTTTGACCTGAATAGATTTTTCTGGTATCTATCCCATGATAGGACAGTTGTGTCTATGTGGGTCTTTAATGGTTTTGTTGAACTTCCTGGTTTCCCTGATGACAAACAACAGAGATAAAATCCATCATCATTTCCATTTGCACCGATCTGCTCTATAAGCAGAGGTTAGAAGTTTAGGTTTAATGACCACCTGATTATGTTTGTGTCTTCAGGACAGCGTTGCCGTGGTGACCGCTCCATATTTTGTCGGATGGAGGCACTAAGTCGGTACTGTTACATCCCCGGATATAGGCAGATGTGTTACAAATCCTGCAGCCAGATGAACGTTAGCAACTCTGATGGTTTCAGCAAATCCAGCAACTTGAGTCCCAGAAACAGGTCAGACATGATAAAACCTTCAAAGATGTTTACGTTCCTAGGAAATACTAGGATAGAATTCAATCACTAACAGAGCAAGAATTTGCTCACAAACTGTGAATGTTTTCTAGTTTTTCGCCACATAGTGCCCCCACCAACAGTGGCGCCACCAGGGGGTGGCCAGGGCATTGCACAGGGTGGCCGTGGCCACCACTGGCCACCCCACTCGCCAGTGTAAATTGTAGTGGCATTCTATTATGCATAGCCAGTGACACAACATTAAAAATCACACAATAAACTAAGATATGAGTAGGAATTACCTCAAGTCTTTATGATTTTTACAGGCAGGTGTACCACAATAGAGGAAATGATGGCTTTTAGTTTCAGTGTGCCACCCCAAGATTTTTAGAGGTATTATTAATAATGCTTTCAATTTGAAAAGCCCCTTACATAATACTCAGGTACACTATACAATATTAAAATAAAAGCAATAGTAACATAACAAAAAAGCAACAATAATATAAAACAATAGAAAATAGAACTGTGAGAGAGTAGACAGTTTTAAAAATAAATGTTTTGAACTGGCTTTTAAAATGGGAGAGGGAGTCAACATTGCTGGTGAACTAGGAGAATCAGAATTTGGTTTAAGAAAGTTTGCAATGAACACAGTATATGTATATCTCTGTGACATCAGCATAGCAGAGAAGCTACACCACATTGAAATAGAAGATCAAAAAATATCTGAACTCCCGCTGTCTTACATTTATCCGGTATTAGAATTGCAGGAGCAGCATTCCCAGCAGAGGCTCCCACACCTCCTTCCCCCCAGATTCCTCCTCCAGCCCTGCTGGGAGAATCCTGATGCGCTATAGGGCCAGCCAAGTGACACATTCTTTCCAGTATGTCCTGGGTCATTCTCTGGGCTGGACTTGGAGGAGCTGATCCTCACCCCACTCTGTGAAATGCTGTGAACTGGCCAAGTACATGCTGTAGGTCTTCAGAGAACCAGCAGTCATCTGCAAAAAAGCAGAGGCGAAATCCACTGGTGCCCAAACCAGAACCCTTCCGGCCATCCGTTGTGCCCAGAAATCCTGTCCATAAAGGTTGTGAACAGGACTGTAACAGAGGGCAGCCCTGCTGGAGTCCAACATGCACCGGGAAAAGATCTGAGTTAATACCAGCGTTTTGTCAGATCAGCATACCCCATCAGAATAGCATACCCATAGTCACTATGCATGCCCAAGACGTCAGATTTGCGTTTATCCCTTTAGTTTTTTCCGAAAAATAGAATTTAAACTACCTTGATGGGTTAGGGTTGTACAAAAATGTACAAAAAAACAATTTAATGTCAGATCGCCATACGCTTCAAAAAAACATCCCAAAAGTATGTTGTTTTTTTTAACATCAATAAAGGGATACACGCCTATTGAAGTAGTTTAAAGTGTATTTTTTGTGCAAAACTAAAGGGATAAACTAAAGGGATATGCTTGTCTGACAGAACACCGGTGTTCTCACAGATCAGCATACCCTCGAAGACCAGCATACCCATAGTCAATACCCATGCCCTATAACTGTGGAGTCGGCATACGCTTAGCATAAATTTAAGAGAATAAGACACAGGAAGTCTACTAGGCTACTTTATTTATGTGTGATATTATAAACAAAAAGTTGTAGTTGAAGGTAAACAGAAACTTACCAGAAAGCATACAGAAAGTCAAGTAGGCTAGTTTATTTATGCGCGATGTAATAAACAAAAAGTTTCAGTCTGAGGTAAACAGAATTTATAGCAAAGCTGCTTTAAACGCAGAAAGCCTCTTTGCTACTTCACTCCAGGGGGATTTTATACAATTTAACTTCGAAATACAATTTCTAACATTTTCATTTTAATATAGAAAGCATGTGCAGTCCCTGGAAAATTACATGATATAAGAAGATAAATACGTGGCAAAATTGTACAGCAGTTTGATCAAGGATTGAACTATTCCTTTAATCCCAATATTCAACAAGATTATTATTACTTTTTTATGGGCCATCTACAACCTTGCTACTAGTAGGCATCTTGCTCACGTTTGATTCACTTCAGTTAATCTGTTCCATCGAGCTGCTGTATTCAAGATGACAAAATGTCCAAATAAATATCATCAACGTTTGGCTAGACAGGAGATGTGTTTTGTAGGGGATGCGTTTTGTAACTGGCTGCAGGTGCAGCTTTAAAACACTTTAAACTAACTCAACGGGCGAGTATCCGTTTAGTTTTGTACGAAAAATATACTTTACACTACCTCAACAGACATGTATCCCTTTAGCCATCTACACAAAAAAAATTTATTACTGACTTTTTGGTGTTTTTGAAGTGTTTGGCTTATGGCGTATGGCGATCTGCGTATTACTATGGATATGCTGATCTGACGAGGTATGCTGATCTGACAAAACACCTGCAATGCGCACCAAACTTTGCTCCACTTGTACAAAAAACAGATTTCCCTTAGTAAAGGGCCCCTGACCCTGTATTCCTGGAGTGCTATCTACAGGGGAATTCAAGGAAGACAATCGAATACCTTCTCCAGCTCCACAAACATGTGTGCAAACTCCCATGAACCCTGAAGAGAGTGTGGGCTGGTCCACTGTTCCACGGCCACAACAAACACCACGCCGTTCCTCCTAAAGCCTAGCGTTGACCATCAGCTGAACTGTCCTCTCCAGCACCCAGGCATGAGGCCATCTTAGGGATTTTTTGTGTAATCCCACAATAGTTGGAACACACCCTCTGGTCCAAATTCTTTTAGAGGGGAAATACCACCCTAGTCTACCAGTACAGGGCCACTGTCCCCGACCTCTACAAAACTCCAAAAACAGCCAGAGCCCTGAGGTAATCAAGGCAGATATCATCCACCATGAAATTTTTTGACCACTTTTGTAACTTCAAATTGGGTGATGAACAATACTGGCTCTGAGCACCCAGTCTCTGCTTCCGCCACTTAAGATATATCAGTCCGGTAGAGGAGATCCTCAAAGTACTCCTTCCATAGTCCGACAATGTCCTCAGTCAATGTCAACAGCTCCCAACTTTCACTAAAACCACTGGTAGCAAAGCACTACTTGACCCTCAGGAGGCGCTGGCTGGTTTGCCAGAACCACTTTGGCTGGAAACTAATTCTTTCTCAATGGCTTATCCAAACTTTTACCTGGGCATCGTGCTTGGCATCACAGTATCTGCTTGCTGTCATCACGAGATCCAGAAGCCAACCAGCCTCTATAGGAACCTGCTCTTCAGCTTGCCAGTGACCACCACTTGGTTTGGGCATTGCCACCACAATAGAAACCTCAGACCTTAGAGTAACAGCTACATGTTGCTGCATTGACAATGAAAGTAGAGAACACGGTCCACTCAGTTGGATACGTCTTTGAGCGAGGGCTCCACCAGAAGTTCCCAGCAGACTCTCACTATTTTCTTGGGACTGCTGAGACTTTCTAGCTTCCTCCTCTTAGAGCATATCTAATTCACCACCAGGTGGGGATAAGTGGACAGCTCTGCCCCTCTCTTCATCCGAATGACCAAGACATGTGTCCTAAAGTCAGTAAATACTACTACAAAATCGATCATCAATATATGCTGCCAACTGCTTGAACACAATGTTCATTATGGAAAACCAAAGTCCAAAAATGAAAAACCACTGATTCATAGCTAGGTGTCCTTTATTCCTGATTACACTCCACCAGGTGTCACTGCTGTTTTTGACATGAGCATTGAAGTCCCCCTGAAGAAAGTTGGAGTCCACAAGACGGCTCATCACCATAACCCCCCAATATCTTTTCCAGAACCATTAAGTCCAAACAAGACAATGATTTGTATCATAAATACCAACAGCAAACAATGGGGTTTAAAAAAAAAACTGTATTCAGCAAAACTGATTAGCAGCTAATGGGTTTCTAGCAGGTCTTCCATGTATAAAGAAAGTTCTGTTGAAACCAGTACCAGTCCTCTGGTAACCAAGCCATAAACTTGTGGAGCCCATTTCTGTTTAACTTTGTACTTCTGTCTTACAGCTCAAGGGAGGTGACCGAAATGATATCAGCGACCGAAGCTACCTCACCGGGTAGTGATGTCACCAGGGATGTCATCAGCACACCACCCCCCACAAGCAGAAGCAGTTCCGACATCGACTACATGGAGTACAGCGAGTTTCTGACATATGACAATGAATTGCTGCCCTCTGAGGACTCATCTATTCTTCCAACTACAACAGCTGCTGTCCTTACAACCACTGTAACTACAGCTGTTACTACCACTACTACAGCTGATACTACAGCAACTACTACAGCCAGTACTACAGTTGGGGCTACAATACCTTCAGTCAAAGCTGCTCCAGCGTATTCATTAAACAGGAACACTGACCTACTTCCCTTAATTACAGCTGATCCAAACAAAACACAGGAACCAATCAGAACATCTGATCTCCCAGAGTCCTCCACCGCTAATCAAAACATTGTCACCACTACACCATCAGTAGCACCCTCTTCAGCACCAGTCTCAACAAAGGAGAACAACTCCGTGAACGAGGTTCAGTACCAGATTGTTGGAACGGACAGTACTGCCACCAGAGAGCAGAAGAATATCTTTGTTCCACGGTTGCTGACCTTCCATGAACGGACACAGAACAAACGTATTCAGCAGCTCCTGAAAGAGAGACAGCTGCAGAACCTCCAAAGAATGGGGAATCGGACCAGAGCGAGGCGGACCCCCCTGGCACAGGTGAACAGGACCAGATTGAGAGGGACGGAGAGAAGAGACTGAACTGGTTTTAATCTAAGAGTTAGCTTAATAAACTGTAAGCGAGAAGCAGAACCTGACAAAGAAGCCTTTATCTTTATGTCTCCTTAGCTTTAAAGCAAAGTTAATACATCAGGGGTAAAGACCAGAACCTGGACTGCAGAAAAGTCTGGGTCTGTTTTGGTTTTATATTCATGTTGTCTGTACCAACTTATCCTGTTTTGAAATAAAGCGCAGTGTCATCCAACTATTGATGTCATAATGAGTAATGAAGGTCTGGATCAGGTCACAACCTGTGTGACTCCTGAAAAGGGACATGCACAAGGGTGAGGCAGGAGGGGTGCTCACCTTATCAGGAGCCAAAACGCATTCTAAACTGTCCTCTTAGGGCCCAAAATGTGTGCTAAAGTGAAATCTCTGGAGCAAAAACTCTCAGGATTCAATATGTGCACCAAAGTTCCTTCTCCATGGCAAAAAGTAATGCTAAAGTGTCCAGTCGGAAGCCAAAATAGCACTAATGTGTCATCTCATGAACCAAAATAAACTAAAGTGCCATCTTTAGAGCCAAAACTCATGCTAAAGTGCCCTCTTGGAGGCCAAAATGCATGCTAATGTGCAGAGGTATTAAGTAAAGAAGTACAAATACTCTGTTACTGTACTTATGTACACTTTTTATTTATCTATACTTTTCTCCATTACTTATTTTTCTTCCTACTTCTGACTTCTACTTATTACATTATCACACATGTATCTGTACTTTCAATCCCTGACATTTTTAAAACAAACGTTAATCTTGGCTTCGGTTTAATGCAGAGGTCACGGATTAGAGGACCGTGGTCCGGATCCAGATCCACCTGCAGGCTAATCCGGACCCAACCTGATTTAAAACCATTATAAATTACCGCATGTTTTCTGACGACAGTGTCTAAACGTCGCTTGCACCGCTTCTCCTGTTACCCTGAAATCCCACATCCACCCCGCTGCGCTCCAGAACACCAGCGCAAAGCAATGCCTACAGCCTTCGCTGTTCCTCCCATATTGCTGCGCTCCGACTTCCTTGGAGCTCAAGGAGAGCATGCGCAATGTTATCATTATATTTGTAGGAGCAAAACATGCAGAAATTAATGCTTAATTTAATATGACATATTAAAAAAATCCCCATCAGCATATGTCTGATGGAAATAAGAAATCTGCATCCTGGTCTATTGAAGTACCAATTAAAAATAATTATTAGTTATTACCAATCTGTTGTTACTATATTTTAATTTGTTACTATATTTTAATATTTTAATTTAATATGGATCCAGGCTCAAAATTAGCTCCTTGAAATGGGCTTGAGAATGGCTCTGTCTCCATTCAAACCCAGGTTTCAAGCCTTGCAGGGCAGCATAAAGCCCACTGCTCTCATTAAGCAAGAAAAAAGAAAAAAAAAAACTGTCAGTTCAGGTGTTTTAAAAAATATATGAATCAGGAAATTGTCTATATGCCAAACTGAAAGACTGTTGTTCTCTACTTCAAAAACCTCTTTAGATTTTAAAATGGAAAATTTTTAGTAATTTCTTTTAGATTTTTTTTATTTAAAAATAAAATTTATAACATGGCTGCATAAACACCTCATTTTATTTCAGTGTTAAATTCTGTTTAAAGTAACAGATCATTAAAAATGTCTCCGGACATTTATTGGTTGATGATTTTCTTTATTCGGACCCAGCTGGTTTTTAATTGGTTACCCCTGGTTTAATGTTTATAAATATTTATTTCACGTCATGTGTGCCATCCAATGCAGATCATTGGCTACATCCACATTTACCAGAGTGTTTTTAAACTGCAGTATCTATACTTCTACTTATGTAACAAATGTGGGTACTTTTTATACCACTGCTAAAGTGCCATCTCGGGAGCAAAAACACGCACTAAAATGCCCTCTCTGTGCCCTCCCTCGCTAAAGTTCCATCTCAGGAGCCAAAATGTATGCTAAAGTGCCCTCTACGTTACTGAGGAAGAACTATCAATTCCCATTTATTCGTTCAGCCCCTGCCCTTCAAAAAGTCTGTGCATGCCATTGCTCCTGAACCCTCACAACGTCTCTGATCTTTAAGAACGTTCTCGTGTCACCAGAACCCGGTACATTCCAGACTTTGGGGTTCTTCTATCCCATCATCTCAGTGGCTTTGATTACTTTTATTTATTATAATGAGGACCAAGTTTGGACGGAGCTTCAGTTATCAGATGGACTCACAGCTGGCTCTAGAAGACTTTGGTAAACAGATGCTCATGATCCACTCAGTGACTGGATCAGAACCTGCTGAGGGCAGTGTTGCTCTAAGCTCTTAGAAGTGAAGAACCAGATTGAAGGAGTCTATCTGGAACAGAGGTCCAGATTGATTCAGAACCGACACCAACACCAGTCAGTTAGCTGTGTCCAAATGAGGAAAATGCGTCAGAATTTGTCTTTAATTTCTCTTTGTAGAATCTTATGGACCCAGTTTTTTTATAAAACAAAGGAGAGTTCCACTTAACCTGGGAAGGTCCAAGTATGATCAGAACAGAATCAGAACCAAGCCTGTAGATAGTGTCAAAAACTTTCTCTAATTTGCATTGGAATCAATGTGTAGGAAACAAGGTCCGTAGGTTCTGTGCTGTTTCTGCTGATGGGTCTGATATTTTAAAGGCCTTTATTTGGTCTATAAAAGAGGAAGAATAAATGTGCTGCTCAGAAAGTCTAAAGCCTCCAGATCTTAGGATTTCTGTGTCAAGAATCTTTAAACGCTTTGGACCTTTTGAGCTGCAGCAGGTCAGAGGCATCCAAAGCTTAGAATCTCTATGGTTCTGAGACATACTTCCTGATCTGATTGGGTCTCGCTCTACTTCAGGCCCACCTGCTTCTGTAAAGGTTCAGAACTTGGCTGGTTCTGCAGAAATTACCTGGGTCAGGTTCAGTCTCCAGACCTGCCATCAGTCATAGCTTTGGTCTACAAAGCCAGAATCAGAAATCTATAGTCACGTTGCAGCACGATTTGGACTTGGTGTTGTTTTCCACTGAATCTCCCGTTTCCAATGGGTTCTCCCTGTGTGAACCATGCTGACCTCTAGTCGCGATGTTGGCAAAATCATAGGGCTCCATCTAAATGCCTAACATTCAGTGGTGTAAATACAGGTAAGCAGAGACTGCAGTTGCTTAAGCTGGGCATAGACTGTGCGATTTTTTTCAATCGTTGCACGCAGCTACAGCTCACACTCTACGATGAACCTGCAGGGTTTTGTCGTACAGTGTGAGTTCACAGCTCACGTTTGATTTTCTCCCGACCTCATGATTCCTGATCAGGAGATGGTCTTAAGAGGCTGATCGCCCGGCGTTACCTCCTGTACGCTACACGGTGCACGATCAGGCTGAAAGTCGGCCCGATCGGAAAATTCTCGCACGACTGGAAAATTGCCCCGAAAAGAGCAAAAAATCGCACAGTGTAAGCCCGGCTTTACGGGCCCCATGACCTATTAGGGGCCCCGTCACTGAGACCTGGCAGGCCCCTTACACCAGAGGTCTTCAACAGGGGGTCCGTGGATCTCAGAATTCTGACTTTAATCTCAAATTTGTGACTTTTTTCTCAGAATTCTGATTTTAATCTCAGATTTCTGACTTTTTTCTCAGAATTTAGACTTTAATCTCAGAATTGTGACTTTTTTCTCAGAATTCTGACTTTAATCTCGGAATTCTGATTTTAATCTCAAAATTTTGGATCTTAATGTGGATGGGCACAATGAAGGAAGAAATGTGATCAAAGTTACCACAATTTTCCTACTTATACATGCTTGTTACATCAGCACTAGCTAAACCTGTTTTTAGCAGTTATTTTTGATGTATGAAGCATTAAATCAGTCCTACCTTTTAGTTTTTATAAGCTGATATGTTTCAGTGCTGTATACAGAATACCAAATAGAACCATCTGGGTATTGTGGCCGAAACAGTAGCCATAGCATGAAGGTCCACTAGCAGGACATTGGAACGCTGTCGCCTCTGAGATTACACCACTTTATTCCAGGTTGGAGTTCTGATAATAGTTTAATTTGCCATGTTCATGTAAACTACTGCCTCTCAGTCTGTGATAATTTGTATGGGAGGAGAGCTCCCTCTAGTGGTACAACTTCAAGCCATCAGGTTATTTGGGATAATCTGGCCATTTTAATAGCTTTATTATTTCCAGATAAACATTCTGTCAATATCTTTTTGATATATTTAGAAATAAAATCCTGAGGCACTGCAGCATGTAAAAGGTTTGAACTGGTGGATGTGGAGGATCCTCACATGGACAATGATGCCATGGAGGAGTGAGAAGAAAAACATATTAATCCCAATCTGAGTCTATTTTTCTGCTTAGGGAAGGGTTGGTATAGGTGGGTCTGCCTGTAAGGAGTGGGTCGAGGGTCTGTAGTGGAACAGTTACTTTAAAAGAGAGACAGATTAACAACAAGAGATGGTTTAAGCTCCAGTTTAGTTTCTGATGGTTTTGACAGATTGAATATAGTTTGGCTTATTTCACTCCCTGGGGTTAGATTAGATTAGATGGATTTGATAAGAATCTGTTTGATTTTATCATTTCATATGATCAGATTCGATTCAATTTGAAGAGAGTTGATTTCATTGGATTGGAGTGGAGTTTAATCAATCGGATTCAGTTTAATCCGATCAGACTCGTTTCGATTCGATCAGATTCGATCTAATCTGTTCAGAGTCGATTCGATCAGATTCTATTGAATTCGATCTCCGCGTATATTGGCAGTTTATACTTTTATATACTTTATACTTTTATATACTTTATAATTTTATAACTTTGGCTAGATTCCTCCATCTTTCAGGACAGGCATTAAGCTTTTCTGTTTCTTAATCATTCCTGATATTTCAGCCATGTTTCTGCTACTTTTCAGAAAAGAAATTAAGCTTTTCTGTTTTCCGCTATTTCATAACATTTCAGCCATTTTGGCTCCAAATTCTCCTTGTTTCTCTCTTTGCACTACATTTACAGTGCATTTTCTCAGGAAATGCAACTTTTTCTAATTTTAGGTGATAATTCTAATGAAAGGCTGTTTTTTCGGTTAGTGCTACTTCACTGCATGTCAGCCTCATCCTGTCAGGACAAACCCAGGGATTAAAGCGCAACGTGACGCGCCTGCGAGAATGAATTCAGGGCACGACGCTCACCATCGTCCTTGACAGTCAACAAGAAGCCAAGATGGCGACCGCCCTGAAGACTCTGGGCTCAAGCCTGGCGAGAAACCTGCGAGAGATCCGCATTCACCTCTGCCAGAACTCTGCAGCCAGCCGGGGGGCCAGGTAGGCGGGGAGCTGGGGTCCGAGGCCGGGATGACATGGAGGTTCACCCCGAGGGAAGGAGAGGGAAGCTAACTGCGGCTAACAGCAGCTAACCCCAAATTAACTTCGTTAACTGGTCATGATGGTGTTTATGTGCTAATGCTAACCCTGCTCCTAACAGTCGCTACAATCTTCCTGGGAGGGAATAAGAGCAGACTGATCTATAGAGCTGCAACAGCATAAACTGATCTATAGAGCTACAACAGTAGCATTGACTGATCTATAGAGCTACAACAGTAGCATTGACTGATCTATAGAGCTACAACAGTAGCATAGACTGATCTATAGAGCTATTACAGTACAGGCTGATATATGGAGCTACAACAGCACTAGTAGATCTATAGAGCTACAGCAGCACAGGCTGATCTAGAGAGCTATAACAGCAGCATTGACTGATCTATAGAGCTATAACAGAACACACTAGTGATGGCCAGTCCGTCCCAAAGCTGCTGCTGGGTGTGATGGGAAGAAGTTTTCCTTGAAGGACAGTCAGCTCCTCCAGAAGATGAGGAATTTAATGTTGTTCCTATCAGGTTCTTGGTGGGTTGTTTCAGACCTTTACTGACTGATGTCCTTAATTGGTCCCAGTCTTCTGGGTTCTAAGGAGCTGTTCTCCAGGTAAACATCTCATCTCCTCCTCTGATATAATTTCAGATCCAGTTTAAATTTGTTCTGCTGCTGGTTCAGTTTCCCTGTAGAGATGCACCACTCCAGTTTTTTCCAATCTGATACCTGGGCTGAGCGCATCGGCCGATATCTGATACTGATCAGATTCAGCAGCAGAATGGAGGAACCATTTATCTGCCATGTTAGAGAAAGCTTTGGCCTCGACATAACATTAAAAACAACAAAATGAACACAGATAGGATTTTTATAGACTTTATTAACAAATAAGCAGCAAAAAGAAAGAAATGACAGTCCCAGGTAAAGTCCACTAGATTGTATCCCGCTATCAAATCACCGATATCCGATCCAGGTATCGGATCGGCGCGTCTCTACTTCCCTGGAAATTATTAAAATGTTCTGTTAGTTCTGGGTATTCCTGTCCTCACAGCGCCTCCTGGTGGTTCTAATCTGTTTCAGAGACTTTGTGGAGCAGAACTATGTGACCCTGAAGAAGACCAACCCAGACTTCCCCATTCTGATTCGGGAGTGTTCTGGAGTCCAGGCCCGGCTGTGGGCCCGATACGGTGAGTCCTTCAGAGGATCTGCGGAGGTCTCACTCTGTGGAGGAAACTAACGCTTTGTTTGTCCTTAGATTTTGGGAAGGAGAAGAGCGTCTCCGTGGAAAACATGTCTGCTGATCAGGTGGCCGCCGCCCTCCAGAACCTGGCCCAGGCCAAACCATAAGCCCCGCCCCCTGGCGCCAGGTCCAATCCAGCTCTGTTCTGTTTTTTCTGTAAATGTGTTGATATGAATAAAGCCTCTGAATCCACAGCTGTGTCCTTACTGGTTTTAGGGGGGGATTGCTGGTTTAATGCGTCGGGAAAAGCATTTAAACAGGTATCTGCTGGTTCTGATGTTGCTGCTGTGGGAGGAACTGGAACCTAAGCAGAAATGTTTAATCAGTGGGATCTCCTGGACTGAGATGTTTCTCTTCAAACATGTTGCTGATAAATTCGCTGCTGCTGGTTCAGACACTGTTCACGTGAACTGAGCAGCAAACCAACGAGGTGAAAAACCTCTGAACCGGGTCAGCCTCTCCAGATCCAGCAGAACTCCCCCTTTCCTCCAAGTCATTAGATGGACCCAGTCGTCCAGGTCTACAGGATTCTCACAGGTCTTTATGAAGTGCTTTAAAAAACAACTAAGGACTCACTTCTATGCTTCAATCCCATCATGTTGTCTCAGGTCACTTTCTAGATCCAGATCATCACGTCAGATTAAAGCTTTTAAGTTTCTATCTGAGGTAAACCAGCTGATTGCATCCAGTCACTGATGAGCAGGGAACGACAGTAGATATTGGCTCTGTTTGAATTCATGGGCTGCGTCCTCCGGAGCCCAGATTCGTAGGCCGTTTACCTCATAGAGCAGAAATAGAGTAAGTTTTCAATGGATTTGAGCTACAATGTAAAAATGTACAATCCTCCTCCTCTGAGATGTTTCAAATGTCAAAAATGTGGTCATATGGCAGCAGTATTTAAAGGAAAACAATGGTGTGGAAGGTCTGCTGGAGAGCGCAAATATGGAAAGTGGTAAAGAGGTTAAAATTAAATGCTGTAACTGTGGTGGAGAACATACTGCTGCTTATAGCGGTTGTGAAGAGAGCAAAAGATCTGAAGAGAACAGAAAAGTGAAAGTAGAGCTTGGAATAACTACTGCTATTGCAGAGGACTCATAGATCCTTAAAAAGAAGGATTTTGTACTTTTTATGCTGGAGGAAACCAATTGTACTGCTCAGAGGTCAAAGAAAACCGAAAGAAAATATCAAAATATTAGTGAAAGCTGCACAAAAATACCTTGAAGTAAAAGATTGAAAATGGGAAAATAGTAGGACCATCAGAAATTGGCAGAGTGACAAAAACATAAAGACAGATTAGTAAATATGATGAATTTGATAATTTATTTCATTATGATGGGTTAAAACATACTTTCGGAAAACTATTATTATTTATTTCTGCGAGTGAGTTTTGTAAGAGTTTCCTTGTTTTACTCCTTATCAGTTGGTGGCGGTAATCCACTTTAACTAATTTGCAAACCGCCATAAAACACTACACGAAGCGGTATTTTCTATAGAGTTTTTCTTTCACTATTTTCTGGCCCATATTTTCACCCAGCATCTCTGGACCTCGATGTCATGCTCGAATCCGCCTGCAGGGGCCGCTGTCTCTAAATTCAACCAAAGGAAGTGACGTAATTACCCTTAACAGCTCTTTGGAGACACAACAAACGGAGCTCTTAGATTATATGGGCATGAATTGAAACAGGTAAATATGATAAGGTACCTTGGTGTATGGTTTGATGAAAAACTTTCATTTAAGATACATATGCAGAAGATTATTGATAAATGTAAAAAAGGTATTAATATATTGAAATGTTTGTCAGGGAATGACTGGGGGCAACTAGCTCATCCTTGAAAAGAATATATGATGTTTTAATTCGATCTGTGTTGGACTATGGATGTATTGTTTATAAATCAGCTGCAAATTCTTTGTTGTTAGATTTAGATAGAATCCAAGCCAAAGCGCTTAGGATATGTAGTGGTGCTTTTCGAACATCTCCAGTTCCTGCTCTTCAAGTGATTACTGGAGAAATGCCACTGGACTTAAGGAGGATGAAACTGTCAATAAATTACTGGTTAAATTTACAAGGGCATGAGGAAAATCACCCTACTAAACAGATATTCAGAGAATGTTGGGAATATGGCCATAATATAAGGAGTTTTGGATGGGAAGGAAATATTTATGCAGAGTATTCTGGGATAAGTAATATAACATACTGTAAAACTGTAAGTACATCTAAAATTGCTCCATGGTTTTTCGAAATGCCAATAGTAAATTTAGAAACTAAAAAAATAGAAGAGTCTTGTGGAGGTTTGTATCAAATTATTCAGCAGCATTTAGAAGTAAGGTATTAAAATATGACACAAATATATACAGATGCATCAAAAGAGGAAAATGGTAAAACAGGAGTAGCAGTATATATTCCAAAAGAAAATATTTCTATCAAGAGAAGAACAACAGATAATTTATCAATTTTTTCAGCAGAGATGTTGGCAATTATTTTAGCATTGCAATGGGTGCTGGAGGTGAAGCCTAGAAATGTAGTTATCTGTTCAGATTCAATGTCTTGCCTGACTAGTTTTAAAAGTGGAAAATCTGAAAGCCGTCAAGATCTTTTAGATGAAGTCAGTTATTTAATGTATGGTATAAGGCAACAAAATATAAGTATTCAATTCACATGGGTTCCAGCACACAAAGGAATCTTAGGTAATGAAAAAGTAGATAAGTTAGCTAAAGAAGCAGTTAAAGTAGGAGAAATTGAATATGATGTCCCGCTAAGTAGAACAGAAATAAAAGTAATTATTAAAGATAAAATAAATAAGGTATGGCAGAAGAGATGGAATTTAGAAAAAAAAGGAAGACATTTATATAAAATACATAAAGATATTAGCATAGGATATAACAGTATAATGAGTAGAAGAGAGGAAATATGGATAAACAGGTTAAGGATTGGGCATACTAGTTTAAATGCAGGTCTAAAAATAATAGGGAAACATCCAACGGGTAATTGTTGTTATTGCGGAGAAATCGAAGGAGTAGAACATGTGTTGATCTATTGTAGCAAATATACAAAAGAGAGGAAAGAACTGGAAAGGGTAATGGGGAGTTCAGTAAAGATGGCAGATTTATTAGGGAAGCATCAATCAGATAAGATAATTAAAGCACTTATTAAATATTTAAAAGATACAGAATTAGCTGGGAGAATTTAGTGTGTGTATGTGCGTGTGTGTAAGTATAGATAGAATTTAGTTTCATGAAGATATAAAGATATACAGACATTATATTTCTGAATTACATCTCCGTCCAGTTGATGGCGGTAATGCACACAGGATGCAAACTGCCAGAAAACTCAATAGAAGAAGAAGAAGAAGAAGAAGAACAAACGGAGCTGCAGGGAAACTGGACGTTAATCTACAGAGAAGCAGATAAAAAGCTTAACCGAGCTACCGTCGCTCCTTCAGCCGGGATTCAGCTCCTGTCAGCCCGCAGAGGAGGACCAGCTGCCCACAGCGATGCCGGAGAGTGAGTCTGTTAGCATGCTAGCCGTCCGTAGCTAGTTAGCCGAACCGAATCCTTATGTTTAATGTTAATAAATGTCTCCGTAATATAAAACCTGAACGAGGCCCTGGTGTGCTACTGGACCTCCACCAGAACCCATCCACATTTTCCCGTTTTTAAGTATTTCTAAGGTTCTGTTGATCCTCATTACTGCCATGGCGCTGATAATCAGGTGCTTTAAAGTAGCAGAACCGCTCATCATGTCGGCTCAACTCTGGTGTTCTGCACTAAAACCCGAACCAGATGGAGGCAGGTCCAGTTTATGGCTAAAGCTAAAACCTGAACCACACAGGTAGACTCCCAGGTCCAGTTCTCCAGATCTTCTCCCATAGATCTGCTGTAGAACTGAACTGAGATGTTGTCTCCTCTGGAGGACATAGAACATAAGGAACCTTCCTCATCCTTGGTTTAGGTTTTCTAAACTTCAGGAAAAACTGATTTAATTCCTTCACTTCATCAAACCCGATCAGAACCATCCTTAGGATGTTCTGATGAGACTAAGCTCCAGATTAAATAAACGCTTTTAACAAGCAGAACCTTTAGGTACTATCCACCTTCAGCTCCCTGATCCCAGAAGCAAATTAAGGGACTTGGTTTTGGGAATAGTTCTGGACCTGGGTCCATTGTGTGGTCCGCTTCAGGGCGGCGGTAGAAGTTCTCAGAACTTCAGTGCTATCTGTCCAGATAGATCTGGGTCGTTTGTTCCTTTGGACTCGGTTCAGCTTCCACAGGTTTGGAGAAGAAGGATCAGAACCGCTCTGGTTGGACCACCCCCCCTAACTTCCTGTCTATGTTCCAGCTGAGAGCTACTCCAACCCTTTGGCCCCTGAGGGCCACGATGTGGACGACCACAGAGCTGCTGCGCAGTAAGTGCTGTTCCTCTGACAACCCACCAGGTGGCGCTGCCGTCACTGAACCTCTATTTGTGTCCTTCAGGTCCAAGCTGACCAATGATGACTTCAGGAAGCTGCTGATGACGCCCCGGGCGACGCCTGCCTCGGCCCCGCCCACCAAGTCCAGACATCATGAGTGAGTGGCGGCAGTAGAACCGACAGTTCTGCCTCCTGGCGCAGACTCTCCTGACAGAACGATGTTTGTTTTCCCAGAATGCTGAGGGACTACAACGAGGATGAGGATCCTGCAGCGAGGAGGAGGAAGAAGAAGAGGTCAGAGCTTTTCCCCTTGGGTGAGTCCTGGTCCAGGAAGAGGCTGACCCGGTTCTTGCTGTCTTCTCCCTCAGTTATTATGCCAAGCTTCGGCAGCAGGAGATGGAGCGAGAGAGGGAGCTGGCCGAGAAGTACAGGGACAGGGCCCGGGAGCGGCGGGACGGCGTCAACAAGGACTACGAGGAGACCGAGCTGATCAGCACCACGGCCAACTACCGGGCCGTCGGACCCACAGCGGAGGCGTGAGTTCCTCCCAGGTTCTGCTGATGCGTTAGGATGATCCTGGCTCTTCTCAATCGTCCAGAAAAAAAAAAACCCGTCTGTCTGTGATTCAGGGACAAGTCAGCAGCAGAGAAACGACGCCAGCTCATCCAGGAGTCCAAGTTCTTGGGAGGAGACATGGAGCATACCCATTTGGTGAAAGGTCTGGACTTCGCTCTGCTGCAGAAGGTGAGTCTGAGCCTGACGGCCCGTCCAGCTGGGTAACCAGCACCTTACCTTGGCCTGTCTGCTTTCCAGGTGAGAGCTGAGATCAACAGCAAGGAGAAGGAGGAGGAGGACCTGATGGAGAAGGTCCAGAAAGAGACCAAGTGAGAAACCAGAACGGTTCTTTAGCTGCTGAGCAGCTTTGGATCAGAAGCACTAACTAAGCTGCTGATGGGTCTGTTTTAGGAAAGACGTGGAGCCGGAGGAGAAGATCGAGTTCAAGACCCGTCTGGGTGAGTCTGTCTTTCTGGCTCCTAGTCAGCTGGATGTATCTGTGATCTCATGTTCCTCTGGGTTCCTAATATCATGGAAACTGTTTGGAGAAAAAAAAAATGGCCTTAAAAATCCTTCAATATTTTTGTGTTAAAAATGTCTCACAGATACCGACTGTGAGAGAATAGTCAGGTTCCTCTGCGTACTGGTTCCTCTAGTGCTGGCCCGTTTCTCAATTCACAAAAACACGAGTATGGAATCGTGTCCTTGACAAGAGCAAAGGAAAGTCTGGACTCTGGGAAAATGTGAGAGAGCAGAATATATATGGGTCAACTAGAACAGAAGCTTACTTGTGACGTGACCTCATTTAGTGGGAGAATAATTATTAGCACAGTCAGATAAACACAAATCAAATGAACGTTTTGCTAAATAAAGCAAAATAACCTCCACCACAGCCGATGGTCCTTCACACACACGCTACATGCTGAGAGACGCTGCAGACAGGCTAGGACGGCCTGGCTAGGACGGCCTGGCTGCCGTTACCCAAGATGGCGGCATAGGTGTTTTCACGTCTGTCTGCGTTACCTGTGTCTGTGTTTTTAATAGATTAATTGGGCTATATTTCTTAGATTTTGTTTGGATCACGTTTTCCTCAGAGCACTTCTTTAAGTGGCATCACAAAAATCGTAACACTATGGCGATGAGTAGCCATAAACAACTATGCAAGCCCAGGCCTAGGCCTACTCAGTCACGTAGGTCTGGCTGCGCCTTCAGACTCCCAGTTTATCTATCATTTGTGTTTGCGCTGTACTCACCGTTCATGGGCGTCGTGGGAGCTGCAAATGATGATGGATTTTATAATTCCTCTTGGCGGATTGTACTATCGAATGCTGGAACTGGGTTGTGTACTGACACGAGCGGATTGGCACCCCTAACTGGATGTATTGCTGAGCCCCTTTGCCCAACCGAACCTGTCAGCTGGCCCGAAATTGGACAATCTCGGTTCATCTGTAGCAGGCGCGGCAGGGGAGCCACCAGCAGCGCAACAAGATCAGCGCTTTGGATTACCATTCTTCTGTGTTTGTCAGGTAACATACATCCAAACCCAGGACCACTAGTGACTGAACTGTCGAGTCCTGATGTTTTGAAAAACAGCAGTGGCTTGCGTTTCATCCATGTCAATGTGCGCAGCCTTATAAATAAAATCAACGCTATTCGCATATGGGCTAAAACGACGGACAGTGATATACTCGTATTATCTGAGACCTGGCTCAAGCCTGCGATTGCGAACAATGTGGTTTACATCGAAGGGTACAATATCTATAGGACGGACCGTGGGAAAAAAGGAGGAGGGGTGGCCATATATGTAAAGGCCTCCTTGGACTGCTGCGTCGTCGAGGCAATTGGTAAACCAAAGTTTTTCGAACTCTGTGCCATTAAACTCAATCTCCCCAATGGCGCTTCCTTGACAGTAGTAGGTTGCTACAGGCCAACATCGGCAGTGGCTGGAGCATCTGCACTGCTGTCTGACTTCCTGGGAAAGCTGTCAAGCGAGTACATCGTCTTGGGGGATTTAAACTGGGACTATCTCTCGTCGTCCTCTGCATTAAGAGACTTGTGTGATGCACTGCAGTTGACTCTGCTGATCAAGTCACCTACACGCCTTAATATTAAATGTATGGACAAATCTACGCTGCTTGACGTTATCCTGACCAATGCTCCACACAAATTTTCTGCGGCTGGTGTTTTTTGTAATGACGTCAGTGATCACTGCATGGTTGCGTGCGTCAGGGACTGTAAAATGGTTAAGACCAAGTCACGGTTTGTTTTTAAACGACATCTTAAGCGTTTTAATGAGCAGGCATTTCTTCATGATATTTTCCACAGTGACTTAAATGCAGTTTGTTTTATGGATGATGTTGAAATGGCCTGGGATTATTTTAAGAAAACTTTTTTAGCCATCATTGATAAACACGCCCCTTTTAGAAGATTTAGAGTGAGGGGCAGGGATAACCCATGGTTTAATGATTGTATTGCTACTGCAATAAGAGAACGTAATGAGGCATGGGTAAAAGCAAAAAAATATAATAGTGATGCAAGCTGGTTGAACTACAGGGTATTAAGAAATAAATGCACAAGACTAATAAAAAGTACAAAAAATGAGCATTACCTTAATTTAATAAAAGAAAATCTCAATGACCCTAAGAAATTTTGGAAAGCAATAAAATCATCATCAGGCGATGTACCACCTCCCACTATCCCTGAATATATTATAACTAGTCAGGGAGAAATTAGGGATAAACAACATATGGTAGACACTTTTAACATGCACTTCATCAATGCTGGAATTGCTACTCAGTCAACTCTTCCAGCAAATGTTAGCAGAGGTAGGACTACAATTACTGTTCCAGATCCAAATATGAGTCCAAATAGTTTTAATTTCAGCTGTATTTCTGCTTATGAAGTTCAGAAGGCTTTGCAAGGACTAGACTGTAAAAAATCTGCTGGGCCTGACCGGATTGAACCGTATTTTCTTAGGACTGCTGCTAACTTGATTGCTGAGCCTATTGCCTCAATTTTTAATCTTAGTTTATGTAGTGGTACCATACCTACATCTTGGAAGTCTGCTTTTGTCCTCCCACTTTTGAAAAGTGGAGACCCTTCCTTATTGGACAATTATCGCCCAATCTCTAGATTGTCTGTGCTGGCCAAACTGTTTGAATCTCTTATAAACGAGCAACTCAAACTTTTTTTAACTGAGAACTCAATTTTAAACCCATTGCAGTCTGGCTTTCGACAAGGTCATAGTACAGTCACAGCTTTTACCACAGTCACAAATGACATTTTGAATGCTTTAGATAATAAGAAGTCTTGTGCTGCAATATTCATTGATCTTTCTAAAGCGTTTGATACAGTGGACCATGATCTTCTTTTGAAGCGATTACAAAGAATAGGCTTTAGTGATACTGTACTACGGTGGTTTTCAAATTACCTTAATGATAGAACGCAGTGTATTGTAATTGATAACTATACCTCAACATCATTAGAAGTTACAATGGGGGTCCCACAAGGGTCAGTTTTGGGGTTCAATTTTATTTTCTCTTTATATAAATGACTTGGGTAAGGACCTGAAGACAGCAAAAGTGCATCTTTATGCAGATGACACTATTTTGTACACCATAGCTTCATCAGTGAATGCTGCATTTGCACAATTGCAGTCTGCTTTTAATCATGTACAAACATTTCTTATTGAATTAAAGTTTGTACTGAATGCTAAAAAAACTAAAACAATGACATTCACACATTCACGATCCTCACCTAACATTAGTGTTTCAACACAAGATGGCACTAAAATAGAAGGAGTATCATCTTACAACTATTTAGGCATCTGGTTGGATGATAAGATGTCCTTTGGTGTCCATATTGAGAGCCTCTGTAAGAAACTTAGACCAAAGTTGGGTTTTTTCTTTAGAATGAGGAAGTGCTTTCCCTATCTTGCGAGGAAAAGGCTAGTTCAGAGCACATTCCTGTCAGTGCTTGACTATGGGGATACACTGGAGTATATTCACTCCAGTTTATTCTTACTTAAAAAACTGGATGTACTGTACCACTCTGCCTTACGTTTTATCACAGGTGCATCAGCTAGGACTCACCACTGCACTCTCTATGAAACTGTACAGTGGTCTTCTCTTTACATGAGGAGAAAAATTCATGTACTGACTTTTATTGCTAAAGCCCTTATGGGTAAACTTTATACATTTTTTATTTACTTTCCATTCAAGATAGTACTTACAGGACTAGGTCATCAGAAAAAATACTTTTACATACTCCATTTACAAGAACTGAACTAGGAAAAACAGCATTTTCATCATTTGCACCTAAAGTATGGAATGAACTTCAAGCCACTTTAAATCTTGAAGTACTTCCATCCATAAATTCTTTTAAAGACGTGTTAAAATCATCATTAACTGACAGATGCAACTGTTTTTGATTGGATGCCTTGTTTGCTGTTTGCTTTTTGGTTGTATGTGTATGCCCAATCTTGTTGTGTTGTGTTTAATTTTGCCTAGATGATATGTAGCTGTGGTTGTCTTGTCTCCTGTGGTTTTATGTTAATGTAACTTTTTAAGCCGCCTTCTTGGCCAGGACTCCCTGGAAGAAGAGTTACTCTAACTCAATGGGATTTTCCTGGTTAAATAAAGGTTAAATAAAATAAAAACCCTTGGAGGTTCGCTGGTTGCTGCGATCCTCTCAAAATCTGAACTTTCTTTTTATAAATGATGCACTAAAACAGTAAATGGGCCATTTAATGAAGCTAGGTCCTGGAAAGTCCTTGAATTTAATGGTAATCAAGGTGTGGGAACCCTGTTCCTCAGGAAGGAACATCTACCGCGTGGTCTTCAGGTCAGGGGTCCCTGAAAGGAACGAGCTCTTCCTGCCCGGCAGGATGGCCTACGTGGTTGACCTGGACGATGAATTCACCGACACAGACATCCCCACCACGCTGATCCGCAGCAAGGCTGACTGTCCCAGTATGGAGGTGAGACTGGCCCAGTCAGAACCCAGTGAAATTCTAACCACCAGTCTGCTGATGTCCCTTAAATGTCTCCTTGTCCTCCCTGTCCCTCCTGTGTCTCAGGCTCAGACGACTCTCACCACCAATGACATCGTGATCTCCAAGCTGACTCAGATCCTGTCCTACCTGAGACAGGGGACACGTCACAAGAAGATGAAGAAGAAGGACAAAGGTGTCTCCTCTGTCCTGTTGTTAGTGTCCCTGCTGTCCCTGGCCTTTGTCCTAACAGCTGATGTCTGTCTCTGTTCCAGGCAAAGCGGATGAGAAGAGGGCCCCTGAAGTCGACATCAGGTCAGCTGTCTTCCACTTGCTTCTGTCCTCTGCCTCTGGGCATGTCTCTGAGTGACGCCTCTGTTCCTTTTCCAGCATCTTTGATGACATTGGAGACTATATTCCATCTGCCAAACCGAGCAAAGACAAAGATCGGCACAGATCACGAGATGAGGACAGCAAGAGCAGGAGGCAGGCCTACTTTGAGAAACCCAGAGGAGACGAACACCAGCTGATGGAGGTGGACACAGGTAGGTCCTCCTAAATTAGCTGGACCAGGACCTCTGACTGAGAGTCTGGTGGATAATCTGTCCGTCCTTCTATCTGTCCTCCAGCTCCAGAATCCATCAAAGATCAGATCAAGATGATCAATGAGAAGTTTAGAGGAGCAGCAGCCAGCCAGTGGCAGAACCAGGAGCCATATCCTTTACTAGAACCTTCTGTCCTCATGGTCTGGATGCTGAGTCATCATGTTTCCTAGAGTTTGTCCTTAACTGGTCTGTACTGGTTCCCAGAGGAGGGACTCCGGTAAGGAGCAGCTTGGAGATTTCTTCGGAGGATCCAACTCCTACGCTGAGTGCTACCCAGCAACGTAAGACCCAGAGTGAGGACCAGCCGCTGTCTCCGTGTCTCCATGTCTGTGTCTCTCTGACCAATGTTTGTCTGCAGGATGGATGACCTTGCAGTGGACAGCGATGAGGAGGTGGACTACAGTAAGATGGACCAGGTAGGTCCATTTCTCAGCATGCAGTGCTGCTCTGTTCCATCTGAGCAGAGGTCCAATGAGCTGTGGTTCTGTTTCAGGGTAATAAGAAGGGTCCACTTGGCCGCTGGGACTTTGACACGCAGGAGGAATATTCAGACTACATGAACAACAAAGAGGCTCTGCCAAAGTAGGACACTCTTCTCTCTCAGTGCTGCCTGGCAGGATGCTAACGCTAATCTTGCTACTAGCTAATGCTAACCCTGCTGTTAGCGATAACTTCACCCAACGCTTCACCAACGCTGCTCTTTGTCCATGCAGGGCTGCCTTCCAGTACGGCATCAAGATGTCTGAAGGCAGGAAGACGCGGCGCTTCAAAGAGACCAATGAGAAAGCTGAGCTGGACCGTCAGTGGAAGAAGATCAGCGCGGTGAGTCATGGACCCAAACATCTCTATCAGAACTTCCTTGGTTCATCACTGCAGCTTGTAACGCTCCGTTTATCTCTCAGATCATAGAGAAGAGGAAGAAGATGGAGGCAGATGGGTGACTACTTCCATTTTGGTTCTTCTTTTGTGTGAAATGAAGCTGGGCAGCAGCTTGGAGCAGTTGGTGAACCTTCTGTTTGTATTTTCAGGGTGGATATCAAGAGGCCCAAATACTGAGGACTTCTGCAGACCAGTACCGACCGATCCACTATCGTCTTGCAGTTTAACTCCAGTTTATTGTAAAACTAAACAGTCTGTTGTCATGATAGCAAGAGCTGATCCTACCCCATCTATTGTATTATGTCAGTAGTTATTAATCTCTTAGTTGTTGCAAGTTTCCCAATAAATTCTATTCAGTTTATTTCTATGCTCCAATACCCATCATGTCATCTAAGGGCACTTTATAGATCCAGATTATTTAGATCATCTATTCGGATTAAAGTTTCTAAGGTCCACCAGCTGGTTGCATCCAGTCATTGCCTTTACAGGACGAGTAACTAGAAACAGTAGATATCGACTCTTCAGCAATCCCTCATACCAAGCATGCACACGGTGAGAGTGGGGAGGAAAACTCTATTTGAACCAGAAGAAACCTCCAGCAGAACCAGGCTCTGTGTGAGCGGCCATCTGTTGAGGGGGGTTCAAGGAGACAGAAGCAGACATAGAAAATGAACATAGAAGCTCTGGTCTATAAATACCTTCTATGTTAGAAAAGCTAATGCTAAATTAGCTTCATTGGTCGCTCCGTCTCGGAATGAAATGTTTAATCAGACAAGCATCAAGGCCGTTTTCATGTCCAAGGATGAAGGAGAGAACATCCAGTTGGTCCCAGTAAAAGCTGAGCCCATATTTATGTCTAGCAGAGAAACATATGCCAGTTTAATGCAAGTAGCCATCTTTCACCAAAGGTCCAACATGTGTGCTGAATGTTGTAATCTGGCTTTATTGACAATATATTTTTGGTGTTAAAATTAATATTCATATATGTGGTTGTAAATGTGTGTGTAAGTGAAAACGGTAAACTTTCATACCACCACGTCTTTTATTCGTGTTTTCTTTGACAATGTGACTGAATGTTCAGAAAACGGCAGCATAGTGTCAGTATTACAGTATGAACCAGATCCCGTTTGATCTGCAGAGCATTAGCCCAGCCACAGTTTGCACACTTCTTTCCAAGGGCGTAGGTTTGATTTGAACTTTGGTAGGGACACTATTGGTCTGGTGTCATTGGTGCTATGCAATATGCATGCCCTTTTTTATGCTCGATGTGAGCATCCGTACTGATAAGAGGAATTCATTGTTAAAAGAGAAAAGCAACATTTTGCTCCATTAATAAAAATGTTATAAGCACTACACTCACTAGATGCTGTTTATTAATGTTTGAAGTATCACAGGCTCTGATCAATGTGGAATTAGGACTGTTTTCCACTTTGAAAACGGTTTCATTTGAACGACTAAGAGAGAAGGTAAATACAGTATTTTCTTTTGAAGATATACAGGTGCTGGTCATAAAATTAGAATATCATGAAAAAGTAGATTGATTTCAGTAATTCCATTTAAAAAGTGAAACTTGTATATTATATTCATACATTACATACAAACTCATATATTTCAGATGTTTATTTTGTTTAATTTTGATGATTACAAATGACAACAAATGAAAATCTCAAATTCATCATATCAGAAAATTAGAATATTGTGAAAAGGTTCAAAATTGATGGCCCCTGGTGCCACACTCTAATCAGCTAATTAACTCAAACCACCTGCAAAAGCCTTTAAATGGTCTTTCAGTCTAGTTCTATAGGCTACACAATCATGGGGAAGACTGCTGACTTGACAGTTGTCCAAAAGACGACCATCGACACCTTGCACAAGGAGGGCAAGACACAAAAGGTCCTCGCTAAAGAGGCTGGCTGTTCACAGAGCTCAGTGTCCAAGCACATTAATAGAGAGGCGAAGGGAAGGAAAAGATGTGGTCGAAAAAAGTGTACAAGCAAGAGAGATAACCGCACCCTGGAGAGGATTGTGAAACAAAACCCCTTCAAAAATGTGGGGGAGATTCACAAAGAGTGGACTGCAGCTGGAGTGAGTGCTTCAAGAACCACCACACACAGACGTATGAAAGACATGGGTTTCTGCTGTCGCATTCCTTGTGTCAAGCCACTCTTGAACCACAGACAGCGTCAGAAGCGTCTTGCCTGGGCTAAAGAGAAACAGGACTGGACTGCTGGTGAGTGGTCCAAAGTCATGTTCTCTGATGAAAGTAAATTTTGCATTTCCTTTAAAATCAAGGTCCCAGAGTCTGGAGGAAAAGAAGAGAGGCACTTCATCCACGTTGCTTGAAGTCCAGTGTAAAGTTTCCACAGTCAGTGATGGTTTGGGGTGCCATGTCATCTGCTGGTGTTGGTCCATTGTGTTTTCTGAGGTCCAGGGTCAACGCAGCCACATACCAGGAAGTTTTAGAGCACTTCATGCTTCCTGCAGCTGACCAACTTTTTGGAGATGCAGATTTCATTTTCCAACAGGACTTGGCACCTGCACACAGTGCCAAAGCTACCAGTACCTGGTTGAAGGACCATGGTATCCCTGTTCTTAATTGGCCAGCAAACTCTCCTGACCTTAACCCCATAGAAAATCTATGGGGTATTGTGAAGAAGAAGATGCAATACACCAGACCCAACAATTCAGAAGAGCTAAAAGCCACTATTAGAGCAACCTGGGCTATCATAACACCTGAGCAGTGCCACAGACTGATCGACTCCATGCCACGCCGCATTGCTGCAGTAATACAGGCCAAAGGAGGCCCAACTAAATACTGAGTGCTGTACATGCTCATACTTTTCATGTTCATACTTTTCAGTTGGCCAACATTTCTATAAATCCTTTGTTTTTATTGGTCTTCAGTAATATTCTAATTTTCTGATATGATGAATTTGAGATTTTCATTTGTTGTCATTTGTAATCATCAAAATTAAACAAAATAAACATCTGAAATATGAGTTTGTATGTAATGTATGAATATAATATACAAGTTTCACTTTTTAAATGGAATTACTGAAATCAATCTACTTTTTCATGATATTCTAATTTTATGACCAGCACCTGTAGAATTGTGCAGAGTTAAACCCCACTCTTATATTTTTACCTACTATTCTCTCTCTGTATCAAGCAAAATAATACATTCATTAAAATATTAACTTCACTATAAAAGTGGAACATCTGGGCTGTAGTTACTCTGTCGCCCATTTCATGTATTTCATCTGGGGCTGAAAAAAATGAATCATATTAATTGATTATTTCAATAATCGTCAACTAATTTAGTACGTGATTCATCATTAACTGGAGTATAGAGACTTTAAAACATACAGTAATATAAAAGTAAAATGTGCCTTTCCCCACAGAGCAACCCACTTAGATCAGTTATTATATCAAAATTGTAAAAATAAACACAAAAAAATGAAAACAGTAATATCAACTTAATATCGGTAAAAAGGAAATCCTCACATTTTCTTTTTTAGTTGGCTGTGGCTAAGAATCAGAAATGTTGATGCTTACAGCCTTTATTTGCCCATTTTTCCAGCAGTCTTCAGAACTCCTGGCTGACTCAGAATATTTCGTTTTATAAAAAAAAAAAAAAGGTTTTTGTTTTTTAGTGTACATGATATTCATTTTTTTTTTTATTGGGACTAGTTTTGTAGCCTAATATTAATTGTAGTAACCGCTGCATGTGAATACATTTTCAATGTTGTGCTCCAAGCACACGCGGACTAGAAAACAGCCAATCAGAGAGAGAGAAGGCGGAACTTATGGCAGAACAACCAATGAGAGTTGAGTTAAACAGCGCAGCACAGCTCCATGCGCTGCTGCATGAAAGGGACAGGAGAGACCAGGCAGAGGAGCTGCGAGAGGAAAAGAAGCCACTGCTGCAACAACTACTGCTGTAAATTATAAACATGTTGCTCACATCCAATTATTGGTAGAGACAATTAGGTCGGTTCAAAATTTTGGTAGGGACATGTCCCTATGGTCCCTATGCAAACCTACGCCCATGCTTCTTTCTCTCCAGTTGCAACCTACTCGATTACAGCTCCCTGCTGTACATATGCAAGTGGCCTCAGATCAATTAAAATATAATTTACATACATAGTCTTCACATTAAACAAGCTATTGTTAAACAGAACACAGCCACTATATGTCAATTTAAAATAGGCCAAAATCATAAAAAAAAAATTACAACTAAAAAGATGGGTGACTGACCATTTTATGTCTCTTTTGTATAAATAAAGTCTTTGAATTGAATGAGTATTATATATTTCCTGGTAATTTGCCTCTGTCGCTTAATAGAACTTAATTGCAGTTTTTTAAAATAGGAAATGTGCTTGATTTTTTTTTACATAAATAAAATGTCTTCAGCTTTGATTATAAAACTTTTTATTTTTTACAGAAAGAGTTTTTGAGGTGGTGAGCTGTAACAGCCGTTCAGCTATTGAACACCAAACAAACAAACACAGTAACTTATAAACCAATATTATGTCAGAGATACAGATCACATATTGCCTTATTCAATTATATGTTACAATTAAAAAAGCACTACATGACATATTCATCAGTTTAACAAAAAAGATGCATAATTTTAGTTACAAACAGCTCCTTTTTGAAACGATCTGTCCGCTGTGACAGACCAGTGGTGCTGAGAATGATTCTTGTAAATGCTCACATACATACATGGCCACCCCTTCCACGGCCGACTGAACGTGTGTCTCAGTTCTGAATCTCCTGCTGACCTCTGGAAACATTAAGTCAGACGTCGTCCATCCCTTAAAGCTCTATTTGGATTGAAGCCAGGAACTAATCTCACGTTGATCAGACACTTCTGTCATAACTGCTCCCAGAAAAATCAGTCAGGAGATCCAGTTGAAACAGAGCGACTGTTGACTGAAGAAAAATTGAATTTGAGATCCATTCTTTCCCATTCAAGCAACATTTATTTTATATTTTTTCCTTGCAAGGGAGAACATATGCCATTTTCTAAGGTGGTATGCCACTGTCACTCGCTTTGAGAGTCACATAGATCTCGTTCTACACTTTTCTCAAAGTATGAATGAAACACTTGATAAAAAACTCTGAAGTCCAGATTTTAGCTTTATTTTATTTTTTGTTTCTTTGCAGATAGATCTTAGGACTAATTGTAAGAAGTTTGTTAAATATGCCCCCAGATCTTCCTCACTTCTACAGCTTCCTCCTACATTAGATGTTCTCACAGTAGAGGGTCTGTTGGTTTCTGGTCCAAAATGCAGGTCTTATGAGATGAGCAAAATGAAGACGGGTAGCTTCACCTCCCAGTAAACCCAACTAGACCCTGCTGGGTTTCTAAAGGGGTCCAACTGGGCCCTGGCCTATAGCAGCTGATACTGAGCTTAGGTGTGGTCATTGATGCCGGCTGCAGCGAGCAGCACTTTAGATATTACAGGACCAATTATAGTTAGTAGTTTTTTTCATTATTTAACCTTTCATTAATGAGCATCTCTGCTTTAGGAAGCTAACTAGTGCTGATCTCGTTAGTCTGGTGTCTGAAGCTCGTTAAGGGTAAAGAGCTCCTTAGGGAATCAAAATGTTTTCTAGATGAAAAAGTTTGAACAACTGGATTAAGAATTGTGGTGAAATATCATCAAATGAGGCTAATGAGGGCTGCTAATTAGCCTTTAAATGACGGACAGCTGGACTGAAGAACATGGATCGTGTTCCCAAGGACCCTGATGAGATGCTAATGAGCCTCAGAGCTCCACCCACCAGAAAGCTGATGTGTTATTTTATAAACATCAAAGAGAAATCTTGTTTTTGTTTTGGTTCCTGACCTTATTTGTTTAGAATAATTCAGAGAAGATATTCAGCAGCAGAGTTTAAGGAGAACTGTTGAAGTTCTCAGGAGAGACGCCAGACTGACTGTGAATTTGGCCCGCCTGGGTTCAGGATGGAGAACAGGAAAAGACCAGATTAAGCTATTATGATGAGAAAAAGCATAAAGTTAATGGTTGAACTAACAAATACTGCAGAATACCAAAATAGAAATGGATCAAAGCAGAATGGAAAGGGGTCCCACATGTCCTCCAGCAGTCTAAGGCTATAGCAGCAGAAAATACATAAAATAGCTCAGGATAACAAGCTATTTTGGATGAAGTATAAGAAAGATAGAGGCACGACAGGACCAAGGAGAAACATATGTCCGGACTGAAGGCCAGTAGCTACAGGTAGGATTTGATGTCGGCCGTTCTAGCACCCAGCAAACATTTGACTATGGTCCCTGCTGTCTCTGATGCCATGTTTCTGATTAAGGCGCTGCCAATTACCAGAGTGGGGTTCTCATCTGTTATATGAATAAGCAGGGAAAACAATTAGAAATATGGATGGGATGGTGGTGACCAGTGGGCGAAGCTCTAGAACTGCACTTTCTGTGTATCATCACCCAATTGTTTTTGGTTCCTACCTTTTCATGAACTGTTGAAGGGCCACTACATGAACGTGTCCCTGGTCCCAGTGGCTCTATTCTGGTAGGTATTAGGCTTAGTGTTAGGTACTTGCCTTAGCGTTTCCAAATCATGTCCTCCCTTTTATCCATTGAGCACACCCTGTTCCCTTTTTTGGCTCAGTGGAGGGAGTTAGTTTAAAGTTCCATGGTTTTCCTGGGGTCATGTCTTGTTCTGCCTCTTAACTGCTGAGCCCACCAGTTTCTATCTGAACGTTTCTTCCTAAACTCGCTGTTGGACTCATGGAACCCTGAAACTGTCTGTTCCTGTTCTGATCGGAACCCTAAGCCGGGTTGGGGACTCCTGGATCTCTGAACCTTCCTGTTCTGAACTGTTTCCCTGACCTTGCTCAGATTCGTGCTTGTTCACTGAGGCTGCTGCATCGGGGACACTCTGGGCTGCTCCCGCCGCATCTCGTTGGCAGTCCATCGACTGGATCCTTCCTCACTCAAGAGGATGGACCAGGTAAGTGACTCACATGGATGATCATCTTCTGTCAGATTATCGTGGTCACTTACCTGTGTTTCCCCCTCAACCAGATTGCCAGTGATGGAGTGTGCCCCTTCTCCCCCTGCAGCCACTGTAGATTCACAGCACCACATATTTCTGTTCAGTTTATCTTAATAACGTTTTGAATCTTCCCACTGCCTGTCTCGCCTCAAATTCTGCGCCTCACATTCCTACACTCTGAGCTTATGACACACAGGAAAGAGAACTTAATTAAAGAGAAAAGCTGGAGAACAGCAGCACAGAACATAGGTCAAAGCAGTCAAAACAGGAAGTAACACAATGTGTCTAATTGGCAGCACCAGCACCTCTACTATTTGGATTCTAGTTTCAGCTAGTAACGTTAGCAAAAAGTTTAACCATTTTAACCCACTCACAGTTTTACAAGTTGGACAAGTCCTGCAACTGGAACCATTTTAATGTTAGGAGAGAAATGTGTGCTGGTCGATGGTCCTCAAGTCACAGCAGGTCCAGGTCAGACCCTATGATGTCATCAGGTGGGTAACATTAGAGGCTGCACATGCTCAGTTGGAGAAGGAGAAAGGAGCCATGTTGGATTTTTAAGGCCCAATCCCAAACGGGCCCCTAACCCTCCATTTAGGCGTTCTTGTGGAGGGTCCGTCACATTACGAGCCATCTCAAACCACCTAGTGGGTAGAGAAAGTTGACCATTCAGCCCTTAAATATCGAGTCTTCATCAGAGCAGACGGACTGGATTTTGGCAGTGGGTGTAGCGGCGAACTAGTGGCGGAGGAAACACCTGTATTAAAATAGTATATTCTGCTGGTTTGCTTTATCTTTGACAGGAAAACACAAGTTAGACGTCATTGATCCTAAAAGGGAAGGTCCTCTTTTAAATAGTTTTATTTGACCGTATTTCTTTTAAGGGGCGAAGGTTTTATGTCATCATACTGCAGAGAGCAACAGCCATGCACATGTGCTGTCACTGTGTTACCATTGCAACGACTGTTTTCCTTTTCCGTTGGACGGAAGAAACCCTTGCATTCAAAATTACATCCCCCCACCCCTCTTTAACCAAGGCGCCTTTCTCAGCTGTGAGTGTTACTTTATTTGGAGGGACACTGATAGTAAGGGTTAGTGTTTGGAGCAAGACCGTTGCTCTGTATAGGGATGGAGGGGTTAGGGTGGACGATAGGACACAGCAGTGGTGTCACTTCAAACAGCCAGGTCATGCTCCAGCCTAACAGGGAGTAACACCTGTTCCTCAGCAGTTCAGCCACAGAGACAAGCTGCTATGAGGAATGATGGGAAACTGAGTCCTTTTAGAGTTTAGGTGGAATTTTCTCTCTACATCCGTCCATCGGTGTGTCTGTTTGTCCCTCCGTCCTCCAGGCAGAGATCATTCAGAAAAGAAGAGGAGGCTTGATGAAGACTGGGTTCTCTGCAGAGAGATAAAACCCAATGAGTTTCTTCCTTCATCATATTAGTTCATTCAGATCAAATCATCTTTACCTCTAAGGTGAAAGATTAGCTCACCTTAGAGGTAAAGCTACAGAGGAGGTGATGGAGGACAAATGGAAGTTGAGGCCTTCCTTCCTTGCCTGTTCCTACCAGTCCTCTTCTGTTCATACAGGTTCTCGTCTGTTCCTACAGGTCCTTACCTTGCCCTACAGGTCCTCAACTGTTCACAGAGGTCCTCATCTGTTCGTATAGCTCCTCACCTGTTGGTCCTTCATAAGTCTTCAGAGACCGCTCCACCTTTTCCCTCTTCCCTGATTCCAGGTCCAGAGCCTCCTGCAGTTTCCTCTTTGCTTTCTTCTCCTTCTTCAGCCTCCTCTGCATCGACACTAATGACACAACGAGACACAAACTGGTGACATCTGTCTGCTGCGAAACATCTCCTGTCTCCACCCATCTCTCCTGTCTGCAACCTGTCTCTTACCTCTCTCCAACCTTGTTTCCTGTCTCCGACCCGTCTCTCCTGTCTCTGACCCGTCTCTCTTGTCTCCGACCCATCTCTCCTGTCTCCGACCCGTCTCTCCTGTCTCCGACCCGTCTCTCCTGTCTCTGACCCGTCTCTCTTGTCTCCGACCCGTCTCTCTTGTCTCCGACCCGTCTCTCCTGTCTCCGACCCGTCTCTCCTGTCTCTGACCCGTCTCTCCTGTCTGCTACCCGTCTCTCTTGTCTCTGACCTGTCTCTCTTGTCTCCGACCCGTCTCTCCTGTCTCTGACCTGTCTCTCTTGTCTGCTACCCATCTCTCCTGTCTGCTACCTGTCTCTCCTGTCTCTGACCTGTCTTACCTTGTGTCTGAAGCTCACAGCTCAGCTGTCTCTGCAGAGTCTGTCTGACGTCTCGTTCTTTGTCCAGCTCCAGTTCTAACTCTCTGCGCTCCGTTTGACTCCTTTTGCTCTGGGAGCGGGCGCTCTCTGCCGCCATTTTCAGGAGACCCTGGGGGGTGTTTGTGAAGCAGAAACTGTAAAATGTTCTGGCAGTGTTAAAAAATTGCGGAGTTTGTAATAAGTTACTTGTATGTTGGTCAGCAGCGTCTCCATGGAGGACAGGCCTTCAGACATTAGGAGAGGAGCTAAGGAGTTGCTGAAGCGCCTGAATGATGGCAGCTGGGTGGGTGCTATTTTGTCATTGGCTGGTTTGTGAAGGGGGAGGGGCCAAGTGGTGTCACCTGCAGATATAAGAGAGTAAACCTGAATGTAATCAGAGTGAACAAAATTTATTCTGTCCTGATACCTCACACAGTGATGGCAGTATGATGGTGTGGACCCAGAAAGAGTGATTCCAGCTCTACAGCAGAGTAACTCAGGTCGCTGAGCCAAACAGAAACATGCTGAAGATTTTTAATTGGTGACTGGAACCAAATTAGTTCCCAGTGTTCCTACTATAGATGACCAAGCTCCTGCAGCTTCCTCTGAATAATCCAGCATAAGATTAGCTTGTGCTGCAAACGAAGCAAACAGAGGAGCAGCAGAGAGACGCCTGAAGATGAAGGATCAAAAAATCTAGAAACCTAAAACACATCAGGAGGAAACAGCTCAACTGCTTTTTTCTGGTTCTGACACCATTAGAGAAGAAGGAAACCCTTAGAGGAGGCTTCACCTGCTCTTAGAGGGATTGCTGCAGGTAAATATCTGGATGCAATTGGCTCCAGATCGACTGGGATGGTATTGAAAGGGTTGTTAACTGGAGCTCTGTGAGGGAGGAGAGATGGTGCATGGTCCAGGAGACAGATGTCTATTCTGGACGGATCAGTTTATTCTGGGTTCAGAACCACCTTCCTGATCAGAAGGACTTTTGTTCACCAATCAGGTTTAGCCTCTGCCTGCCATACAAGCACAGACGTAACTTTCTGAAAGCCTCGTTGGAGATGTCCCCACTAATAACTTCCGCTTTTCTTCCCCTTTCCGCTAATTTACTTTAGCCAAAGGTAACAGAGTTGGATGCAGCTGTGTTCAGAGTGTTTTGAGTCAGTGTTTTTCCTCTCTCTCACTGCTCCCATGTCCCGCTTCTCTGTGTAACATCATCAGATCTGTCACTTTGAATCATCTGATTTACGATCGCATTTTACTGATATACAAAGTAGCTACATGGTTGGAGGAGAGACACACAGCAGCACTTAGTGAATTTAACCATGATGTTTAAGTAAAAGTAAAAAAAATTAGAGATGCCACCGAAAAATCTGTTCGTTAGAAATACGGAGAAAAACGACAACAGATTATAAGTTTATACAAGTTAGTATTATAATGCAAGAAGCTTGAGAAAATATAGTTTAAATGTTCTTTACTAGTTGAAAAAAAGGTGGGGTTTTCAGAGGACCGAGACTCCCAGTTACAGGTTAGAGGTAACATGTTTTCTTATTAAACAGATAAAATCAGACTGCAGAAATTCTTGAAATTTTGTATCTAGCATCATCATATAAGTAAAGAGGTTCATTAATCTTTTTAAACAAAGAGAAGCAGGAAGAGCTGCAGATTTAAGGGTAAAACAGATTGACTGGGATATGCAACATGCAATAAAATACACTATATTGCCAAAAGTATTTGCTCACCTGCCTTGACTCACATATGAGCTTAAGTGACATCCCGTTCCTAATCCATAGGGTTCAATATGACGTCGGTCCACCCTTTGCAGCTAGAACAGCTTCAACTCTTCTGGGAAGGCTGTCCACAAGGTTTAGGAGTGTGTTTATGGGAATTTTTGACCATTCTTCCAGAAGCGCATTTGTGAGGTCGCACACTGATGTTGGACGAGAAGGCCTGGCTCTCAGTCTCCGCTCTAATTCATCCCAAAGGTGTTCTATCGGGTTGAGGTCAGGACTCTGTGCAGGCCAGTCAAGTTCATCCACACCAGACTCTGTCATCCATGTCTTTATGGACCTTGCTTTGTGCACTGGTGCACAGTCATGTTGGAAGAGGAAGGGGCCAGCTCCAAACTGTTCCCACAAAGTTGGGAGCATGGAATTGTCCAAAATGTCTTGGTATGCTGAAGCATTCAGAGTTCCTTTCACTGGAACTAAGGGGCCAAGCCCAGCTCCTGAAAAACAACCCCACACCATAATCCCCCCTCCACCAAACTTTACACTTGGCACAATGCAGTCAGACAAGTACCGTTCTCCTGGCAACCGCCAAACCCAGACCCGTCCATCAGATTGCCAGATGGAGAAGCGCGATTCGTCACTCCAGAGAACGCGTCTCCACTGCTCTAGAGTCCAGTGGCGGCGTGCTTTACACCACCGCATCCGACGCTTTGCATTGCACTTGGTGATGTATGGCTTGGATGCAGCTGCTCGACCATGGAAACCCATTCCATGAAGCTCTCTGCGCACTGTTCTTGAGCTAATCTGAAGGCCACATGAAGTTTGGAGGTCTGTAGTGATTGACTCTGCAGAAAGTTGGCGACCTCTTCGCACTATGCGCGTCAGCATCCGCTGACCCCGCTCCGTCAGTTTACGTGGCCTACCACTTCGTGGCTGAGTTGCTGTCGTTCCCAAACACTTCCATTTTCTTATAATACAGCTGACAGTTGACTGTGGAATATTTAGGAGCGAGGAAATTTCACGACTGGATTTGTTGCACAGGTGGCATCCTATCACAGTTCCACGCTGGAATTCACTGAGCTCCTGAGAGCGACCCATTCTTTCACAAATGTTTGTAAAAACAGTCTGCATGCCTAGGTGCTTGAATTTATACACCTGTGGCCATGGAAGTGATTGGAACACCTGATTCCAATAATTTGGATGGGTGAGCAAATACTTTTGGCAATATAGTGTATATTTCCAAGTTTACCACAAAGTTTACAAGAAAAAATCCATATTTTTCTGGATGGATGGAATTCAAATTGTACTTCTAGGGATGCATGATATATCGATTTTGGCATCGGAATTGGCTTTTATTCTTTATTTTTGTATACATTAATGTTTTTGGGCCCTATATATGTAATGCACTGAAACTCATCTCTCTAACTATCTATAAATATAAACAGCAGTGTTTTTTTTGTTTCCTTTGTGCTCTCAAGGAAAGCATTCAATAAATATATATTTTTGAGCTAATTTTTGGAAAATACAAAAAACTAAAGAAAGCGTTTGTGTAACTAGATCCATCAGCCACCACCCTAGTGTCCCCACCAACTTTGCATTCATGGAGCCATTTTTCTGACTGGGTCCAACATCAGGGTCCAGATTACAGCAGGAATACAACACTGTTCAAAACCAGAAGTCTGTTTGTTCACACTGGCCTGGTTCTGGTGGGTGTTCTGGAGGAGGAGGAGATGAAGGTGAAGATGCTCCGGAAGGCAACCGACTGGTTGGTTCCTGAAGGTGGAGCCCTTGATCACTGGGGGAGGGGCTTCCTGCAGGAAGCCCCTGAGTCCATAGCACATTGTCAGCATTAGCATCTTGGCATTAGCGATGTAACTGGCTGTGTCCGAAAATCCGCTCTCACCCCTAAACCCCTCCATCACTATATAGTGAACCTTATAGTGACTCAGTTTACTACTTGATCACTACTTTTCGCTCCCTGTGGGTCACGTGACTCCGGCTCGCTACACGGCATCATCTTTGTTCTTTGTTACCCCCAAAAACAAATCCCATGATGCTTTGCAAGGAGAGCTATTACAAAGCATTCTGGGATATATCTGCTCGTCTAGTGACCATGGATTGTCCCCACCTGATCCGTCCCAGAAGCACGCTCCGTCCTGCACATGCGCGAACAGATATTCATCCGGTTATCCATAAATAATATAATTATGGTACTAAAATTACTTATTTCTATCCTTAACTCACTAAAGAATGCTAAAATCAACTTTAAAAATGTTTTATGACTTTTTTGAGACAATTGGGTTTGGCGTTTGAAAGAACAAATGTCTCATCATCGGGATTTGCTCCGTGATCAGAGGAAATGTTACTTGGCGCAGATCAGTGGTGAAAATTGGAAGTTCAGTTTAATATAATACAACTCTGTGAATAGTTCCGTCTGAAATTAATGAAAATAGTTGTTTTAATGGTTATTGAGTCAGATATGTGGCGGTAATGTTTGGCTTATCTAAAGGTTTTTATCTGTTACTGTGTAAATGAGTTTGGCTGTAATTTAAGGACAGATTCTAATAGATCTGCGGAGTGGGAACTATAAATCTGATAGGAGTTTAATTTTTTTATTTTTGTTTTGCACAATATGCTTAACTACGTATTTTTTGTTGTTGAATATTAGAGATTTTGCAGATATATTTTGTAGATACATTGTTTAGATTTACTTATATATTTCTAACCCTTTTATAGAATAGAATAGAAAATCCCTTTATTGTCCCACAATGGGGAGATTTACAGCAGCAGAAAGATTATTGAAAATGGTCACACAAATGAGGACCTTAGAAAAATGTATAAGAATAACATAATAGGGAAGAGTTAAAATATAAAAAAATACAATTCTGTAAAGTGTTTTAACAATATAAAACTGGGGAATAAATAACCAATATGCAGCTTTGGACATTTTTACAGTAATGGATATTTGAAAATAGCAGCAACATCAGAGATGTGCAGAATGACAGCAGCAGGTTATTTAACTGACTAAGGTTTCTATCATTACATTTGATTTGATTTGCTCCTGCTCCCGGTGGTTGGAACCTTTATTCCACTCTGGATTCTTGTGAGTGTAGTCTTTGTTCGCTTTAACTTTTTAAAAAATAAATAAATAAACAAACAGTTTTGAAAACCTCGGTATTTATTCTTTTCCTGCTTTGTGTGTCAACTTTCACGGTTGCTAAGCAACAGAGCATACGGCGGTAAAACCCGCCGAAGGGTGGACCTGTTCGAATTTACAGCCAAAACTCTTCCGGTCTCCTTATTTTCAAGGACTTCGAAGGATCCAGTCTAGGTAGACCGCGTCCTTGGAGGATGCAGCCCAGGTTTTCGAACAGAGCCTCTGATTAAGAACAGGGCTGCCCGCACTGACGCGGCTCAGGGATTACGTCACACGCAGCGTCGTGCGCAGTGAAATCAGGACATTTCCTCACTTTCTAAAAAAAACCCGGGACGCCCGGGACAGGACGTGAAATACGGATATGTCCCGGGAAATACGGACGTTTGGTCACCCTACGTAGGATCCCATTTCCAGTGCAGATCGGGCACAGAAAAGGGATAAAATAGAAAGGATTTAAGGCTTTTATTTTCTCACAAAGTGCATTATTAACCTTTAACACATTATAGTTTAGTATGTTTAATATTTTTGGTCATGTAGGCCTTTTTTACAAAATACAATCTAGTGTGACCCGGCTGTAAATCTGGATGCGCATGTGATGGCGCATGCGCGGAACAGATCTTGCTTCCGGGACGGATCGAGTAGCGACGTGAATTATCACTACTTTTCAAGGTGCTTTGTGGGAAAATTTGAGTCCACTACTTTTTTGTCCAATAGATGTTCGGACACTCATTCGAAATGGCCTAACCATTATAGTGCGCTATGGAGGGACGGATGTTTGGACACAGCAACTGTGTCATCTGTTAGCCATGTGAGGTTAGCCCTACAGTTACCTTGTCGTCTGTCTGTGAATCATCCTGCAGGTTAGCTGGACCGCTCAGCTGGGTCAACTGAGTCATCTCCATGGCTACACCAGCAGGGGGCAGGCCCACAGGAAGGAGAGGATGTGGCATGACCATAAAAGGAAGATCTGTTATACCTGTGGAAGCAGAGACAAAGGATCAGTGACCCGCCCACAGAGCTCGGCGAACCAATCAGGATGTGACTCACGGCTGTGCTGCTGCAGAGCCCTGAGACAAACCGAGCCAGCAGGGGGCGCTGCAGCTAAGGAAGGAGAAAGGAGGCGCTGTTCCCTTTCCCATGATCCTTCATTGCCCCCTACCAAGGAGAGAAGGAAGTGAGAAGGCAGCAACTGAGGAAAGGAGACAGGACTGAGTTTATGATCCAAGGAATCCAACCTGTGTTGTTGTTCTCTGAGTTGGCTTCACTTTGGTTAACGTTGCCATGGAAATGCATGATCATCTTCCTCATCTTGTGTATCCTCAGAGCTTCAGCCATCACTGCTGTCAGACCTTAAGACAGAACATGACAGAGATCTGAATCTGAACTCCAGGGGGCGCTGCAGCAAGAACTGGTTCAGGATGGCTTTCCTCTCATTAATCAGAAGAAATTTTAGTTTAATGTTCACAGTTTAAATAACTGATCTGTAATTGCTGACTGTGGACCAGCTCTATCTCACAACTCACATCATAAACTCTTCTTACCACCTGCCTCAGTGTTAACGAGGGAGCCCCACTAATGAGCTCATTAAACTCACGAAGACACCAAAAAAAGATCTGCTTCTCTCTCTCAGTAGGTCAGGATTGGCCCCAGCTAGAGTGTCTGGAGACTGGGAGCTGTGGGGACCCAGACATACCTCCGGATGTCCTCACTGAGACAAACAGGTGGTTCTAGGGGGACAGAGGGTAGACAACATCCTGACGGAGCTGTTCTTCTTCTGATGAACCAGCTGTGACCAAAACCACCTCTGTTGTTCTTCCCCAACAGTTCTGTTCAGAGCTGAAAAAGAACCGTGGAACGAGAAGGATGCAGAACTCCTGATGGAGATTCTGAGCAGAAAACTAGACGGGAAGACAATGAAAGACGGTGGAAGCAGAACCAGAGCACAGATGAACACAGTTAGCCCATATAAAGAAGCAAAAACAAAGCTGAGGAAAGTTCCAGAACTTTGGACGAATTCTACAGAACCAGAATGAAATTAGAAAACCCAGAACAGTTTAAATAGATCTTTAACGCAAAGAAACCCAATTCACACCCAGACGTCTTCCAACAGGACAAACCAGTACCAACCCGGACCGGCAGAACTTTGTCTCCTCCTACTGATAGGATCTGCAAAGAAAGTGGATCTGAGGATCTGAGAAAGAGAAGAAGGTGAAGAAACCAGGGATCCAACAGAGCGCTTTCATAACTGGTGCTGAGAAGGAACAAAAGAGACAGAGGTGTCACTTTGACTGATCTCTTTGGGCTGATTCTCCTCTGCAGCCTTACAGCCTGAACCAGTCTGCAGAGCTCGGGTTCTGCATCGCAGTAGTTTAAAGTCAACCTTTAGCTTTTAATAAACTGAGCTTTTGATCATCATAATCCTGTGACCTCACAGGAGGCAACTTTTAATAAAAGCTGCAGAGTGTTTTCATCAAGCTGTCAGATCTGTCAGCGAGGTGACGGTGGTTCAGGGTCGGTATGTCCTCTGCAGGATTCAAACGCTCGGCTGAGCAGAAACATTAGAACATTAAAGGCTGGCTGCTCAGACTGATGGATGAGAAGGAGAAGCCTGGAGTTCAGCCAGGTTCACTGACGGAACGGTTTTCCAGCCCCCAGCCTCAAATCTTCTCCTTCACTTCCTCTCTTCTACAGTGTTTTAATATTCAGCCTAAAAAAAAGACTGAATAAAAACAGATGAAGATGGCTGACAAATTACGTCCCACAGGTGTGATCAAGTCCAAAGACACGCTGATCGTCTCCAGGAACCGTCATGGAGCTTCTTTCAAACCTTTCTAACTCTGACCCCTTTTACTTTTTATTATAATGTGGAGGAAAGCATCAATATCCTAATGTGTGATTTAGCCCTGAGCTGTGCCTGTCAGGTGCCTGTGACTAATCTTGCAGAGGTGTCGGACTGTCAGAGCTACTGTTATAATTAGTAATGTTCATTAGCAGATATCAAAGCGACTGACAGACCGAGTGGGACCCGAAGCTCCGACTCACTTCAGATTTAGAGGATCAGAGAAAAGGAGCTTATGAGGATTTTCCATCTGGAAATCATATTTTAGTGTATATGACTATTAGGGAGGAGGAGGTTGAGGAGGAGGAAATGCAGGTTTTTTTATGGGCTCTGTCCCCCTGGATACAGCATGGTACTACTTCTCCTGCTTCCTGTAAACCATCAGATGCCATGAAGATGCTGATGATGACTGATGGAAACATCCCAACAGGATCTACTCCAGGGAAACCGCTTGGCTTTTGATTGACTGACGCTACGTTCACACCGCAAGCAGCAGAGGCAGCAGAAGCAGCTAGTTTACATGCAAAGTCAATGGTTGACACACATCTTGGTGCAGGAAAAGGTGCAGCAGCTTGTTTTGAGCAGCTCAAGTAGTGCCTCACAAGCTTCTGAGCATCTGACGCGTGGGACATGCTTCAGAAGCTGCAGCTGCTGGAGTTAAATTTTTTTTACTTTTGCTGCTCAATGCGCCACATTAACCAATCAGAGAAGCTGATTTGGGAGCTGGCAGGGTGACAGACACAGCACTGCTGATGCTGATCGCTAAGATCACTCCTCTGAAACAGTTTATTAACGCCTAAATTAACTTAAAATGTCCAAACCTGAGGACAAAATATGTTCGAGTCTATTATTCCTGTGCCTACAGTTTGGATTACGTACGTAAAAAACACCTTCCTGCCGACACGAACAGTAGCGGAAAACACGAAGAGGCGATCGGGCCAGAGGCTGCTGTTGAAGGGGATTCCTAGTGACAGAGAGTAGGGCTCTGAGCGGCTCTGACTGCGAAATAATACTTGAAGGGAGGATCATAATCCTGATGAACTACTGCACTGACAATGTTTTATAGGGGACTTTCTCACTTAAAAATATATATTAAAACTACTTTTTACCTACTAATTAAAGCAAATATTGCGGCCATTGTTACAGGCAAAGAAAGGATAAGTTAGCTCCGCCCAATGCGCATCAGACCCACTTTTCGACCGAGCAGCTGGGGCAACAAAGATGCTTCAGCTGCGCATCAGAACTAAACTTGTACAAGCATCAAAAATGAAGCAGCACACGCTGCTCCTGCTCTCTCTTTCATTGTTACATCTCCAGAGGTGCACAAACACAGCGCCCCACTGTCCAAGTTCTGTCTGGAAGATAAAAGCCATTCATTTATACATGTGTCTTTGGTTAGTGCTGTTAGCCATGTCTCTGTCAGCTAAATGATGCTGGTTTCTCTGTAGTCCTGCTGCTGTGTTTGCATTGCTAATTCCTCCACTTTTTGTCATAAATCTCACATTTCACTTGATGAAGGACAGAATAATGAGCCTGTTCCTTCTCCTCCAGCTGTGACGGCTTCCATCACCAGATTTTCTGAGCCTCCTTCTTCTCATCTCTGGAGATAGTGTAGTTTTGCCACAACTGGGCTATTAGCCAAGGCTAGCCGATTGCCAATATAACCAATAGCTTGCTGTTTGCTTCCCTGGTCTATTTTAATCATGTAAAGCACTTTGCATTGTCTTTGTACTGAATTGTGCTATACAAATAAATTTGCCTTGCCTTGCCTTGTTAATACTGTATGTGCAGTAAATACTTCAAATAGATAAAAGTAGCTAAATTAGGTCCCAGTGTTTTACTATAAATGTTTAAAACGTCCTTTTTTAAGAATTTTGAAGTTCTGATGTGAAAAATGTTTTTACTTATAAATATATACTTATAAATAAATGAATTAGATTTTCTCACTGCTCTGAGACAGGAGGGCTGGGCTGAGAAGGCCATGTGGGAGGAGCCTGGAGCTGCTACTGATGAAACCCAGACTTCTCTTTGGGGGACGACCCGGACGAGAGCTGAAAGACACACCAGAGTAACAAACATCAGACAGAGTTCATTCTAGAGCAGGTCACTCTGGAATGAAGAGTTCATGAGCTTCTATTATATTTCCTGAAGACCTTTTATTGTCTACAAGTAAACAAATGAAATATATAGTTTACATCAACAAAGACATTATAGTTGCTTGATATCAGTCTGATTCCATGCTAAGGTTAGGGTGTTAATCATTGCCAAAAAATAAAAATAAATAATAATAATCATTGTCATGGTAGCCACACCCACTGATACCTCTGATAACCCCAGTTCAATTCAGTTTATTTCACTACCACACATTCACAACACGTCATCTCAAGACACTTTACAGAGACAAGTCAACCAGATCATCCAGTCAGATTGGTTCAAAGTTTTCTATCAAAGGAAAACCAGCTGATTGCATCGACTGATGAACTCGACAGCAAGCCCCTCACACAAAGCATGCTTGGAGCAACAGTGGAGAGGAAAACTCCCTTTGACGATAAAGAAACCTTCAGCAGAACCAGGCTCCCCGTGTCCTCCAGCAGTGTAAGCCTATAGCAGCATAGATATAGAGAGTAGCTTAGGATAACTGCCTATTTTGGATGATATATTAGAATAGTAGAGGTAGTATCAACACAGAAAGACAAATCCACCTACACTTGTGCAGTCTACTGACTGAGAGAGTCTCATGATGGTTGGCATAGCTCCATGCTGAGGTGTCAATGTTTTAGAGGTTCTCTGTCAAAAACTCTTTAACTGATAAAATTGCTATTAATGAGCTCCCTCAGTGGGAGGGTACTGGTTCTGGTGGACCTGACATAACATAAGTTTTGTTATGTTTTATCACCATTAGATGTAATAAACTGTCATAGGCCACAGATCTTACAATAGATGTTACACTTTAATAACAGAAATAATCCAACATTAATGTATTTATACTAAATAACTGATCTGACTGCTTAAGCAGGGACCTGGTTCTGATCCTCTTAAGTCATAATGTCTGAGTGGGTCAACGGGTCAGTGTTTGATTGATGGTCGGAGATGACCTGCCAACGCACTAAATTAAATTCCTCAGGTGTCTGTATGTGTGCGAGTAAAACTTAATCAAACTGGGAAAAGAAGCCTTTGAAGTTATGCCAGCCCAGTTTAACCCACTCAGGCCGGTTCTGCTCAGAGAACAGGAAATCACAGGTAATGGCTTTTTGAAATCCTTCAAGCAGCAGAAATATAAGTTATTATTTTTCTGATGACAGATTGCATGTCAGCCAGACCCGTCCTCCTGTTCTGAACCACAAACACGGCTGACCTCACAGGTGCTGGCCTCATGTTCACAGTGAGTGTGTGAGAGCTGTAAGTCTATCTCTGTGAGGACCATTTGATCTACCATGTCATAGCCATTTTAGACCTCTTTGCTCTGAAACCCAATGGTGCAGCAATAAACCACTCCTTTATTCACATGATTTGATCCTGGCGAACAGACCACCTGTGCTCAATAGAACCAGAACCTTCCAGCCCAAAACCTGAAAGTCCAGAGCCCCTGAAGGCAGTATCAAGTAGAGCTCAGAATAAGTTCTAGATTAAACATCTGGATTTTTCCTGGGTCTGGGTGTCAGAAAGCCAGATAGCCGTTATCCTGGGTCCGGTTCCTCCCGAGGATCCCTCAGTGAACCACCTCCATTCAGTACCGAGATCCTGTCAGATGCTAGATATTAGAAAGCTAACACCAGGACCTGGTAGATGCAGGGTACGGCATCAGGCATCACTAGCAGAGTGGAGAGGTTCTCTGCCTGCCATGCTGGACTGGATGCTTCACATCCTGTCTGGGATGTTCAGTTAATCTGTTTCTCTTTAATTACTTTATTATCTGGATAATTATCAAGATCAGCTGTTCCACATGGAGAAATGCCACAGAAATGTCTGCTTCAGCTGCATGTCACCGACGCACTCACTGGCTGACTAGTTAACTGACTGGCTGACAGACTAACTGACTGACTGGCTCATTGAATGGCTGACTTACTGACTGACTGACTGAGTGACTCACTGACTGACTGAATCACTGACTCACTGATTTACTGACTGACACACTGACTCACTGATTTACTGACTGAATCACTGACTCACTGATTGACTGACTGACAGTGATTTACTGACTGACACACTGACTCACTGGCTAACTTGCTGACTGACTCACTGAATGACTGAATTACTCAATGACTCCCTGACTGACTCACTGACTGGCTCACTGACTGGCTCACTGACTGAGTGACTATCGCAAGTGTCACTAAAACCATGCCATTGGCTATCCCAAATGTAAGGAAGCTGTAGCAGCTCTGTGAACAGCACAGTGTGACCAAAGCCTCCCTCTAGTCCATTTTAACTGTAAAATTTAAGATGCAGTTGCCTGAACGGAATGATTCTGAGAATGGATCTCTTGAATTAATCATTTTAATAAACCGATCTTTTTAAAATAATATAAATAAATAAAAACATACAAATAGTTAAATATTGAAATAGTAAATAAATCTTAAAATAAATAAACAAAAAAAAAAAATAAGCTAAATGTTTAATTTATCATTTATACTTTATAGGCATTTTATGTATTTGATGGAAAATTCAATTTATATGTATTTTTTTATTTAATGTTTTTAGTTTCAAATAAAGAAATAAAGTCGCAGGAAATATTGTATTGATCTATTGATGCTTGATAATAGAAAGACAGCTTTATTGTCTCTTTGTAAAGACTTTAAATAAATCCACTACTTGCTGTCATTCTTCTAATAATGATCTGATTTCAGTGTTTTTTCTTTTTTCAGGCGAATTCAAAGGAATGGATTTTCATTGGAAGCCTGTTTCTAATAAAAATAGAATTAATCAATAATCATACATCCTTCAGTTTATCAGTTCATCCATCAGTCAGATCAGTATAATAAATATTAATTAGCTAATGTGCTTTGTCCAGAGCAAAACTGGTTTTTAGTTATTTAATCTGATAACAGTCAGTGGATGAACAGCTTCATCATTTCATCAAGAAAAGAGCACATGTCTATGAAAGCAATAAATATTCATATCAAGCTGATTTTATTCATTTGGAGTTGGCTGAAAAACTTTGAAAGGTTTTAAAAGTTGTGAATATTTGAACTGATGTTTACTAAAGATGTTCGGATTAAATCTCAGTCTGATCCATGAAGAGGATTCGTCAGATGAAAAGTCCAGTTTGGATTATGGATTGGATTTTCTTTAATTTAGCCTCTGGTTTCATTTCCGCTCTGTAATAAAGAACCCCCCTGGCTGACCTGGGGCTGGTGCAGTCCCGGTACAGAGCCTCAAAGTCGGTCCTGCTGATGAGCTTGCAGCGGTTCACTCCGGGCTGGATCGCTCCGAGGCCGCGCAGGACGCGCACCTGCTCTACGGTACAGACCACCGGGTTGATGCGCAGGCGCTTCAGCTTGGTGTAGACGGTGTGCAGCCCCCCCACCAGGTGCCTCAGGAACAGCTGGAAAACCTGCGGCAGGCAGATCAGCTCCGCGCCGTCCACTGTGAAGGAGGCCACCTTCACTCCGTGAACTTCCACCAGGCGACATTCCGCGTGCGGTGCGGCGCCGCCGCCGCTCGCCTCGTTCACTCCCAAAGGAAGCCTGTCGCTCAGAAACGCCCCTGCGAGCCCAGCGCTGTAACCCGGATCAGAGGAGAAAACCGGGTCAGGAGAGGGTGTGGAGGTCCGTCCTTTGGGGTCATCCATGCTGTAGCAGAAACACAGAAGAAGAGGAATGATGAAGAGGAGCAGAAGCGCTTCTGTTCTGCTCCTCCTAAGCTGCTCTGAAACAAGCTCTCTTTATCGGCTCTCTCTCTCTACTAGTTTCATTAGCCAATCAGACAGAGGGACCACGGACGGACAGGCCTCTGATTGGCTGTAGAATGTTGGAGGCGGGGCTTACAGACCTAGATTAAGGCGCAAACGGTGAGCTGATTGATTGTTTAATCACCTCCTCCAGGATGGAACCGCTCATCATCTGGTTGTGATTGGGTCTGCTGTCTCACCTGGTAATGTTCAGAACCCCACATTCATCAGATCGGCTTTTAAATAAAAAGCCCCGATTAAATAGGTCAATTTAACCTTTCGAACGCGGAAGGGGGGGTTACTGTCCATCTCCAGCAGAGTCCAGACTCACAGTCTCACTGACTCACTGAGGGAACTAGACTAAATAGGAAACTGGACTGATGAGGGGGTTGGAGCGATAAAGGAACTGGGCCGATGAGGGCACTAGACTAATAGCTGACCTGAATAATGGGTGAACTAGGCTGATGAGGGAACTTGATAGATGAGAGAACTGATGGGGGAACTGGGCTGATGATGGAACTAGACCAATAATTGAATTGGGGTGATGAGGGAACTGGACTGAATAGGAAACTGGACTGATGAGGGAATTGGTCCGATGGGGGAACTAGGACGATGTAGGAACTTGATCCATGAGGGAACTTGACTGATGAGGGAACTGGTACACTGATGGAAACTGGACCAATGAGGGAGGTGAACCAATGAGGGAATTGGACCCGTCAGGGAACTGGACTGATTAGGGAACTTGACTGATGAGGGAACTTGACTAAATAGGGAAGTGGACTTGTGAGGGAAATGGAACGATGAGGGAACTAGACTTATGAGGGAACTAGACTGATAAGCGAACACAAGTGATGAGGGAACAGGACTGAAGAAGCAACTGATGAGGGAACTGGACTGATAAGTGAACAGCGAACTGGACTGATGAGGGAACTGGACTGATCAGGGAACTGGACTGATGAAGCAACTGATGAGGGAACTGGACTGATAAGTGAACAGGGAACTGGACTGATTAGGGAACTGGACTGATGAAGCAACTGATGAGGGAACTGGACTGATAAGTGAACAGGGAACTGGACTGATGAGGGAACTGGACTGATGAAGCAACTGATGTGGGAACTGGACTGATAAGTGAACAGGGAACTGGACTGATCAGGGAGCTGGACTGATGAGGGAACTGGACTGATGAAGCAACTGATGAGGGAACTGGACTGATAAGTGAACAGGGAACTGGACTGACGAGGGAACTGGACTGATGAAGCAACTGATGAGGGAACTGGACTGATAAGTGAACAGGGAACTGGACTGATCAGGGAACTGGACTGATGAAGCAACTGATGAGGGAACTGGACTGATAAGTGAACAGGGAACTGGACTGATCAGGGAACTGGATTGATGAAGCAACTGATGAGGGAACTGGACTGATAAGTGATCAGGGAACTGGACTGATCAGAGAACTCGACTGATCAGGGAACTGGACTGATAAGTGAACAGGGAACTGGACTGATCAGGGAACTGGACTGATGAGGGAACTGGACTGATGAAGCAACTGATGAGGGAACTGGACTGATAAGTGAACAGGGAACTGGACTGATGAGGGAACTGGACTGATAAGGGAACAGGGAACTGGACTGATCAGGGAACTGGACTGATGAGGAAACTGGACTGATGAAGCAACTGATGAGGGAACTGGACTGATAAGTGAACAGGGAACTGGACTGATCAGGGGACTAGACTGATGAGGGAACTGGACTGATAAGTGAACAGGTAACTGGACTGATCAGGGAACTGGACTGATGAGGGAGAATCTTGAGGGAGAACTTTATCCTACAGTTCCGAGATGACCTTTCTAATCTGAAAGGTGAAATATAAATCAACAGAAAAATGGCAGACCTAGAATCTTTACAATCTAGTTTTCTGTCTTAAAAACATATCTGAATATTTCTATATTATTGCTGAACATGTTTGATCAGAAATCCAGAAGAAGAAAAAAAAACGGTCATGCGATCACGTGACTCAGTTCCTGCTGCCAACATGGCTGCCGAGGAGCTGCCGTCTGATTTTGAGATCGTCATTCTGGGAACAGGTACCTCCTCTGGATTATTATCATGTCATCTGATTCGGATTGGGTGTAGGAACGTGCGGTGGTTCAGACTCTGTCCAAAACATTCGGTTTAAACCAGCCTGAACCAGATTCAGAGCTGGACTTTGTCTGTCCGTTACAGTCAATGGGGCTAGCTGCTAGCGTGTTAGCTGCTAGCCTGATGAACTGTGATTTTTACATGAACCTGATGGAGTCAAAGCTGCTCTCCATCTGACAGGAGGCTAACCCAGGCTAGCTGCTGCTCAGGCTGTGATGTGTTCACGGTCATCTCCCCATCATCACACCACTGATCGGTTCCAGATCCTCCAGAACCTCAGCAGAATACCGTTTAAGTTCTGGAAACAGATCAGAACCACAGACCACCCTGTTGTAGTTTCCTATATAATCTATTTAATTTCCGTTGTTATTTTTATAGAGTTTTCTCCTTAAACATCCCTTTGGTTCCATGTCAGCAGTGTTGTTTTTCCCTCACTGTAGGGCCTCCATCATGTCAACACTGGTTGTACTGGTTTGGACTGGAAAGCAAACACTGGGACCAGCAGCAGCTTTAGGGTTCCTGGAACATGCAGGACTTTATAAACTCCTATTGATGAAGTCACATTAAACAGGCTTTAGTTAATAACTAAAGTTATTAGTTATTTAGTTTAAAAACATTTGATTTATCAGAAAATGTTAAGAAATCCTCTAGATAAACGTTTATCTAATCGTTCAAAGTTTCTATAATTTTCTTGTAGTATGTATAAAGTGTAAATTAGCCCAATATTTAGAAAAAAAAGAAATAATGTGAAAAACTGCAGACCTGCAGAGACTTTTCCTATAATGCTGCACATGTGACTATGCCCTTTACATGGACTAGGACACGGGTCAGCAACCCAAACTGCTCAAAGAGCCATATTGGACCAAAAAAATAAATAAATAAATCTGTCTGGAACCGCAAAAATGTAAAAGCCTTATATACGCTGGCTCTAAGTATATTATCCCACTATAGAAAAGAACTATGTGGTCTTAAATATATAGCAATCATTCATGATGAAATGTTTATCCAGGAGCAAATGTCACATGGTAGCATGAGGTGATGGAGGAGCAGTGAACGCTCTCACCAAGCGGTTTAGGTTTTGTTGCATTGATGAAATTATAGAAACAGGATAAAGGAATCCATTCTTTGAATCCTCTTTTCTCATCAGCTATCTTCTTTTTTTCCCCTTTGGGATCCATGGTCCAAGTCACATCCACCGCTTTGTTTGCCTGGCATGGCGCCACGCTGGTTGCAAGTTATGACCTCTGATCTTATTGGCTATGATGCAAATTATTGTTTAAATTATTATTATTTTTTTTAATTAAACATGTTTTATTTGAAACATTTGCACTAACCAGTTACTAAAATGTTGACCAGAAAGTTTTAATTATTTGGTTAACCTTGGATTTTGTTTAAATATTAGAAATAAAGTCACTTTGTGAGCTCGGCATCAAGTATGAAGTCCTCTGGTAGTGACTCTGCAGGAATTTTAGTTTAAATTGATTTATTATACAAATGTTTACATCATTGGAAAACATAATTCATTTTAGTTCGACCTCCTGCACACCATATTAAAACAAACTTTTTCGAAAAGCTCCAGAGAGCCGTAAGGGGGGGTGCTAAAGAGCGGCGGGTTGCCGATCCCCGGACTAGGACATTGGGGAGAACTGCAGAGGTTTTTTGTCCTTCTTGGTTAATGGAAAATGAAAAATCTGAATCAATCTCCTCTTCACAAATTAAGCTTTATTCTTGTTATGCTTCCTGGAACATAGAATAAAAACAATTTAGATTGAATCTGTCTGCATGCTCCTGGTTTTCTGCTCTTAGCTTTTGATTGATATCGGTTATTGATTAATCAGGTCTTGCTGAGTCGGTGGTAGCAGCTGCCTGTTCGAGGGTTGGACAAAGGGTTCTTCACCTGGACAGGTGAGCTTTAATCTGTCAGCGATGATCCTGTAAGGGTAAGACATGACGATTGCTACTGAGAGGATCATAATTCATGTTGGATTAATCAGTTATTGATTGACAGGAGTTTAAATCCATGAGATCAGAGTCATTGCATGAGATGTTTGAAGGCTTTTATTGTGAAAGGCTTGTCTTCCTGTTTGTGTTTCCAGGAGGAGTCATTATGCAGCGAACTGGGCCAGCTTCACCTTTAACGGCCTGCTCACCTGGATTGAGGAGCAGAAGGTGATTATTGATCATCATTGATTATTGGTCATCAGCCTGTTGCCCACTGGCCTGTGACTGTGTGTGTTGGTAGGAGGAGTCTAAGCCTGAGAAGATCGAGGATTGGTCGAGTTTAGTGGAGGAAGGGGAGGAGCTTATACACCTCTCAAATTCAGAACCCGCCTCCATCACTAACCTGCAGGTGTTTAGTTACACCAGGTAAACTCCGCCTTTCTTCTTTACTACCAGACTGAGATGATTGTGGAGGGTTTCTATAATTTGGTAAAAGATAAAAAACTAGATTGGCATTTCTTTTAGTGAGGAGGAGGAAGCTGATGAACCAAACACCATAGAGGAAGAAAAAGCAGCAGGTGAAGATGCAGTTAAAGAGTCGTCAGAGACCGAGTCTGCAGGTTTGCCTCGTTAATATTCATTCATTGTTCCAAACGCTGGTTTTCCTTCACACTAACAAGGATGATGCAAACATGTTGCAGGTTCAAAGGAAGAAGAGGATGCTGGACCTGCAGAGGGAGAGGAGGTGAGGAAGAGGGGCTATGAAGATGATGCTTTAATCCGGTCTGATCATCTGACTGAATGTTCTTAACCAATCACAGCCTGCAGAGACAGAAGAGGAGGAGCCTGAGGCTGACCAGCCGCCGGCCTCGCCTCCTTCCAGCCAATCAGAGCCCATCAGAAAGAAGATCAGCCATGCTCAGCTGGTAAAGGAGGGGCGCAGGTTTAACATCGACCTGGTCTCTAAGGTAAACACAACTATGTTGTCATAAAACATTAAAAGAACTGTAAAAGCTTATTTATCAGCCATTAGTTTCATGATGATGATGATGTTAAGAGTCTGTGACCTCATCATTCTGGGGATGTTGATGATGATGTCACAGAAGCTTGGGGGTCTAACAATATCATTTAAAAATTAATAATCGATGCTGAATGCCTAGACATCAGCCCATAGTGCAGAGTTTAAATTAACTTTATTTAAAAACTTTAAAATTCAGCCACAACAGAAAGTGTAATAAGCATCAACATCAAACACCTCATGGTTACACCGTAAGCAGGAGCCTGTGATGTAGGGGTGGTGATGTCAGAGGAGCCTCTGATGAAGGGGTCATGATATTACTGGAGCGTCTCGTGTAGGGGTGATGATGTCGAAGGAGCGTCTCATGATGATGTGAAGAATTAACAGTGAGTTTCTCCTTCTTCATAAGCTCCTGTTTTCTCGTGGCTCTTTGGTCGATCTGCTCATCAAATCAAACGTGAGTCGCTACGCTGAGTTCAAGAACGTGACCAGGATACTGACCTATCGCCATGGCAACATAGAGCAGGTCCGTACAGTTTGTTTAACGTTTTTTATCTGCCACCCGTCTCTCTCTCACCCGTCTCTCTCTCACTCGTCTCCCCCTCCAGGTTCCCTGCAGCCGGGCTGATGTGTTTGCGAGCCGCCAGCTCTCTGTCGTTGAGAAGAGGAAGTTGATGCGCTTCCTGACGTCATGTATGGAGGAGACGGAGGAGCAGACGGGTGAGACACCTGCCCTGTTCTTCTGCTGACATCATCAGGATGTTGTAGATCCAGACGTCTTCAGCTCCTCTTCATGGATGTAAACGGTGCAAACACAGTGGTGCATTATGGGTAATCTAGCCCCTTCCTCCCACTTTTAGCCTACAGCGGTCGGCCATATTCTGAATTCCTGCGTGACCAACAGCTCGGTGAAAGCCTGCAACACTTCCTGCTTCATTCTATCGCCATGGTAACGGAAGACACACCCACAGAGGAGGGACTTGCCTCCACACGTCACTTCCTTCGGTGTCTGGGTCGCTATGGCAACACTCCCTTCCTGTTTCCTGTGTACGGCCTTGGAGAGATCCCCCAGTGCTTCTGCAGGTGAGAACCAGCCGTTGCTATGGAGACGCATTTCTGTCTGCTGGGTTGGTGGTGCACCTACAGCAGGTTCTGCAGCCTCTCTGAGTTCTGCTCTCAAAGCTTCCACTGTTGATGAACACCAACAGCATCTCCCGTGTTATTCGGCCGGTTCTGCTCCTCAGAACTTTCTCTGAGGCTTTTATCCTAGTTTTACCGGTCAGGTGAGTCCACCTTAAGGTTTGCAACGCACTGCTGCTCAGTTTCTCTTCACCCAGAAGCTCTGTGCAGCTCCACTGGCTGCTCTGTCAGCTGCTCCTTCATTAACAGCAGACATTAGTGATGATGAGGATGCTGTCGCCGAAGGCTCCTCTCCATATCAGATGATGATGCTGAGCGGATATTAGCTGACGCTGTCGGCCTCTGAGGAGATGAATGTCTGCCTGGAAGATGAAGATGTTCTGCTAACTGTTTGAGCTCTTCATCCTGGTCAGAGGCCAGTAAGGCCTGAGGCTGCAGTGGGTCAGAACTTGTTGATGGCCCAGTCTGATTAGCGGGGCTGAGAACAACTGACTGAGTTATAGAGGAGGTCAGTTCTGCTAAAGGTCCACGTCCCCAAATAGCAGTTTGGTTCTGTTCACCCTCACATCAACTGTTTTCCAGGTTCTTTTAGAACATGCTTAGGAACCAGAGTAGAGCTGACAGACCGTTCTTCTCATTAAGCTCAAGGTAATCACTGGTTCAGAACCAGAATAATGGATCAGTTTCCCTGCATGATCTTAACAGGCCTTCTGATTGAGGTCCGGAACACATACACTGACCGAGGGTTTTGATTGGAAGTCAGTAGAATGAGTAGAACCTTCTGGACCGACCCGTGTTCTAACGTAAACCTTCTGTTGTTTCAGGATGAGCGCCGTGTTTGGAGGGATCTACTGTCTCAGACACTCCGTCCACTGTCTCATCGTGGACAAGGACACCAACAGGTAACCACGGTTACACTCTGGTTAGGCGGTCAGCAGAGAAAGTCTCAGTCTGTCTCTGTGCGTCTCTGAGTCACTGTGATACGTGGTGTCCTGCGTCCTCGTATAACAGGTCATTAACTCTGAACTTCACCTCGTCTATCTTCTTCATCACCTTTAAAGGTTAAATAAATAATAGCAGTTCTGGCGCTCTGATTGGCTGCCTACGCCACCATGGTAACAACCAATTTATGTGACCTTCTGAGCCGTGATTGGGTGATAATTTATGATGGGCCAAACACTCAATTTATGTGGAGGAAATGAGGAGGATAATTTGATGTAATGGATGAGGAGGGCTTCAGTCAGCTGCTGTTGTCATGGTTACTGTTAGCATCTATCACTGTGTCCTTGAATCTGCCAGGGACAGGAAGTAGAGTGTCAGAATAAAAGCGCCAGGGGAGTTATCTAGCCTGAGCTGAAGTTTGATCCGACGTTTTTATGATGAAACTTATATATCAGGACTTGGGGAAGAAGACATGTTTCCTTTCTCAGAGCCACAGGTCATCAGAATAATCCTGATTCAGGTCCAAAAGAAAAACAAAGAGGATGCCATGCTCAGAGATGGGAAGTAACAAAGTACAAATACTACGTTACTGTACTCAAGTAGATTTTTCTGATATTTTTACTTTACTTTACTACTTATTTTTATGGCGACTTTTTACTTCTACTCCTTACATTTTTACACAAATATCTGTACTTTCTACTCCTTACATTTTAAAAAATTGGCTCGTTACTTTAGTTTTGAATCATTTCAATGGAGTTACCGTTATTATCTTTCACGTCATCAATACCAAATTCAATCTAATTGGATGGGAATCTACGTTGCATTTGGCGCACCACTACAAGATGAATCGACAGATTCGGCGGTATTCATTGCCGGCAAATCATTGCAGCTTGGTGGCGGTGGCGTTAGCATAGTAGTATGGATGACGAGATGATTGAAAATGAACACAACGGAGATCTAGTCCTATTGGCAGACATCCATTTAAAATGTAGGCAACGGCATGAAAAAAGTGGTTTCTACTTTTACTGTTATACTTTAAGTAAATTTACAAGCCTGTACTTTGTTACTTTTACTTGAGTAAAGAAGTTTAATCAGTACTTCCACTTTTACCAGAGTATTTTTTAAGTCAAGTATCTGTAATTTTACTCAAGTACGGAAAGTGAGTACTTTTGCCATCTCTGGCCATGCTTGGCTGGAGTTAGAGAACCAGTCAGACATCAGCTGCAGTCTGTAGATCGATAGACATTTCAACATAGACTCGTCGGTTCAGTCCAGCAGACATAGTTTGATCCTCGTCCTCAACAATGGGTCAGGTTCTGACTGGATCTAACCCAAAAGAATTCTCTGATCCCATTCTAAAGAATCTGCTCCTGCTGATAAGCACACGGTGATAGTGGAGAGAAAAACAACCAGAACAAGGCTCAGTGTGAGTGGATTTTGGATTTGAACGAAGATTGCAACTTCCTGGAGCAGGAAGAGTCCACATTCATGTTCCCGCCTAAGTTTCCCCGACAGATGTCTTTATTTCTTTCTGGTATATGAAGTCATCGAAACAGGTCGCCTTAAAACCAAGTCCACATTGACGTTAAAAATGGTTCAGACGGACGCCGAAAACTAGATTCTGGATCATTTGCTCTTTAAATTAATTAAACCCTTGTTATTCTTTAATATTTTGCAAGGCGTTGATATCGAGTTTGAAAGTTTAGTATGTTGACATCCCTTGTGTTAGCTTAGCCTTTTAGCTTGTAGCCTTTGGCGGTACAGCTAGCGGTCTGAACCAGGTAGCTGCGTCTTTCCGGGTCATTTCGACTGTGGCGACGGTTTTAGACGATTCCCTGTTTTAATGAAAAGCAGACGCAGTAGAACAGAACCGAGCCGACCCACATCGAGTAGAGGAGGGGGAGTGTACCACGAGAAGATCAGAAGGAGATGAAGAAAAAAGAGGAGGTGGAGTCAGAGGTCAAAGTTCATGTCTCCATAGATCAGGTGTTCCTACTGGATGACCTGTTTATCCCATGTGCTCCATCAGTGATTTCATCACTCTGACATCACTTCCTATTGCAGGTGTAAGGCGGTGATTGACAGCCGAGGCCAGCGAATCAGCTGCAACCATGTGGTTCTGGAGGACAGTTACCTGGACGCAGACAGGAAGCCGACAGCCACACCCCCCAGGTGAGGAGAGAAACATGGCGAGGACCGTTCCTCCTAGGTTTATTACTGGGGATGACGATGTTGATGGTGTGGTCTGTGTCCAGGTATCTGAGCCGGGCCGTCCTCATCACAGACGCCTCGGTTCTGCCCTCAGACCCAGACCAGCAGGTAACTCTGCCTCGATTGCTGGAGGTCAGCATGAAGTGATGTCAGAAAGCAAAGCTGTTGAGTCACAGGCAGCGCTGGTCCAGTGCAACCAGAACTGGTTCTAAAGCGGCTCCAGATGGGTTAATCTGAACTGGGTCTAGTATAAATGGTGATGACATCACTGGCTAATCAACATCCCATTGCCTAGCATGTGTAACTCAGTCACAGTGGGTTCTGAACCCAGAGGACTTGAACAGAACTTTCCTGTCAGCTGACCTCTGTAAGAGGATCTGCCCTGGTTCTGCCCTCAGAACCGGTCCAATTTCTCTGCAGAAAATCATGACCCTGACTTCATGTTTGGTTCTGGACCTGGGGCAGGTGGCAGACACGATGCTCAGGTTCCTCCAGGTGACATCAGGAGCACAGCTGGGAATGACTGCATCAGGGAACAGGAAGTGGGCGGAGTTTGTTCTGTTCCTGCTGATCCAGGACCATTCATCCTGTCTCCTCAGATCTCCATGGTAACGGTTCCTCCCGCCACAACAGGAGGTCCTTCAGTGAAGATGGTGGAGCTGAGCTCGTCCACCATGACCTGCATCCCTGGAACATGTGAGTTCACCTGCAGCCTCTGAAGGTTCTGGTTAGAGGGTTCAGGGTCCAATAAGCTTCCTTTGCTGAAAGGGTTTAGAATGAGTCAGCAATGAAGATGATGCAGGTCTGTGAAAACGACCAGAGCCTGCTGAACAAACTCCTGAGGGAGAAAGAGCTGAAAGAACAGAACCCCTCAGAGAGAAGTCGACTAAAAGTCCAACTCAGACTGAACCGGCGGGAGCTGCAGGTCCAGACCAGAGCAAACGATCAGCAGAATCAATGAACCATTAAAGTATCAGCGACTTTGTTAGATCAGGAAAAAGATGAACATGAAGAAACAGATTAGTGAGCAACAGCTGGGGGCCTGTTACCTTAAACGCGTCTGTTACCTTAGAGACAGCTGCCAGTATCCTATCATCAGCTGTTTCCTCTTTCCAGACTTGGTCCATCTCACCTGCCAGTCGGTTGGCTCCGCCCATGAGGACCTGTTGCCCGTGGTAACCAGGATATTCAGAACCACAGAGCCTCAGGAGGAAGGTAACACACACACACACACACATTCTGATCTTGCTATATGTAATGGAGACCATGTGTCCATTGAGTTTCAGCCCTTTCTGAACCGAGAACATTACCAGAGCATCTGCCTTCACGTCTATGATGTTTTCATTTTAATCAGTGTAGAACTAATCAATATCTGCCATCATAGATCTCTTCATACTCCATTAGATCCTCCCCTTTCTATCTAACTTTTTATTTTTAATGCCATTACTAATCGAAATACCGTGTCATGATGATGCCTTTAGAGATGCTTCCTTCAAACTTCCTGTTTCCTCCAGTTGCTGCGGCCAATCCTTTGATCTGGACTCAGGCTGATCTTACTGGTTGGCTCCCAGCTCTTAAAATGTTGTTTCCAGGTCCTCCTATCTGGGTTGGCTACAGGCTGTTTAGTTGATTTTAATAATGAAGTTTTTTTTTTTTATTTAACTGTGTATTAATGGTTAGTTTATAAAGAATGTGTGTCTATTTAGAGATAAAATGGCCTCACACTGGAACCAGAACAGGAGCAGCTGCTTCTGGTCTGAGTGAGTTCAGATCCAGATGTCTCCTCATGCTGTCCATCTGTCCTCAGACCGTCGTCCCTCTGTCCTCTGGTGTCTGTACTTCAACATGGCCGATGGGTCAGCGCTAGAGGTTGAAGGTCACCGCGTACCATCCAACGTGTACGTCTGCTCTGGTCCAGATGGAGCGCTGGGACACGAACACACCATCAGACAGGTGAGCCGTCCCGCTCCACCGGACAGAATCTGGCCGATGTTTGGTTCAGTTACCGCCTGCTGGTTCAAACCGGTTCCTGCTGCATTCAGAGTTGTCATATTTGATGTCAGGCTTGTTCCTGGGTTACAGGAACCAGAATGAAAGTTTGTTCTGTTTTTAGGCCGAGTCCATCTTCCAGAAGATCCTCCCAGAGGAGGAGTTCTGTCCTCCTGCTCCAAACCCTGAAGACATCATCTATGATGGAGACAATGCGTCCCCTGGAGAGGACAGAACAGCAGTGGAGAACGGAGGGAACCAGGAGGAGAACCAAGAGAAAGAAGGAAACCAGGAGGAGAATCAGGAGGAGAACCAAGAGAAGGAAGGAAACCAGGAGGAGATTCAGGAGAAAAAAGGAGACCAGGAGGAGAATGGAGTGAACCAGGAGCCTGAGGAGTAACATGAACCTTCACCACTTTATTTTCTGCTCTGATCTTTGGCATGAAGGCAGCAGCTGCACTGCTGCCACCTGCTGACTGCAGCCTGAACTGCACCACTCAAGGTTCTGGGAGGAGACCCATCAGAACTCTGTTGCGTTTGGACCCTTGGTTCTATTTATGCTGTATTTTTTCTTTATTGGATTATGTAGATGACAGTTAATGTTTTTCTGTTGCTGTAAGCATCAGTTCTTGTTGGTTCTGCTGGGTTCTGATCCAGGTTTCACCACCGATGTCAGATCATTCAGCAGTATTTGGCCAAACACAATTAGCCTTTGGATGATAAGGTAACAAATAAACCAAGTTCCTATATCAGCATCAATGTTCTCAGGTTTTTAAAAAAAATTTGTTTAACTCGTTTTTAAGAATTTCATGAAGCACATTTCTACATATTAGGTCAAACTGATTTTTTTAAATGAATTTTGCCATGAAAAGGTTTAGTTCCAACCTCGAATCTTCCCCTCAGCGCCCTGGAAACGGTAAAGTGTCTTTTTTTTTTCAATCTTCTGAAGGCAAATTCGATTATTTCTGAGCGTCATCTGTTAAAGGGAACCCAGGATTCATCCCTGATGAATAAAGCAGGTTCACTGAAAACCATTACTGGTAGCAGTGGGTTCTGGACCGGCCCGGAAACGCACGGTTCAAGCTGTTCCGTCTAACACCAAAATCTCACATCCTCCACATGCGCCCTGCTTAGCTGCAGAACGCCTGTGCAAAACAAAGCCTAAAGCCTCCATGGTTCCTTAATAGTGATTATTTTTTTTTTAATTCATAGGAGAAAAACTAGTTTCTGCTCAAACGTTTCCTTTTCGTTGTGGATCTTTGCAATAGGGATAATTAGCATAATGCAAAATTGGTTTATTCTCTACTTCCAAACTCAGCATCTCTTCAGCCATGCCTGCAATAAGAAGTTTCTTTTGAAGTTGTGACTGGATTTGATGAAACGTTTAAGCCTCTCAGTAGTGACGGGTCCAGCAACACTGATGCATGGAGCCCATAGAGTAAAACACTATGGTGTTGTTTCAAGAAAGCCATGTGATACAGTTGTTTAAAACTGACTGAGACACTAAACTATGTTTAAGAACATCTGCTTAAAAAAAGAACAAGTCCTCTTTTGTGGTTTATTAAAATTATCTATAATTTTGAAGACTTAAATAGGAAAGTTTCAGCCTTTGCGTTTCCTCTCAGTTATCACTCAATTTATCTGAATTAAAGTTGATTTCAAATTGACAGTTTTGTTTTTACCTTGTTTAAAAAATGATTTAAAATACTGGTCCACAAGCATCCTCATTCACGTTCCCCTAAGTTTTCACGTAAAGATAAGTTTACATTTATTGGCTGCATCTAAAAATATCAGCGTATGAAGGTCCAGCAGGTGTCAGTATTCTGACCAATAGTTTGGTTTTGACGAAAAGCTTTAAAATGCATCAATAACCCACCAACACCTCTGTATAAAATAAATATTTTGATAGAGATGAGAAATGTGCTTCCTGGTACATTGAAGTACCGATATTCTGCATCCAATAATTTAAACTGTTAGGCTTTTGTAACATCAGAATTATGCTCCAATTTGTGGTTACCAAATTAATTTGACAAATCTGATCTTCATTCTTTTTCCCGGTTGGTGTGATTGCAATTACAGATTTTGACCCCGCCAGCTTCCAACAGATTGGAGTGGAGCAAAAAATAGCTTGACTCTGTATTTTGACGGTGAAGATGTTCATAGCCGGTGAGGTGTGGAGAAGTAATGGTGGATGCTGAGCAATTCTCATTGATGATTTTGCAAGTTAGCAGAGCAGTGACAAGATGTGGAATCTGGGGGTAAGATCAAAGGTCTGCTCTCTAACAGAAGATGCTCTCAGCATAGCTGATAAAGTCAGTACCAGCGCTGGTTCTGGACCACAGCCCAGAATTGTCAACATGTGGATTAAATATTTAAGGCTTTAAAACCCAACAGATCTATAATTCTGAACCTCTAGACAGTTTTCAATGGGCTGTGGTTCTGCTGACCCATTTAACACAAAGACAGACTCGGGTTCAAACTGAGGCTTTTATTGTGAAAATCAAACAGCTCTTTACAGACGGCGACCACGGCGACCGCCCTTCCTCCTGGTGGAGTCCGATGGGATCGGAGTGACGTCCTCTGAACACAAGAAGAAACAGAACACGATCAGACCAACAGAACCAGACTGCAGCTTCAAGGCCCAGAACCAGAAAACCTCCTGCTTTGGACCACTGGTTCTGGACCTGCTAGTCTAGAGATGGATGTTCTAGAACCTGCAGCATTTCCACACAAAGCTGATCTATGAAGATCCAACTGAAAGGTCCGGTTCCTCTGACCCATTTAGTAGCTGCCCATGGTTCTGAACCTGTTCTAGCGGCCCATCAGAACCAGCCATTAAAGTAGAAATGAAACAGCTAACAAAACTATTTTAGCAGATTGTTTTCCCATTATCAAATGAAAAATATTAGGGCTGAAACTATCAGATTATTTGATTACTGAAATAATCTGCAACTAAATAGTAATTAATAGTTAACTGGAGTATAGAACCTGTACTGGTATCTAAATTGTTAAAAACATTTCTAACGTCTAATATGCTCTACCCAGAACTAAAGTGGAAAGGTTTTAGTTTGACCAGGTTTAAATTAGCAAAACATCAAATTATTAATCGATTAATTGAAAACAATACAGATTAAATAAATGTACAAAGTAATCATTACTGGCTCCTCTAAAATATATAAAGATGTAGCATTTGTATCATCTCTAAGCAGTGCGCTGCCATGTCGCAATACTTCAAACACTGTAGTCACAGCGTGGGTTGATGCCTCAGCCAGAAGTCGAATATTTTATATATCGCCGCTACCATACAGCCGTAAATCACTGGAGAATGGAGGTCAGACACAACTGAAAGGACTAGAGCGTATAAACCACTTTGCTTCTGAGTCTGTGAGGAGAGAAGAGGAATCTGTGGAGATGTTCTGACTCTCAGCCTTATTCAGTGAGCGCGGAGAGTTTGGCTTTATGGACATTTAAATCTGAGCCGAGGTGGAAACAGAGTTAGCCATGCTGTCCCTGAAGGACCTGAGAGAGGAACATGGAGCTACAGGACAGTCCAAGAATAAAGCCGCAGGATGGCGAGGGAGAACAGAGACCTTAAGATATCCTGCCCGTCGTGGATCACGGTAAGAGAGAATATTTCTCTGGAGGTTTTGACCCGACGTGGTTCCTGTGGCTGAGGGACCCTGAGCTGCAGAGATGTGTACATCCTGATGGCTGCTGCTTGAGTTCTAAAAACGGTGATAAACTGAGAACTAAGCTCTACTGACGGATGTTTGGTGATGGCGCTTTATTGCTGCCGCTGACCCACTGTCAGATTTTGATGGTCAGTAGAACCCGACTTATAGGTGGTGAAATTAATATCATCCTGAGCAGCTTTAGCTACTAGCTCTCCAGACTCTGGTGTTCTGCTCAACATCCTAACAGCTTCCTCTTCTCTCAGACGCCCAGCAGGCTCAGAAATGTAAGCAAAGTGATGTAGATGCTCTAGTCTCCTTTCAGCTTCGTTCCCATCAAACCAAGATTTCATCAATGATTTTATTCGACTGCTGGCTGAAACATCAACCAACCAGGAGACATCAGCGTTTGGAGCACTGCAACATGGCAGCGTCCTGCTTAATGATGATAAAAATGCTTCATTACCACATTTATAATATAATAATGGGAGACAATCCAGTAAATTACATTTTTTTTTGGCTAACAGTTTTATTTCCATTTTAAAGCTCCATCATCAGCTGCTGTGGGGTTCTGGTACCGAGTGCCGATGAGCGTTCTGGTCTCAGAATAAAACAGACCTAGTCTGGTGTAGTGGGTCGGTACCTTAACATCTGCCCCAGCAGTTGAGTCAATTTGAACAGAACAGTTTTTAAATGATGGCATTTCCCTCATCAGTCTGTTCCGATGGGTGGAACCAACAGTTGATCGCCTTTCTATTTGGCACAGATTTGCGGGTTATAGAAGCAGCCATGGTCCAAATGGACCTATGACCTCAGCACTATCAGACCCAGTGCTGAGAACCGGATCAAACTGGCCTCCTGTTGAGACCCAAGGCCACTGGATATTTGACCCAGTGGAACGAGAACATCCCATAATACCAACTGGATTCTGCCTCCATATTCAACAGAACCCCTCAGATGTGTCCTTCACCAGCCCGACCCAAACCCCCCCACAACTCCAACAGGAACCTACCGATGCGTCCGATCTTCATGCCGGACCGGGCCAGAGCTCTGAGCGCAGACTGAGCTCCGGGTCCAGGAGTCTTTGTCCTGAAACAGACACAATGATCAGAACCACGGCCTCCTATCAAACCCGGACCTTCAGAACCGCATGTCTACCTGTTCCCTCCGGTGGCCCGCAGCTTGATGTGCAGCGCCGTGATGCCCAGCTCCTTGCAGCGCTGCGCCACGTCCTGCGCTGCCAACATGGCGGCGTAGGGAGACGACTCATCTCTGTCGGCCTTCACCTTCATCCCACCTGTCACACGGCAGATCGTCTCCCTGGAAACACAGACCCATCAGAACTGGACCGGGCGAGTGGCAGTCAGGAGCAGCATCGGTGGCAGACTTACTTCCCGGAGAGGTCTGTGACGTGGACGAAGGTGTCGTTGAAGGATGCGAAAATGTGGCAGACGCCAAACACATTCTCTCCTTCGGCCACCTGGGGACCCAGGCTGATCACCTGCTCCTCCTTCTTCTCCTTCCCTTTACGAGGAGCCATGTCTGCTGAGGAGCAAAGCAGGACATTAAGCAGCAGCAGAAACTGCATCAGAACCCAAACAGTGACTAAACATCAGGAGGAAAAAAGACGGTGGCCTGATGGGGTCAGAGCAGGGAGTCACTAAGTATATGATTGGAGCGTCCAAGATGCTCCATGATCTTCATGAGGATGATGAAGCTGGTGGAGATTTAATCAGAACTGAGCTTAAACTGCTGCCCGATAATAGAAGCACACATGGAGGTCCAAACTGCTACCTGAAGCAGTTCAGAACCAGAACCACCTGTCACCGGGTGGCTCCGTCCTGTGGAAGGTTCATTCATGTTTACCTTAAAATTAGCTGCTTCAGAACTCAGAGGCTATGCTAACGTTAGCTTCCTGCAGACACCGATGATAAGACCGAACATTTCTGTCCCGCTAAAGATTCCAAACAAAAACAAAAAAAATTATCACTGTTCTATAATGTCTAAAACAACACTGCTATAATGTCTATAAACATTTGAATGGCCTCCATCTTCATCTGGACGCCCAGCTAACATGGCGACACGTCGCAGT